CGTCCTCCTTAAATATTCCTGTCCTAAGTCTTAAAGTTGGATCAGAGGAGGCATGCATGTCGATCAATAAATATCCATAGGGCTGATTTGTTGCTTGACGGTAGGCGTCCAAGAAATAGTCAAGCCTTCTAGGGAAGAGCTGGACTCCTATATTCCTTACTGCAAGGGCTGAATTAGGTGAACGCATTAGTACAATGTATTGGGCATTTTGACGAGCAACTTTAATTTTTCGATCGAATAAATTTTGTGTGACAAATATAACAGAGAAATTTTGATGGTGTGACTTTTTTGTAAAAAGCTCAGACAAATATTTTTCATCAATAGACAAAAGAAGATCATCCAAAATTAGAAGAAGTGGCTTGGGGAGTGTTTTTATTAATTCTTCGGGTGGGGTTCCGACAAAGACATTAACACCAGATCTTTGAAGTATTGGTACAATACTACTCATTTCGCCAAAACAATAGAGTATGCTCTTTGGCTTGGGTTCAATTAACTCTTCTACCTCTGAAATAAATTTGAGCAAGAACGTACTCTTGCCACTAGAACTAGGGCCTGAGACAATCATACCAAAAGGCAATTTGAGTTTTAAATCTTTATTTGAAAAAGTTAGCGTTTCCATATTAAATGATAGAAAAATTATAAAACTTGGAAATTAATGAACTTAAATACTTGGTGAATTAAAGAGGGGGTTGTAAATTAGTGTCTTCCATCTTAGCTATTACTTCATTCTTAACCTCTACGTCCGAAGATATTCCCATAGTGACAGCTTGCATAGAGTCGAAAAACTCTAAAAGGACTGCATCATCATTTTCTTTAACTAACGACTCTTCTTTGATTGGAGATAATGTTACGTGAGACTCTTGTGCTTGTATTTCTTTTTGTGGAGATGCAAGTAATGGAGTTAATATTTCCTCTTGTGGTGCAGGAGGAGGGGGTATAGTTGTTAATAATTCCTCCTGTGGAGGCATAGGCGGAGGTGGGGGTGGTGGGAGAGGTAGTTGAGATGTTGTCTCACGCTTGCGAGAACTAGTATCGTCGACTGAGCAAACATTTTGCGAACCATATGGTTCGCAAAATTCGTCCTCTCTCACTCTAATAGGTGTCTGTACTCTCTAACCCTACAGTATTTCTCAACTTTATGTGTATCTATTTTGAACAAGACACCAAATTTGAAAAAGCGAAGCCAAGCCATTTTAAAAGCGAAGCCAACCATTTTTAAAAAATCGATATTAAGCCACGCCCACTTTTTACTTAAAAAATCAATAATTTTTATTTCTCAAGGTCATTCTTTATAATTTACAACAATTTGTACTACAATTAAATATTTAATATTAAAAAATGGAACAAAATAACTCAGCCACTGAGAAGATTGGTAACTTTTCATTTTAAAAACCTGATTAAGTTTCTATTTTAAAAGATGGGGATTGTGAGAAAAGCAAAGAAATTTCCGTTTCAAAACCTGTGAAATTGGAAAAAAAGAAGGAATCAAAAAGCTCTTTAGGTTTAATAATATAATAATTATTACCATACAAATTTTTTAAGAGTCAACTCTTACTAATCCTCCTGTTGATCTAAATAAAATAAAGATTGTTGAAGAGCATGTTGTTAAACAACAACAACTTTGGAAGCTAATACGCGGAAAATTCTTAATTACATTCTATCTGTGTCAAGGTAATAAAATTTAATATTCTATTCAAAAATTAAATTTTTAGACTGCCAAAACAAATTATTTTATTCAAAAGACAAATTTGAAGAGAATCCTTCTTGTGTTACTGTGAAGATAGGATTATGCAATAACTGTGTCAAAGCTAATAGCACTGCTACAGATGTTCTGGCACCGTACAAAAAGATTGGAAGTAAACGAAAAGCAGAATGAAGGGAAAAACTGACATTAATTTAAGAAAAGTTGAAAATTTTCATTGTAAAATTTAAATGTTGAATTAATAAAATAAAAATTAATAAAAAAAATTAATGAGTATTTTGTTTAATAACAACTTTAGGCAAAATGATAAACAGATGCGGTCTTTTGCATCTGATAGGGCAAAGAGTTATCTAGAAAATGACCGGTCAGTTTTTTAAGTTAGGTCCTAGAAAAATTTTTATGACGTTTTACAAAAGTACCTTATTTTTCCAAAAATCTCTATTTTTCAGTGAAGAAAAGAAAGGGAAAAGGAAGTTAAACCCAAAAGATCAACACCCATGAGATCACCCTGTTAATTACGTAACTCCGAAATAAAAATTTCTCCCACCCCCTCCCACAGACCAATTAGTAAAACAAATTGTTTTTCCCTTGCCCCCTCCCCCGACCAATTAGTCACTAATTGGTTCCCCTCGGTCCAGCCCGTCAGACTCGGCGGCATTTCTCTTTGATCATCAATCAAAGTAGTGGCGGCATCCTTTGATACGGTGGACCCTTCCCGCTCCCTCCCCCACACCATTTAGTAAAACAAATTGGTTTCACCCTTACACCCAACCCCGATCAATTTGTCAACCAATTAACACCTGTCGGTCATAAAAATGTCACCCGACCCCTCCCCAGACCAATTTGTAAAACAAATTGATTTCACCCTTCCCCCTCCCCCAAATCAATTAGTCAACTAATTGATTTCCACTTACACCCAGCACTAAAAAGTTCCCCTTACACCCAACCCCCAAACCAATTAGTCAATCAATTAACACCTCTTGGTAATAAAATTTTTATTACCCCCTCCGCCAGACCAATCATCCAATCAATCAATCAACTAATTGATTTCCTCTTACACCCAACCCCCAAACCAGTTAGTACTAATTAATTCCCCTTACCACTCCCCCATCGCGCGCCAAATCCGTCAATAGGTTCGCGTTAATGGGGGCAGACCCCTCCCCTTGAAATGATTTATGAGGTACAAATTAGTTCGGACCCCTCCCCCCGATTAATAATTTATTACCCTGGCGGTAAGATCAAAGAGGGTCATCAAAAAGATCAAAAGAAAAAGCCGACAAAACCCCCTCATACCCTTTGGTTTTTTGTCGGACCCCTCCCCCAGACCCCTCCCCCGACACCCCTCCTATAGATTGGCGGCATTTCCCTTTGATACGGTCCGGGTGGGGTAACTACTTCAGACTAAAAATAAAAAAAAGTAAAATGGCATGCCCTCCAAAAAATTTTCAAAAAAAACATTTTTTTATTCTAAACATTTTTTTCGTCCTTTCCTTCGTTATATTTTAAGCGTTTTTTTTAATAAAGGAGACATAAGAAAGGGATTTTGTTTGATGTTATATATCAAAAAAGACAAGAATTCAGAAAAAAAATTCGAAGAGGAGGTGTGTGTGTGTGTGATTGTAAGAAGAAAAAAAAAAGATAGAGGGTAGGAAAATATATAAAAAAATATATTTATATAAAAAACTTTCTAGAGTTCGGACAACAAGGGCAGGAGAGAGGAGAGAACTCGTCAAAGTCGGACTAGGCCGACGTGAGAATGTTCCGGGGGTCGAAAAGTTAGGAGTTGTTCGAGATCGAAACTTTTTGACTCAAAGTTTCCGCCTATAACCAATAAAGTCCGTTTCAAAATTATAAGACCACCCATTTTTTTCGTGTTACCCATACTTTTTGAGTACCAAATTGGCCCTAATTTTTTCTATTAGTAAATATTTTATAAATATTAGGATCGTGAAAGTTTTAAAGAGTTTCATGTAACTTAAAAATTTTTATGAGTCTTTTTTCAAAAATGGGGTGTTTCATAATTATAAGACCAAGATTTCAATCCTTATTTTCTGTGCCATAAGTGATCCAGAAATTCCACAAAAATTGATATAAACATTTCTATCAATACCGAGTTGAAAAGCAAAAAGAACGAAGTCTATAAATGCTTTCTTCATTGAGATCTCAAAACCCCAAAATCAACGGAAAACCGGGTTACAGTACTTCAAAAAATATTTTAACCCCCTTAGACATTGTATAAAAATTTTCTTTTGGGCTCATTAGAAAGCCCACAAAATTTGCTACTAAAAACACTTGGTCACATCCTTGAGAAAAATTCTCCCATTGAGGAGCTACCTGTTAAAGGAGCAGACAAATAAATTCTCTCAAATTACCCCATAAATTGTCATTATTTCTACATTTTAAATTTAACCGATGAGTCCTCAATGGGAGAATTTTTCTCAAGGATGTGACCAAGTGGTTTTAGTAGCAAATTTTGTGGGCTTTCTAATGAGCCCAAAAGAAAATTTTTATACAATGTCTAAGGGGGTTAAAATATTTTTTGAAGTACTGTAACCCGGTTTTCCGTTGATTTTGGGGTTTTGAGATCTCAATGAAGAAAGCATCTATAGACTTCGTTCTTTTTGCTTTTCAACTCGGTATTGATAGAAATGTTTATATCAATTTTTGTGGAATTTCTGGATCACTTATGGCACAGAAAATAAGGATTGAAATCTTGGTCTTATAATTATGAAACACCCCATTTTTGAAAAAAGACTCATAAAAATTTTTAAGTTACATGAAACTCTTTAAAACTTTCACGATCCTAATATTTATAAAATATTTACTAATAGAAAAAATTAGGGCCAATTTGGTACTCAAAAAGTATGGGTAACACGAAAAAAATGGGTGGTCTTATAATTTTGAAACGGACTTTATACCCACATCCGCAAATTATGTCCGCAAAAAATTTGCGGACATAAATTAGCAGGATCGAAGTCGAAAAGTTCGGTGCTGGTAGTCAGGGTCAAAAGTTCAGGTTCCGACCCTAGTCCGCAAATTTTGTCTGCAAAAAAACTTGCGGACATAATTTTTGCAAAATCGAAAAGTCGAAGTCGAAAAATTCGGTGTCGATAGTCAGGGTCGAAAGTTAGAGGTTCGAGTTCAGACCCCAATTTTAACCCCTGAAAATCCAGCACCTCAGGCTACAACAAAAAACCCCTTGGAAACTCAACCAGCCCGAATCAAGAAAGCCACGAACTCTAAACAAAAAAGAAACACCTACAACACACAAAAATTAAACTTTTTTTTTATGAAAAAATCACTTTTTAGTCTTTTTATTTTGTTCAGCTGGCGCTGCCCGAGGTGGAGTAACTGGTCGATTTTGACCTACACCAGTATAAGGGAATTTAGACTTCTTGTCTGGTTTAAGTATCTTGAAGGGAAAAATTTTTTGATTAAATTAACAAAAAATATAAGGATTAGAGAGCTGCCTATTAGAGATCGAGATTTTTGAAAAGCCTGGGCCTGTTCCTGGGTTCCGGGTTTGATCTATTGACCTGGACCGGGTCCTGGGCCTGTAGTCCAGGAAAAACCTAGGCCCAGGAAAAACCCAGGAAGGCCAAAAAATGCCTGGGCATGGACTCTGGGTATAGGAAAAACCCAGGCCTTGGTCCAGGCCCAGCTCGATCTCTACTGCCTACATATTTTGTGAAACCAGCAGGCCCAGGAAAACCCCCAAAAAAATAAAAAAATCCTCGGAGATAGCTGTAACTGGACCGAAGAAGCGAATAAAAAAATCAACGATTCTTCAGCTCAGTTCCGAACCAATTAGTTATAGTGTGGATATTAGGGACGGATTGGGTTACCCGGAATCTTGACTTTTTCCGACCCGAACCCCCGATCCAAGAAAATAGTGAAACTCCAAGCCGAACCCCCGTCACGATTTTTTCCCAACCAAGCCTATCTCTGGTGGATCAAGGGCGTAGCCAGAAGGCCGATTTCTGGGAGGGGGAGGGATAGGGGGTTACACATGTTCCACTAGTTCTCTGTTAATGCGGAAAAAAATCGCCCACGAGGTTTTCGGGTACTATTTTAAAAAACCAAATTACTTCCCCAAATTTCTTAGGCACCAGCTATTTACCAAAAAAATTTTTTAATTTACTTGGAAAGAGCACATCAAGGTCTCATCGACAGTCTAAAAAAATTTTTTTAAATTTTCGAAAAAAAATTAAAAAAAAAACCATCATAGATCCAGCATTGTCAAATTCACCACAATAATTTGGGGCAGAAAATAGAGTCACTAATTGGCGCTTTGCAAAAAATTCATATCCGTCTTCAACAACCTTTAAAAAAAATAAAAAAATTTCCAACAAAATTGGGTTTGATTTATTGACCTAAACAAGTGTTTCGCCGGACAGGAATTGAAATTTTGACCAGATCCGGATCCGGAAACAAAAAATCCCGGAACTTCCGGCCTACCGAAACTCGAACTTCCGGCAGACATTAACACGGGGCCTCTAGTTCAGGAAAACCCCAAGAAAATCAAAAAATGCATAGGCCTAGACTTTGGGTACAGGAAAAACCCAGGCCCAGGAAAACTCTGGAAGGCGAAAAATTGCGGCATCATGTTCCTAGTTCGACATTTCGTCAACTTTTGGGGGTTTAACAGGTAATTCTTGCGTTCGTACCCTTTCCCCCTTTCCTCCTCAAAGTGTTAAAAATGGTCAGTCTGTCTTAGGTTATAGACCTCGTCGAGCTGTGTCGAATGACACCAAAATCAACTTCCGGGCTTAACCTTAAGACGGGATACGGGAGCAGGCCAGTATACCGCGAGCCCAGTACACCGCCGAGCTATAACTCCGTTCAAAATTGTCGAATCCGGAAGGCCCTGGTATGGTTCGATGCGCCTCAACGAGCTGAATCGAACCATACCAGGGCCTCCCGGATTTGACAATTTTGAACGAAGGGCGGTATACTGGGCTCGCGGTATAACGGGGTGTACCCCGGGATACAGACCCTTAAAACGGCGGGTTATAAAATTTTCAAAAAAATTTTTCAAAAAAAAACCTGATGTGCACGACATATGAGATCAAGATCATGTTTGTGCAAAAATTTAGAAACAACTTCGGGGCCAAAAGTAAAACTAACTCCACGATCATTTTCTCCCCAACCGCTAACATCCTTATCTGGATCAGACCAGAGAAGGTCACACAATAAGCCTTGATCTGGCACATCTGTTGGTCGACACAACCGGCGTATTTGTTCCATTGATTGGAGATCTTTAGAGAAAAAGGTAGGATTTTAGTGTTTTGCGGACAAAAAAATGCTGAAAATTTTGTCCGCAAATATTGATTTGTCCGCAAACATTAATTTTTCCGCAAATTTTTTGTCCGCAAATTTTAAATGTCCGCAAATTTAAAAATCGCAAATTTCGAGTCCGCAAATATTGAATTGTCCGCAAATATGAATTTGTCCACAAATATTGATTCGTCCGCAAAAATTTTTTTGTCCGCAAAAATTTTTTTGTCCGCAAAAATTAATTTGTCCGCAAATTTTGATTTATCCGCAAATATTTTTTGTCCGCAAATATTGATTTGTCCGCAAATATTAATTTGTCCGCAAAAATGGATTTGTCCGCAAATACTTTATTGTCCGCAAATATTGATTTGTCCGCAAATATTAATTTGTCCGCAAATATTTCTTTATCCGCAAATATTGATCTGTCCGCAAATATTAATTTGTCCGCAAACACTTTTTTATCCGCAATTATTTTTTGTCACAGATATTGAGTTGTCCGCAAATATTTTTTAGTCCGCAAAAATGGATTTCGTCCGCAAATTTTGATTTTCCGCAAATGTTAGAAGGAAGTAAAAAAATAGACCTGGAGAAAGTCCACCATGACAACAGAATATTTTTTCATCAATTATTGCAGCAACGGGTAGGCAGTTAAAACAATCCGTAAAAGTCTTCCAAAGTTTAATATTATAACGGCGTTTACATTCGTCATAAAATCCATAAATTCGATTAATTGAAGCACATTCATGATTGCCACGTAAAAGAAAAAAATTCTCTGGATATTTAATTTTGTAGGCCAACAGAAGACAAATTGTTTCAAGGGATTGTTTTCCTCTGAAAAAAGTAAAAAAATGAGGCAGAAAGAATGGGAGAACACAACTTTAGACCAAAAAAAACGCAAGGGAATTTGAGGCATGATTATCTAATTTTGAAAAACTCAGAAGTAGAACGTCCAACAATGGAAAAGAAAACAGAACCCTGTGGTTCGAAATCTATTATTATAACGAGGAATGGTAGCGGAACAGGAGAAATTGTGAAGCCGTCTAGAAACAGAGACGCTGAGACTGTTGGGCATATACGGGTGAGAGCACAGTCCTAGAATCATTGGAAACAATGGACGGAATCAAACAAGACTCCTAAAGAACAGAAACTTCCGTTGCATCTTCATTGGTCTATTAAACCAGAACAGCGTCACATATCGTGTTCTAATCAAGTTAATAAGTTTATTGAATCATGGGAATCCGGACAAAAGATTATGAGTCTTAAGAATCACCAGAAAACTCCATCGGACTTATAAGGCTTCAATGGACTCATAAACTAGACCAAAGACCAACTATGGAAAATAGATCCCATCAGGCAACAAAACCAAAAAGAAACACAAACCTGTCAACATAATCACCAAGAAATAGATAATTTGACTCTGGTGGAAACCCTCCATATTCAAAAAGTCGCAAGAGGTCATAATACTGCCCGTGAACGTCCCCACAAATTTTTAGCGGAGCTTCAAGTTCGAGAAGAACGGGTTGACTGAGAAATATTTCTCTTGATTTTACGCAAAGCCCTTTAATCTCATTTTCTGTTAATTGAACATTCTTTCCTGGTTTTGAACCTCTCACTAGAAAAAAAATTTTTGAAAAATTGTTTAAAGAAAAATAGAAAAAAAGAACCAGCCAAGAATATGGGCAAAGTAAATGTCATTCGAAAGAGCTTATCGAGTTGACTTGAATGAAACCAGGATTATGAGGGGCCAGCAGCAACTTTGGGTGACCTATAGGACTCCACGCACTCGAAATGGTCAAAATCTAGAAATAGGGCTCGAAATGGTCAAAATCTAGAAATGGGGCTCGAAATGGTCAAAATCTAGAAATAGGGCTCGAAATGGTCAAAATCTAGAAATGGGGCTCGAAATGGTCAAAATCTAGAAATAGGGCTCGAAATGGTCAAAATCTAGAAATAGGGCTCGAAATGGTCAAAATCTAGAAATAGGGCTCGAAATGGTCAGAATCTCTAAATAGGGCCGAAATAATCAAAGCCTAGAAAAAGGTTATCACAACCCCTTAAGTGGTGAGAAACACAAAATAAGGCCCGAAATGGTCAGAAAATATAGGAGAAAGCGTATGACGTGATGCTCTCTCTCTCTTAGCATATGACGCGATACCCAGCTCGACGAGCTCTTTTAAATTTTATATTTATGAGGGGTCACGATTTTAAATAAAAATAAACCTTCAAGCAGCCGAGCTATAATATTGTCCAAATTAATTTTTTCAACGTCAGTCATTTTAAATAATTAATTATTGTTAAATAATGCTAGATAAATAGAGAATATATTGCAAGTTAGAAAAAATATTTTCCTCCTGAAAAAAAATGAAATTTAAAGTTTGGAATAAGAGACATGGATCGAAGTCTCTAAAATATTTTTTGGGAAGACAAAGGTCTAAAAGAAAAGGTAGACAACACGACATCCCAATTTGAAATTCACTGGGATCGATGGATGCCATGATCAAAGAAATTGTAACACAGAGGCTTGGATCAAGTAATTGCAGTAGATGCGCCTCGAAATAGGAATTCGCCCAAATACAACACACGAGAATGAACAGATGTCCCAGTAAACTACCTTACGAAGGGTGTTTTGCTTGATATTTCAAACTTCCTATCCTGGAATGCTATGGACAACGATTTGGGGAAGCCTCGACAGGTAAGAAAAAATAGAAAGTCTTGACCGGGAAGCCCTTGCTTCAGAGCTTTAAGCAGGATAGATCAAGTAAGGCGTTGTTCAACCCTCTCAACAAAAGTCGTCAAAAACTCGCCTCTTCAAGACTTCCTAAGGGAATTAAAAACTCGAAAATGATAGCACACTTATTTCCAGATAAAAAGCCAAGGAAAGCTTCCCAAAATTCGAAGCTTCACCTTTGGTTCAGACCTTTAGGCAACACCAAGTTGAGCGCCGTCCTCAACCATTTCCATAAAAAGTTGTCGGAAACTCGCTTATTTAGGAGTTCCTTCTGAAAATAGAACCTCGAACAGGACATCACACACATCGCCGGGCAAAAAAACTCTAAAAAAGCTTCCCAAAAAATCAAAGCCTTTTCCCAAAGATTTAACCAAGTCCTAGACACTTAAAAAAGAACAAACTTTTCAACTTTTAAAGGAATTGGTGAACGCTATAATCGATGATCATTTTAATGTCTCAAAAGGATTAAAAAGTGTGTGTGTGATCCCAAAAAAGAATTTTTTAAAAAATTGTTGAAAGGAAAGAAGAAAAATTTTTGTCTTAAAAGTCGAAATCCTTGAGAGAAAGGAAACAAAAAAATGTGACACTTGTGTGTGTGGCTCTAGTTCAATCCACACACACACTTGTGTCGCAAAAACCTTTCTCTTCTATATCCACACAAACGTACGCCTTCCACCTGTCTAAAGCTTTTTAATCCGAGCGAGAGTGTAAAGCGGTTATGGCCCGCTTGGCTAGTTGAAAAAATCGATAAAATGATGTAAGCATTGATTTTAATTTAAATAAAGTGTTGGCGTTGTGTTTTTAATAGCACGAGGTGAGACACATCATCCTTTGATAAAAGAAAAAGACTAATACATATTTTGCCAAAACACATTTTGCCAATAAGGCTAAAACCACGCATTTTGTCAATAAGGCCGTAGTGACAAAATGCGGGTTTTTAGCCTTATTGGCAGAATATGGATTGGCATAATGTCGTGACATTGATAAAAGAAAAGACAGAAAATTCTTAGAAAGCAGAGAAATATACTAGGAAAAGAATGAGGATAATTATAGGAAATAGACGCGGAAGTTTCTTTATAATATAGACATTTCGGTCATTTTTCACTTCGGTCAGAAGAACAAAACATGCCATTATGTTTTCTATTCTTCTTTTTATCAAGACAATGTTAATTTTAAGGCGTTAAAGCAGTGTAGACTAGATGGTATTTTTTCCACTTCTGACCATTTTGAAATTCAGTAATGTGTTTTATAGTTTTATTTCTTTTCAAAATCTCTATTTTGCCAATACCACATTTTGCCAATTAGGCTAAAATCTTACATTTTGACACACGTCCTCTGGCAAAACGTCTATTTTTGGCCTAATTGGCAAAATGTGGAATTGGTCAAAAATACTGGGAAGTCCTATTTCTTTAAACTTTTCTCTAACATTTTTCTTTTCTCTAACCACTCTCTTCATTTACTACGATCTTTCTCACTGTCGCTATATTACACATTTTTTCACTTTTACTAGTTAAATTGCTTTTTGCTTTCAATCATATGGAACGAAAAAATTAATCATTTGTCATTTTAACTTGTAATACTTCATTTCTCTTCAATTTTAGTTAAAACAATCGCTTATGCCAAATAAAAATGACAAAATTAAGAAAGACGATAATCACAAATTTGTAAAAAATGTCAAAAATGTTGGGGGAGTTTCGCTTGAAAATGGCTCCACAAACAATTTAACAGCCAATTTTCATCACAGTCCGAAGCGGATTAAAGGAAAACCAATAACCAAGTATTTTGCTTTGAAATTCTCATGAATCCCCCTAATTTCTCAAATTTTCAAGGAAATCTACTTTGACGGATTCTGTTGCGGGTTTTGTCAATGAAGTCATTACTAATGTGAATTCGACTAATGAGCCAATAAAATGGGCAAAGATTCAAAATCTTCAGACTGGTTAGGTTTTTTTTTAATTGTAATGGGTTTGGGTTGAATTTAGAACAATTAATTGATTTATTAATTTTCTTGACTCCGTGGTTAAGTGGTTTAATTTTTAGTTTTAGTAATTAATGGGGGGGGGTGGTGGGTTCGAGTCCGCCTGTCTTTCTGTTTATTTTTGTGTGGTCAGGTGATTTCCTGAGTAATTAGTTGACTTTAATGTCTTCGTGGTTAAGTGGTTTAATTTTCAATTTTAATAACATGGGGGTGTGGGTTCGAGTCCGCTTGCCCCCTTTATTTTTTATTCGCGGTTAGGAACTATGATAACCAGTTTCTTATTTAATTCCATGGTCATAGGTGTTTTAATTTTTAATTTTCTCACAGTTTCCTTAATTTGTCTTCGATTAACTTTTACAAATTCAGGTTTGAAAGGCAAAGATTCTGCTCTTATTGTAATTATTATTGGTTTGGCAAGAGGATATCAAATTTATTTTATGGTTTTTTACTTTAATTTTCTTTAAATTTTTACCCTTTTTAATAGGAAAATGGTGAATTTGAAGAAATAATTTCTGTTAGAAACGCTCCTCTTAAAGATGGATTACTTCTTCCTTTTAATGTTGATGGTGTCGACAGGTTCTTTTTGAATTTTTAAATTAGTCAAACCTTGCTATAAGTTACCTTCAATCCAGTACCTTCAAGACTAAATACTCCTCAATTTAAGATACTTTTGTTAAAATTTGCTTCACCACTGGGTTGCCCATGCGATACCACTGGGTGTGCCATTTTAACCTTTCGCTGATTTTAGCATTTTTTTGCTGTTTTGACATTCTTGTTTTATTAAATGTCGCATTTTTTTCTTTCGTTTTTTGCTTTTTAAAACCAGTTTCGACACATCCCTGCCCCCTTTAAGTGACACCTCATAAGGGGGATTTCTCTCTGCTTAGGTAAGGGGGGCCTTTCTCCAAGAGGGTCTCTTATAGCGAACTTTGACTCTATTTAATAAACAATTTTTCTTCTTCAGTCTCTCCACTCATCGCCCAATATTTGCTTCTGTTTTCGAGGAGTACTCTTCTGATGGGAACACTTTAAATTTTATTTCTTTGAGTTCTGGAGAGACTTGGCGACGGGATAAATTTGACACTCACATTGCGGAAATTGATTTTTCTTCCAAGTTTGTTCTAAATTTTGTTGATATTTTATTTATTTTTCTACGTTTTTAAGCTGTTTTTTGGTAATGCTTGCCGACATTATTATAATTTACAACAATAATGACCTCATTGAACGCTTACGTGTAAAAATACCAAAAGGTTGTCCAGTGTTTGCCTTGTCGGGAAATTTCCTTGCTTTTGCGGATGAGAATGTTTGATTTTTATTAAATTAATTTAAGGTGGGGATAGTTAGTTTCAGTGCTTTTCCGGTTTCCACAGAATCGTAGACGGTTCTGTCAAGGGCGTAGCTAGGGGGTCAATTTCAGGGGGGGGCTAAAAGTGGGTGAGCGCCAAAAGTTTTAGCCCCAGAAGCCCCCTGGCTACGGCCTTGGCTTCTGTGGTTCTGATTCCTGGCCAATCCCATTTTTTGTGTTCGTTCCTCTATCATGAACAAGAACCTGAGCAATGATTTGGGAGCCAGAAGGATACTGGCTCCTTAGAATCGAAGACGGTTCCGATATTCAAGTTTTTGATAGAACACAATTTTTGATGGTTCCTGTTCCTGGTCTATTCAATTTTTTGCTGGTTCCTTGACTTACAATTAGACGTTGAGCCCGAAACCGCGGTTTTTGGAAACTTTTCTTGGAATCGGAAGATCACTGACTAACACAGTCAAAAACATTTTAGAAAATCTTGGCTTTAAACGGAATATTTTTAGCTTTTTCAAAATAGTAAAGGACCATTCGGTCAACTCATTTCATTTTTTAAAATTTTTTTCAGTGGAAACATTCATTACTTTCTTGCGGATTTTCAACTGACAATCATTCAACAGACAACCATGTAATGTTAACAGCCAAAAAAATAACCAAAACGATGACTTCTTTTGGTGGTTCTATAGTCTCCTCAATTACTACACCTTTAAAGAATGTAAATAATAATGGAATTATTAATAACAACAATAAAACGGGACTTGTAACAATTGTAAATATTGATCCAAATTTAAAATATTTTTCAACATGTTTTAAAGCGAACAAGGTTTGTGTGTTTTGTTTAATTTGGTTTTGTGAGGGCGTTGTCCGCAATTTTTGTCCGCAATACAAATATCAACCGTCCGCAAATATGTCCGCAGTTATTTTTTTCGTTTTTTTTGTTAACTTTTTGACTATTTGTGTTGAAATTACTTATAGAGCAACTTTTTCTAGAGACAGGAATAAGATAGTGTTAGGAGGAAGGACAAGGTATGCATTTCGAAAAGTCCGCAAATTAAATCAAATTTTACAGTGTTACCTTAACAATTTTCTGTTTTTTTAAGAATTGAATTGGGTTTTCATCAGGGATTGGGTGATTTGAGAGAATAATCGGATTGGGATTTTGTATCAAATTTTTATAATTTCCTTTGGATCAGAGTTTGGATTTCTACTTTAAAAAAATGTCCAGGCTTTGGATTTTCGATAGCTCGGCCCATCCTTGGTTTCATATTTTAATTTGTCACTTTTTCTTGTTACTTTTTCTGGTCTTGATGGTCTATTTGATTAAAAAATATTTGCGGACAAAACTTGCGGACATTGTCCATTAAAAAAAATTTTTTTTTTCAATTTTTCTTTTCATTACAGAATCAAACCAGCACTAATTTGGATTATTTAGCACATTTTTGTGCTCATAAAAATTCAAAAATTGGCCATTTAATGTTTGGAAAGGGAGGTCAATTGCTTCTAACTGGTTCTAGTTCATCTACTATTTTTAATGTTTTTCTTGTCCATGTACACCCAAAGAATTCAGCTCTTTCATGCATACAACATATTTATTCCCTTGTGAGAGGAAATTCGACTGCAAAGGTTTTGGAAAAAATTTTGAAAAATTTTTAACTCCTAAAAATTTTTTGAAAATTTTTTTGAAATTTATGATTTTTTTTTAAATTTTTAACCCTAAAAAATTCTCGGAAAATTTTTTATAAAATTTTTTAATTCTACAAAATTTTTTTCTGAAATTTTTTGAAAAATTTTTTACCTCCCAAAATTTTTTTTGAAAATTTTTAACCCCCAGAAATTTTTCGGAAAAACTTTTGGAAAATTTTAACCCCCCCCCCCCCCCCCCAAAATTTTTTAAAAAAATTTTAACCTCAAAAAATTTTTTGAAAATTTTTACTTTTCTTCATTAGGTCATTAGCAGCGTTTTTTCATCAGACAATCGTTGGGTAGCAATTTCTACAAATCATGGAAGTACCCATTTATTTGCTATTACACCTTATGGAGGTCGTGTAACAACACGTACACATAACGGCAAATTTATGAATAAAGAAAGTCGTTTTGAAAAAACTGCTGGAATAATTAATAGAACAACAAATTGTAGTAATAGTGGAAATGGTGGAGGTGGTGGAAATCATCAACAAGTTTTTAGGTTTGAAAAAATTTTTTTGAAGGAAATTTTTTTGGTTCTCTAGTAGGGGGTTGTTATTTTAGGCCATAAAATATTGAAGAGTTTGAAACTTTTCAAAATACACCCTCTCCCATCTACCCTCTTTTTTCTCTCAATCCACTCCATTCTTTCGTCCACTGCTTTTCCGCAAAATTTCTTTCAGATCATTTTTCCCTTGAAGAACAAAAAAAAACACCCTTATACTACACCCCTGCTTTCTCCAGTGGCATTGCTTGCTTGCATTATTTTATTTTTCTGAGCCACTTCTTGGGAGGGGGAAATTTTACCGAATTAGGTGTGGATAAACTTGTTGAATAAAACTAGTTTTTGGACCTTTCCCTCTAATGTTATTTTTAATTTTTAATCAAAAAATACTCTATTTAATGCTAGAATTTTTCAAAAAAATTTTTTTAATAGAATCCATCCTGGCACAAAAAATTCAACATTAATACGAACAGTGTCTAATGCCCATGTATCCAGCTATTATGTTAAGCCTATTGTATTGGTAAATTTTTTTAATTTTTTTGATAATTTTACTTATTTTTATAGTGTTCATCAGTATTGGCTAAACAAGCATTATTTTCTTCTGAAAGTTTTTGGTAAGGAAAAAACTTTTTTTTTCTAAAATTTTTTGAAAAATTTTTTTTTGAAAATTTAGAAAAATTTTTAATGAAAACTTTTTCTGAAATTTTTTGAAAGTCTTGAAAAATTTTTTTGAAATTAAAAAAATTTTAAAAATTTTTTTCAATTTTTTTATGACCTTGAAAATTAAAATTTCAAAAAAAATTATTATTTTTTTCTTAAAGTGCTTGGGCTTCCGACAATACCATAAATATTTTACAACCATCAAATGGTAGTAGACTCCATCATAAAAATGATTACAATTCCAAAGATGTTTCACCAACAGCAAAAAGGGCTGTCATTTTTACTGACAGTTTAATTGATGTAAATAAAATTATTTTTTTTATTTTAAAATTTTTTTGAAATTAATTGGGTCAATTTGTAATTTAACTAATTTTAAAATAAGATTAACAAACAAGTTGCAAAACATAAGAGGAATAATGACCTTTTTACAAATTGTAAAACAAGTTTAATCTACAATTGCTTATTACAAACTTTAAAACAAGTTGTAAAACATATTTTATCGTGTTCTGAAACTCATTACATATTGTAAAAACTGTTTTTTGTTTTAATAGGTTTAAAACTTTTTTTACAAATTGTAAAATTTTTTAACAAGCTCGTATGACAAACTTTTTTTACAAATTGTAAAACAAGTTGTAAAACATATTTTATCGTGTTCTGAAACTCATTACATATTGTAAAAACTGTTTTTTGTTTTAATAGGTTTAAAACTTTTTTTACAAATTGTAAAATTTTTTAACAAGCTCATATGACAAACTTTTTTTACAAATTGTAAAACAAGTTGTAAAACATATTTTATCGTGTTCTGAAACTCATTACATATTGTAAAAACTGTTTTTTGTTTTAATAGGTTTAAAACTTTTTTTACAAATTGTAAAATTTTTTAACAAGCTCGTATGACAAACTTACTTTTACAAATTGTAAAACAAGTTGTAAAACATATTTTATCGTGTTCTGAAACTCATTACATATTGTAAAAACTGTTTTTTGTTTTAATAGGTTTAAAACTTTTTTTACAAATTGTAAAATTTTTTAACAAGCTCATATGACAAACTTTTTTTACAAATTGTAAAACAAGTTGTAAAACATATTTTATCGTGTTCTGAAACTCATTACATATTGTAAAAACTGTTTTTTGTTTTAATAGGTTTAAAACTTTTTTTACAAATTGTAAAATTTTTTAACAAGCTCATATGACAAACTTTTTTTACAAATTGTAAAACAAGTTGTAAAACATATTTTATCGTGTTCTGAAACTCATTACATATTGTAAAAACTGTTTTTTGTTTTAATAGGTTTAAAACTTTTTTTACAAATTGTAAAATTTTTTAACAAGCTCATATGACAAACTTTTTTTACAAATTGTAAAACAAGTTGTAAAACATATTTTATCGTGTTCTGAAACTCATTACATATTGTAAAAACTGTTTTTTGTTTTAATAGGTTTAAAACTTTTTTTACAAATTGTAAAATTTTTTAACAAGCTCGTATGACAAACTTTTTTTACAAATTGTAAAACAAGTTGTAAAACATATTTTATCGTGTTCTGAAACTCATTACATATTGTAAAAACTGTTTTTTGTTTTAATAGGTTTAAAACTTTTTTTACAAATTGTAAAATTTTTTAACAAGCTCGTATGACAAACTTTTTTTACAAATTGTAAAACAAGTTGTAAAACATATTTTATCGTGTTCTGAAACTCATTACATATTGTAAAAACTGTTTTTTGTTTTAATAGGTTTAAAACTTTTTTTACAAATTGTAAAATTTTTTAACAAGCTCGTATGACAAACTTTTTTTACAAATTGTAAAACAAGTTGTAAAACATATTTTATCGTGTTCTGAAACTCATTACATATTGTAAAAACTGTTTTTTGTTTTAATAGGTTTAAAACTTTTTTTACAAATTGTAAAATTTTTTAACAAGCTCGTATGACAAACTTTTTTTACAAATTGTAAAACAAGTTGTAAAACATATTTTATCGTGTTCTGAAACTCATTACATATTGTAAAAACTGTTTTTTGTTTTAATAGGTTTAAAACTTTTTTTACAAATTGTAAAATTTTTTAACAAGCTCATATGACAAACTTTTTTTACAAATTGTAAAACAAGTTGTAAAACATATTTTATCGTGTTCTGAAACTCATTACATATTGTAAAAACTGTTTTTTGTTTTAATAGGTTTAAAACTTTTTTTACAAATTGTAAAATTTTTTAACAAGCTCGTATGACAAACTTTTTTTACAAATTGTAAAACAAGTTGTAAAACATATTTTATCGTGTTCTGAAACTCATTACATATTGTAAAAACTGTTTTTTGTTTTAATAGGTTTAAAACTTTTTTTACAAATTGTAAAATTTTTTAACAAGCTCGTATGACAAACTTTTTTTACAAATTGTAAAACAAGTTGTAAAACATATTTTATCGTGTTCTGAAACTCATTACATATTGTAAAAACTGTTTTTTGTTTTAATAGGTTTAAAACTTTTTTTACAAATTGTAAAATTTTTTAACAAGCTCGTATGACAAACTTTTTTTACAAATTGTAAAACAAGTTGTAAAACATATTTTATCGTGTTCTGAAACTCATTACATATTGTAAAAACTGTTTTTTGTTTTAATAGGTTTAAAACTTTTTTTACAAATTGTAAAATTTTTTAACAAGCTCGTATGACAAACTTTTTTTACAAATTGTAAAAACTGTTTTTATATTTTAATAGGTTTATAAACTTGTTTTACAAATTGTAAAACAAGTTGAAAACATATATTAACATGTTCTCAACCTTTTTTCAAATTGTAAACAAGTTTAATTTGCAATTGCTCATGACAAACTTATTTTACAAATTGTAAAATAAGTTGCGAAACATATTATAACATGTTCTCAAACTTTTTACAAATTGCAAAACAATTTGTGAAACATATTAATATATTCACAACCTTTTTACAAATTGTAATAATTTTTTCCTATTTTTCACAGAAGCAACAACAACGTCCATCAATCGTCTCTTCCTTAATAATGCTAGAAGGTGATGGTGTATTAACCCAATATGGAATAGATATTACAAATAATTTACAAACATATAATTCAATTAATATTCTTAAAAAATCCTTGTCAAATGATTTACCTTCTGATTTTGAAAGGGGCAGTTGTAATAGAAAAAGTTGTTTGTCAATTAATGATAATAGAAGAATTAGTAATAGCAACAACAATAATTGCAACAATGTTGTAATTAATGATTCTATAAACAATGCAAAGTTGGTTAGAATGACTGAGTGGGAATTAAGCAGGTAAGAAAATAAACAAAACATGTTTTGAATGAAAATTATGGGTGTTGTAAAACAAGTTTTATTTGAACAAAGTTTTAAAACTTTTACAAATTGTAAAATAAAGTTTAAAACAAAAATTAAAACAAGTTTAATGGGTTTAGGGTTTTTTACAAATTGTAAAACAAGTTGCTAAACATAATATTAATAAGCAAACATGTTTTGACTGAAAATTATGGGTGTTGTAAAACAAAGTTTTATTTGAACAAAGTTTTAAAACTTTTTACAAATTGTAAAAAAGTTGCTAAACATAATTTTAATTTTTGGAACATTTTTACAAATTGTAAAAAAGTTGCTAACGTAATATTAATTTTTGAAACTTTTTTACAAATTGTAAAACTTGTTTTTAAACATAAGCAAGATTTAATATTAAGTTGTAAAATAAGGTTTAATTTACAATTGCTTAGGAAAAACTTTTTACAAATTGTAAAGCAAATTTAATATTGTTTAAACTTATTATGAATTGTGAAAACAAGTTTTAACGTTAAACAACAAACCAATTTTTTAAAAAAAAACTTAAAAAAGTGTAGTACTTGTTTTTATAGATTAGGTCAAACTTAAGTTGTAAAACGAGCTTAATTTACAATCGCTTAGGAAAAACATACAAATTGTAAAACTTGTTTTATATAAACATGTTTTTACAAAATACATTTTATTTAATTTTTAGAAGCAACAGTACTATAGACTTTGAAGCAGTTAACCCTCCACTTCCTCAAAACAATTCTTTTATGAAATTATATTTAAAAAGCAAGGAGAAGAACCAAATTAAACAACAGGAAAAGAATTGGCTTCCGTTTTTGGAAGTTATTACTTATTCTGGGCCTCATAGAAGATTGGTAAAAATATAGCTTTTTTCTGTTAAATTTCTTAAATTTTTTAAGTGGCTTGGACCTCAATTTTGCTTCAATGTTCATACTACATCTTCTACGTCTTCAGAATGTGTAAGTTTAATATTTTTGTGTTGGAAACAGACAAGTGTACCGCGAGCCTAATGTACCGCCGAGCTATAACGTTGTCCAAGATTGTCGAATCCGTGGCGTTCTGGTATGGTTCAATTCAGCTGGTCGAGCCGCATCGAACCATACCAGGGCGCCACGGATTCGTCAATTTTAAACAAAGTTATAGCTCGGCGGTACATTGGGGTTGCTTGCGGTACAGCGTGTGTACCCGTTTCTGTGTTTGTGTATTCGTGTGTATTTTGTGGTTTTGTATTTTTTTTTTGTATTTCTGTGTTTGATATTTTTGTGTTTTTTTTATTTTTGTGATTGTAATTTGTGTTTTATAGTTTTTGATTAATTTCTTTCAATTTTCCAGACAGATGAGGACTCTTGCGAAAGCTTCATTTCCCAAGTCAATGGTCTTAAAAAGTGTTGCCCAGTCTTAATCGAAAGAGAACATCAACAACATCACCAAATGAATGGATTTATTAAATCAAACGAGGAAATGGTTGTAGCAAAAATTGTTTGTGGTTCTTGGTCTTCAGAAATAGATTCAAAATCAATGGATGGGATATCTGGAAAATTGAAAGAAAAAATTGATGAGGCAATGAGAGATTTGAATTTGAGTGAGGAAATGGTAAAATAAATTTTTTTGGGGGTTTAAAATTTTGTTAAAACACAAAAAACACAAAAAAACACAAAAATAAAAAACAAAAAAATACAAAAAATCACAAAACACAAAAATACAAAAACACAAAAAAAATTTTTTAAGGATGATTCGCTAGAACAAAGTCAGGAAGAAGAGGATCTCATGACGCTTTCAAAAATTGATATTTGACAAAGAGAAATTTTTATTTTAGAAAATAAATTTTTTTTTGAAAAGAATGGCCTATAATTAGGTGCCCTTAATATTTAAATAAATTTATATATTTACTTGAAGCTGTCCATGCTCCTTCGGTTTGGGACTTAATTTAAGACTTTTCTTGGGGGTTTTTTTGGCTTGAACATGTTGAGGTCTTGGACAGATCTAATACCAGGAATCCTGCCGTCCCGATTCCCGAAAATTCCCGAAAATCGTGAATTTCCGGCGTTTTTTTTGGGTTGGGATCTCGATTTCCCGAAATCGGGAATTGAAAAAATTCGGGAATTCCCGAAATCGTGAATTTGGTTTTTTGTCGGCAGGATCCCTACTCTATTACATTTACATTAAAATATACTATTCACTTCATTTTTTTGCTATAATTTTTTTAAATTTTTTAAAATTCTTTTTTTTAATTTACATGTGACATACTTGTATTGACTAAATTGTCTCTCAAAAATATTCAAAAAATTTTCCTAATATTTAGGAATATTTTTTCAAAATATTTTTAAAATATTTTTTAAAAGAATTTAAAAAATTGAGAGACAATCTGAGAGACAATTTAAGTATTTTACAAATTTATCTTATTTAATTATTAGTCTTTATGTATTTTTTTTACTTTTCTAGTGCTTGTACCTACTATCTTTTTCTAGTTTTTTGTACATAATTAAAATTGTAAATAAAAATAGAAATTTTTTTAAAGAGTTTGGATGTCTAAAAATCCTCCCAATATTATAAATTATTTTCAAAATTTTTTTTTAAAAATGCTTTTTTTTTAATTTTAAATTGAGGAATGGAAGGGAAAGGGAACGCAGTCTTTGTAAGCGAATACAAAAGGCTAGTGAGTTTGTTTTAATAATTTTAAGAAAACTTGTTTTACAATTGTAAAATCAAGTAGGGTAAAAGACTTGAGTTTTTGAGAAGGTCAGTCAAACAATCTCCGGAAAAAGTAGCTTTTAATTGTAAAAACTTAATTTTCCGGAAACAACTAACCAGAGAATGGATTAAACTTACAATTGTAAAACCCTAAGTTTTAATAATTATTTTTCCGTAAAACTTACAAATTGTAAAACAACTTTATTTTACTTTTACAATTGTGAAATTTCAAAACTTTAATGATTATTTTTCCGGAAACTTTTACAATTGTTAACTTTTACAATTGTAAAACCTAGTTTTTAATTTTCCGGAAACGGAGAATTAAACTTACAATTGTAAAACCCTTTAGTCTTTAATTTATTCTTCCGGAAAATAATTGTAATTTATTTATTTTACTTTTACAATTGTAAAACAAGTTTATTTTACTTTCACATTTGTAAAAACCTCAAAACTTTAATAATTATTTTTCCGGAAACCTTTTCCGGAAACAAATTAACTTTTACAATTGTAAAACCTAGTTTTTAATTTTTCCGGAAACAATTTCCGGAAACGGAGAATTAAACTTACAATTGTAAATACCTCTAGTCTTTTATTTATTCTTCCGGAAAATAATTGTAATTTATTTATTTTATTTTTACAATTGTAAAACAAGTTTTTTAGTATTTATTTTTATAGGCTAAGCTTGGAAAAGAACGCACAGAAAAATTGGGATCGTTTTTACAAAAGAAATTCTTCCAACTTTTTTAAAGATAGAAATTGGACTAGGAAAGAAATTGAACTTTTATGTGAGGATATTTCCTTAAATGTTAGCTTTCTAAAATAAAAAAAAATTTTTTTTTAATTTAAGGACAGTCTTTTATTTCTCGATGCTGGTTGCGGGTGTGGAAATACAATATTCCCGTTAACCAAATGTTTTCCTAATTGGAAATTTTACGGAATAGATTTTTCTAAAAATGCTATTGACTTACTTGAGAGGAGATCAGAGGAAACAAGCGTTAAGGGTAAGAGGGAAAGAATTTGCTTTAGAAACGACTAACTATGATTGTGAAACTTCCCGGAAAACAATTCCGTAAATTGTAAAAACCTTTCCGGAAAGTAAGACAATTGATGAAATAATTATTCCGGAAATAATTAAATCGAGTTTACAATTTTCCGGAAAAGTAAAAGTGAATTCCGGAATTAATTTATTTGAATTTACAATTTTCCGGAAATTGTTTTTCTAATTTTTTTACAATTGTAAACCCTTCCGGAAAAGTAAAACTGAAAATCGGAATTAATTTAAATGAACTTACAATTTTCCGGAAAACAAAACTGATTTTACAATTCCGGAATTAATTCAATAAGTTTCCGGAAAATACCTATATTTTATTTTTTACAATTGTAAACCTTTCCGGAAAAACAATAATATAAAACAAACAAATACAATTGTAAAAACCTTTGTAAAACATTCTTTTCAGTAAAAGCCACTGTATTCGATTTAACATCAAAAAACATATCAGAATTGGATTTTCCTCAAATGGATTTAATTTCTCTAGTATTTGTACTCTCAACAATTTCAAAAGAAGGGCAACTTGAAGTTGTTAAAAATATTAGGAAATTATTGAAGCCGAAAGGAAGTGTAATTGTTAGGGATTATGGAGCGAATGACCAGTTAAACATTACAATTTTAAATTTTCCGGAATTGTCTTCCGGAATATATTTTTCCGGAATTTTCAGCATTCGTTTCCGGAATCCATTTCCGGTTTTTTGAACCGAAACGGAATTTTCAGGAAAATTTCGGAGAATTTCCGGAATTGTCTTCCGGAAATTTTTTCCGGAATATATTTTTCCGGAAAAATTTTTCCGGAAAATTTTTTTCCGTAATTTTCAGAATCCTTCCCGGAATCCATTTCCGGTTTTTTCGGAATCAATTTTTTCCTCGATTCCAGAATTTCCGGAATTTTCAGGAAAATTCTGGAGAATCTTCCGGAAGACAATTCCTGAATTGAAAAAAAATTAAAAATTAATTTTCAGTGCAATGACTAGATTTGGAAGAAATTCAAAGATAGACGAGCGCTTTTATGTTAGACAAGACGGGACTAGAGCCTATTATTTTTTAACAGGCAAAATACCTCTTATAAAAATTCTAAAAATTAAAAAAAAATTTTTCTAGAGGAGCTTAGCTCATTATTTGAGGAATCTGGTTATTCTACTCATGAATGTAATTATGTCCACAGGACAACAGAAAATATAAAAGAAGGAATTAATTTTGAAAGAACATTTGTTGAGGGAAGGTTTATCAAAAACACTGAATAAGTGGAGAATTGCAAATTGTAAGCCTGAATGCATAGGCATAATTGTTGTTTTACAAACATATCCAGATAAACCTAATAATTTGTAGAACTTGGTAAACTTTATTATTTAAACCGCAAGTTTAAATTGAAATTCAACTTTCCGGAAGGAAGGTTGTAAAACTTGAAGTAAAATTACAAATTGTAAAACAAGTTGCAAAATATTTTTTAATGTTCTGAAACCTTTTACAAATTGTAAAAACAAGTTTGGCTAGAAAAAATTAAAACTTTCCGGAAAATAATTTTATTTTTATTCTTTATTTACAAATTGTAAAACAAATTACAAATGTCAACTTAATTGTAAAACTTGAAGAAAAACTACTTTAAACAACCAAAACCTAAAGTTACAAATTGTACTTTGTAAACTTGTCCTGGTGACTTAAAACTTAAGTCCTGGTAAAATTTAAATGTTTTAATTGTTAAATGTTTCGCAAACTTGTTTTAAATAAACTTAGTAAATTAATAAACTTACAACCGGAAAATTAATATTTTCCGGAAAGAATTAAATATTTTAATTTTTACAATTGTAAACCTTTCCGGAAAAGTAAAACAACTGATTTTACAATTCCGGAAATAACGAAATAAAATTAACTTTCCGGAAACAATTCCTGATACAAAGTATTCCATTCTAGCCGCGGACTTTGGTCAACTTTTAATTTTTTTCACCATTTAGATATCTTATCTTTTTATTAAATCTGTTCCCTATAGTTCATATTGTTTTGTCCTTGACTGCGTAAGTGTCCGAGAAATACCAGACAAAGGATAACGAATAACAGACTAACTAATTTTTAAGTCAGATAGAACCCCACTCCTCCCCCAAACCCCTTATCTGGTCTCTCTCTACAACCTTGTCACTTAATAAAGAATTTAGTTTTGACTAAATATTTCTCTTAAAATTCCAAATTATTCATTAAATTACTCAAATCTGTCAACTTTTGAATATGGGCGTAAGTTCAGAAGTTTTAATAAAAATTAAAAAAATTAAAGGGCAACTGCTCTAATTTTACATGCGAGCCAGCCAACTATAGTAGTGGTTTTGCTTGTAGAGGCACATTTAGTGGAGCTACTCCGACAACAACAGTTATACCCACAACAACAACTACTGTTAGAACTCCACCCAGTTATTCTCCTCCCTGTTATTCTGGGTGGAATTCGAACGGTTCCATTAGACGTGTAAATGGAAATTATACTTTTGAGCCTGGAAACAATCCAAAATGCTCGATTATATGATATACCAACAGAAGGAAGAAAAAATTATCTTTTGAAAGAATTATTGTTGAAAGAAAGTTTATTAAAAACACTATTAGAGAATTACAAATTGTAAAACTTGAATTGTAAAACTTTATAGTTTGTATTTGTTAAATGTTTCGCAAACTTGTTTTAAATAAACTTAATTGTAAAACTTGAAGGTTTATCCGGAAAATTACAATTATACCTTTCCGGAAAACTTGGATTAATTTGAAATAATTTTACAATTGTAAATGTTTCCGGAAAACAATTTTCGATTAATTAATATTTTTTTACAATTGTAAACCTTTCCGGAAAATCCAATACAATTCCGGAAATAAATAAAATACTACTTCCGGAAAAACAATTCCGTAAGGTGCTGTGACAATATTTTTACAATTGTAAAATACTCCCGGAAAATTGTAAAACTTTCTTTTGAAACATACAAATTGTAAATCTTGAAAAGGGTACAACTAATAACTTAAAATTACCAACTTTCCGCAAATTGTAAAACTTGAAAAAAATATACAAATTGTAAAACTCGAATTGCCTACCAGAAAAAGGGGGAATTGTAAAACTTTTCTTTGAAACTTACAAATTGTAAAACTAAAATTGCAGTTTCTAAGGGACTCAAAACATGTTTTAAAACACAAAAACATCGTTTAATAACTTAACAACAAATATACAACAAATATACAACAAAAACATATTTACAATTATGAGAGAAATTATTATTTATTTTGGTTTCTTTCCAAGTTTGAAGCCTTTCCCGCTGAAGCCACTCTTCTTGACATCATTGTCCTTTGGTTTAGGGTTGTCAGTGTTGTTGAGCTTCTCCATTTCCTTGACCAATTTATGTGCCTTATATCCCTCCCTTCTCATAAATGTTAGCTGTCCAGGCTTGTAGTCCTCATCAATTTCAGGCTCCATTTTGTGTTCATCCTTAAATAAATTTTGAAAATTTAAAAAAAATTTTTTCTCTTACAAAAATAGCCGTTTCTGTAAGCAGCTCGTAATCATCAAAATCCACCTTCAAATCACAATTTGTAATGTCGCAAAGCCGATTTGGTTTTAAGTCAGTCACTCGAAAGCGAAGTTCGTCCTTGTTGTACTAGAAAATATTTTTTTTGAAATTTTAAGGGTCAAATGTTAAAATGTCAAATTTTCAAAATGCCAACTGTCAAAATGTCAAATTTCAGAATATACTTTTTCGAAATGTCAAATTTTCGAAATGCCCAACTCTTAAAATACCAATTTCTAAAAAATCATTTTTCAAAAGGTCTAAACGTCAAAATGACACATTTCCAAAATGACCAACTCTCAAAACGCCCAACTCTCAAAACCCCCCCCCCCCCCCCCATACCTCAATAGCAATTTCATCCCCAACAGACAAGCACTGATATTTATTCAGCTGCACTTCAAGCACTTGTCGAACCTTTTTAATGTTTTCATCGTTAATAATGGAGAGCACTCGCTTAGACAGAATCGGCTTGAATTTTGCAAAAGTTGCAGCTTTGAAGTTGATTACGTGCTGAATCCAGACAGGATAACCATCATGCAATTTCAATTGTTGCATCATCTTAAATGTGAAAAAATTTGAAAAAAAAAACAAATGAAACGTGTCTGTTAGAAAATGGAATCATTTTGACTTTACCAAAACATTTGACCTAAACGACATTTTGACTAAAATGATATTTGACTGAAACGACATTTAACCGAAACGACATTTAACCGAAACGACATTTAACCGAAACGACATTTGACCGACCAAAACGACATTTAACCGAAATGACATTTGATCAAGATGACATTTGACCTAACCGACATTTGCCCTAAACGACATTTGACCAAAATGACAGTTGACCTAACCGTAATTTGTCCAAAACGACATTTGATCAGAACGACATTTGGCAAAAACGACATTTAACCGAAACTACATTTGACCAAAACGACGCTTGATCAAATCGACATTTGATAAGAACGACATTTGACCGAAATGACACTTTCTTAGAGGATGACCAAAGGGGTTTAAAAATTAAAAATAAGCTCTCCCTACCCAAGGAGGCAAATAACATTGATCCTCAGGAGATTCATAATCTAGCGCACCGCAGAACACTCTAGAAGGTTTTTCAACAATTTCTTCCAGTGATGGTTGTGCCAATGGAGTAATTTTATAGTTGACTATTTTAACAGTGTAGAAAGCATAGATGTATTGCAAATGGAGTATGAAGGATGGCGGAAGTGAAATCTTAAAAAATTTTTTTATGCGAAATTTCGTCAAAAATTTCGAAACTCGAAATTTCGTCAGAATTTTTGAAACTCGAAATTTCGTCAAAATTTTCGAACACGAAATTTCGTCAATATTTTTCGAAACTCGAAATTTCTGCAACATTTTCGAAACTCGAAATTTCGTCAAAATTAAAAAAAACGAAATTTCGTCAAAATTTTCAAAATTCGAAATTTCGTCAAAATTTACAAATCGAAATTTCTTACCTTTCCACCATATACAGCATCCCGAATTGCAGAACGACTCAATTTTGGGTGTTTTTCCATGGAGTAACAACGCAGAATCAAAAATTCTGGAGGCGGCACAACTGTCGAACTTCCTGCTGATTCATGAGGATGATGAGCTCCTGTTGATCTTGAACGATTATGACGAGAAGAATGGTGATCAGGAGGTGGTGGAGGATGTGGCGGAGTTGATCGATGTCCAGGTGTGGTACTGCTCGAAGTTGTTGCATTACTAAAAAGGAAAAAATGAACTGACAACTTTTGCGGATTTTTATTTGGAACTTGCGGACAACTTTTGTGACTTGCGGACAACTTTTGCGGATTTTTATTTAGAACTTGCGGACATTTTTGTGACTTGCGGACAACTTTTGCGGACTTTTATTTGGAACTTGCGGACAACTTTTGCGACTTGCGGACAACTTTTGCGGATTTTTATTTGGAACTTGCGGACTTTCGAAAACACAAAGGAAAGGACTCCTAAAGGAAAAAGAAACCCACACACCTTGTTGAAGGCTTGTTGGTTGAAGGCGCTGGAGTAGCTATCGCCACAGCAGTTGTTGTTGCGACTGCTGTTGTGCTTTCTGTGACTGCTGTTGTTGCCGTTCTTGTGTTGTCGTTATTTGCAGTATTCCCAGCTTGTCCCGCCACATACTCGGACATGTCATACTCCCTCACAGCGTTGGATTCACCACCAATAACATATTCTGACACACGCTCTGTTGGTTGAGGTTGAATGTAGGTTGAATTTGCCCTTTCTGTTGGCTGGGTGTTGACTGAGACGCATTCAAATGAAGGAGACAGCATTGTTGAACAGTCCGGATCGGAACTAGAAGCTGAAAAAATGAAAAAGGTTACTTGTGTAGTTTACCCCCCATAAGCCTCGCCCCTTTCCCAGATATCACTTTAAAGGAAAGGAAGACAGAAAAAGGGGTGGGGCTTATGGGAGGTAAACTACACAAGTAGCAAAAAGATAAGAAGATAAAAATCCTAACCAGTTTCAACAGAATACCACCAATCCTTCAGATGCTCAATAAAATCGAAGAGAACCAGCCTGGGAAAATAGTTGAGAAAACAGCACGCGAAATGGAGAGAACAAGTAGAGTTGTTAGAAGTGTCCGGTTAGAAGTTTCCGGAAAAGGGTTGCTTTTATAGTAATTTTGCGGCTGGAAAGGCAGAAACGCTGTCGCCTTATTAATTTTTGAATTAAATTTATTTTTAATTATTTTGGCATAATGTCTAAAAGAAAAGAAGTGTAGGGGATCATTGAGTCCCGCCGGTTGAGTCCCTGAGCCATATTTTTGGCCATAACTTTTTAAGTTTTCAATGAATTAGAATAAATCTTTTATCATTCGAAAGCCTTGGATGTGATGATTATTTTTGCCAACTACATTGATTTGATCAGATCATCCTACTAAAAGTTACATTCAGTTAAGTGCGCGTAATCGTGATTTTTGACCTTTATTAGGATGTAACTTTTTGTATGTTGATCTGATCAGTTCAATCCTGATAGATAAAATAATCCTTACATCAAGAGCTTTCGATTAAAATATTAATTAACTAAATCGATTAAGAATTGGAAAAGTTATGGTCCAAAATGTGGCTCCGGGACTCAACCGGCGGGACTCAATGATCCTGTTCCGGAAAAGAAGGTAGAGGGGTCAGTTGAGTGCGTAAATGCTAGTGGACTTTGCCCGGCAATAACTTTATGCTGCTTGATCTAATCTGAACAAATTTCATATCATTCGAAAGCTATTGATAAGCACTACCTTTTATCCAACTACACCGATAAAGTCAGATCACCCCTTAAAAAGTTATAACCCGATGAGTGCAAATATTTGGTAATTTTCACAGTTATTAGGTTATAACTTTTTATCGAGTGATCGAACTTGAATCAACCCTTCTGAAAAAATATACCGCTCATCAATAGCTTTCGAAAGATATAAAATTTGTTCCGATAGGATCAAGCACAAAAAAGTTATAGCCGATCAAAAATTGGCCTGCGATCTAGTTCTAGTGCTGAAGTGGCTGTAGGAGCCTTTCCGCGATAAAAAATATTTTTTTGGCATAATATTAAAACAATGAAAAAATGGTAAATTTAATAATGGTCAAGTAATTTAAATTTTTTTTTAAATTTTTTTCTGAGTTTTTAAATTTATTTTCCGATTTTTGTTTTTTCAGTTAAATTTTAGTCAAATGGAAACGAAGGAAGCGAAAAAGAAAGTTGTTAAACTCAAAAAAGTAAAAAAGTCTGGAAAAGATGGGGAGAAGCTGAAAAGAAAGGTAGGAGAGCTTTTTGGGGGATTTCCGTTGAAATTTAATTTTTAGAAATTGTTTGAATGCAAAGTTGTTAAATGTTGGTTCATTACAGACACCTCAAATGCTTACAAGACTGACCAACTTCAGGTAAGAAAAATTTTTTTTCGAAAAAATCAGAATTTTTCAGAACCAGAAAAATCATAATATTTCAGAATCAGAAAAAAATCAGAATTTTTCAGAATAAGAAAAAATCAGAATTTTTCAGAACCTGAAAAAATCAGAATTTTTCAGAACCTGAAAAAATCAGAATTTTTCAGAACCTGAAAAAATCAGAATTTTTCAGAACCTGAAAAAATCAGAATTTTTCAGAACCTGAAAAAATCAGAATTTTTCAGAACCTGAAAAAATCAGAATTTTTCAGAACCTGAAAAAATCAGAATTTTTCAGAACCTGAAAAAATCAGAATTTTTCAGAACCTGAAAAAATCAGAATTTTTCAGAACCTGAGAAAATCAGAACTTAAAAAAATCAGAATTTTCAGAATCAGAAAAAAATCAGAATATTTCAGAATCTGAGAAAATCAGAATTTTTCAGAACAAGAAAAAATCAGAATTTTGTATTTTTCTTAAAAATTTTTTGAAATTCCAGGTAAAGCACAAATCAGATGGAGACTTGGTTTTGACTTTAAAAGATTCTTCTGATGATTCTGTCAAGTATGCCCTTCCAACACGTAATGAAGGATTTATGGTAGAACGAGGTGAATGTCAACCCAATATTTGTGTTTGGATTGGAACTGTAAGTTGTTGTGATGTTTTTTAATATTTTTGGTTTAGTGACGTTTTGAAGGAGAAAAAAGTTTTTCGGAAAAATCAGAATTTTTTGTGTTTTTCTGTATTTTAACAAATAAAGAGCCTTTCCGGAAAAATCAGAATTTTTTGTGTTTTTCTGTATTTTAACAAATAAAGAGCCTTTCCGGAAAAATCAGAATTTTTTGTGTTTTTCTGTATTTTAACAAATAAGGAGACTTCCGGAAAAATCAGAATTTTTTGTGTTTTTCTGTATTTTAACAAATAAGGAGACTTCCGGAAAAATCAGAATTTTTTGTGTTTTTCTGTATTTTAACAAATAAGGAGACTTCCGGAAAAATCAGAATTAATGTTTAGATACCTAAGTTAATTGTTACCGGAAAATACAGAAATGTATTTATTTTCCGGAAAAGATAAGAGAATGTGTGTTTTTCTGTTTCCGGAAAAGGATGGAAAATGTATTTTTTTGTTTCCGGAAAAAATACATGTGTTTTTGTAAAATGTGTTTGTAAGTTTCCGGAACAGAATAAAATGTGTTTTTCTGTTTCCGGAAAAGGACAAAATGTATTTTTGTTTCCGGAACAGATAAAATGAGTGTTTTTCTGTTTCCGGAAAAGAATAAAATGTGTTTTCCGGAACAGATAAAATGAGTGTTTTTCTGTTTCCGGAAAAGGATAGAAAATGTATTTTTCTGTTTCCGGAAAAGATCAGAAAATGTTATCTGTATTTTTTAAAAAAATCAGAATGTATTTTAGTAAATCAGAATTGTATTTCCCAAAAATACAGAAAAATTCTTTGTTTTCCGGAAAAGGTCAGAAAATTGTATTTTTCGAATAAAATCAGAATTCTCCTTCCGGGAAACATGTATTTTTAAATTTATTTTTGAATCTTTCCGGAATACAATTAATGTGTTTTTTCTAAACAATCAGAATTTTTCTTTCAATTTTTAAGGAGAAACACTACCAGAAAATTGGTTATTTATTAATTTTTGAGACGGGAGAGAAGGCATTTGAATTTTACAAATTTACTCAACAGCGTAATACATTTACGAAACCGATTGAAGAAAAAAATGATGTGGGTGTGATTATTGATGTTTGAATTTTGAAAAATACTCGAGAATTTTTTTCAATGGAAATTTTGTCGGTACTTTTTTGTTTTGCCACACCCCACCCATATATTCGCAGGATATATTTTCTATTTTTCCTTAATTCGTACAGAAAGGTCAGTTTTCTTTCTTCCCCAATTTCACTTAATTTTCCATGTGGATTGACTCAATCTTCCGTGCTCACTCGATTTCCCCAAATGTTGATAACAATTTTGATGACATTGGAAAGAAAAATTAATCTTTTCTTTGTTGGTGTCTCTCATTGAACATGCCAGAGGGAATATTGAGTGAAATTGGGGAAGAAAGAAAACTGACCTTTCTGTACGAATTAAGGAAAAATAGAAAATATATCCTGCGAATATATGGGTGGGGTGTGGCAAAACAGAAAAGTACCATTTTGTCAAATTTTTATTTTTTATAAAAAAATTTTTTTAACAAAAATATTTGTTGGAGGACTCAAAACCCCCCCCCCCCCCATTTTTGGATAAACTATACTTTCCTGTATAATTTTTTTAAAAATTCCTGGGGGATTTTATTTTAGGATAAAACTAATAAGCCAATCGAAATAGCTCTCAGAATAATTATATTAATATTGAAGAATTTTTGAAAAATTTTGGCATGACCCTTCCGCAGTAACATTAAACGTGTTTTTTTTGAGACCAGAATTTGCTAAATGGATTATGAAGCTCAAGATATAACTCCTCCTCCTCCTCGACAACCTCAGTTTTCTATTGTTGTTTGTCCTTTATATTTTAAATATGCCCTCTCTGCACATTAAAATTAAATGTGAATTTTTTTCTTTTTTTTCTGAAAAAAATTCTGAAATTTTTTTCTGATTTTTTTAATCAAAAAATGAATTTTTTTAATCTAAAGAATAACAAAAAAAAATTGAGTAATTTTCAAAAAATATTTTTTTCCTTCTATTTAATTTTAAATTGCTTAATTCTAGGCTGTTTTGCTTTAGCATCACGCTTTTGTTCCAATTTTTCAAGACGACGTTGCCTGTCCGGGTCTTCCTCTTCCATAACTTTTTGTTTGCGCTCTCTTGTTTTCTCCTCTCTTCGAATCTAAAAATAAATAAAAATTAGAATATAATATATTTCCGGAAAATATATGTGCTTCCGGAAAATATAGAATGCTCCGGAAAACTCGGAACAGCTTCCGGAAAATATATAAAAGTTTCCGGAAAATATATAAAAGTTTCCGGAAAATATATAAAAGGATCCGGAAAACATTAAAAAGTTTCCGGAAAATATATAAAAGTTTCCGGAAAATATATAAAAGTTTCCGGAAAATATATAAAAGGATCCGGAAAATTATAAAAGGATCCGGAAAACATTAAAAAGTTTCCGGAAAATATATAAAAGTTTCCGGAAAATATATAAAAGTTTCCGGAAAATATATAAAAGGATCCGGAAAATTATAAAAGTTTCCGGAAAAAATATAAAAGTTTCCGGAAAATATATAAAAGCTTCCGGAAAACTCAAAAATGTTTCCGGAAAATATAGTATGTTCCGGAAAAATATATAGAAGTTTCCGGAAAATAAATAAAAGTTTCCAGAAAACTCGAGCTTCCGGAAATATGTTTCCGGAAAATATAGAATGTCCCGGAAATTATATTTATTAGAAAAGTGTTTGCAAAAGAGTGTTTTCCGGAAAAACACAATTTGTTACAAAACTAAACAGTTTACCTGCGCAGCTTCTTGCCTTTGTTGGTGCGTCATTTTAAGAAAATTTTCTTGGACATTTTGTCGTTTTCTATCGGCTCTTATTTTTCCTTCCTTACTAAAAAAAATTTTTTTTTTACATTTAAAATCAATTTTTAATTAATTTAAAAACCACCTTAATCGATAATTTTTGACCCTTTCCAAAATATAAAAGGTAAAATTTAACAAAAGTTCGTCCATCGAAGTATCATCGTTGTCCGAATTTAAAATAAAGCTAAAAATAAGGGTAGGGTGTGTTTCTGGTAATTTTGATGAATTTTGTCCACTAAAAATAATTTAAAAAAAATAATTTTTTTAAATTTACTCTTGTTGTTTAGCCCCAGAATATTGGTCAGAAATATGGACATATTCTATATATTTTTCACAACGCTTAAGAAAATGGACAGTTGTTGAATCTATTATTGCTGGGACCTAAAATGTTGGTAATTAAATAGAGGGAAAATTATAAATTTAAAAAGGGTTTCAGAATTTAATGCTTCCGGAAAACACGGAAAAATACATTTTTATAAAATAAAACCTTTTTCCGGAAAAATACAAAATAAAACCGGAAAACACTTTAAAACCCAGAATTAATGCTTCCTGAAAATACGGAAAAATACATGTAAAATTAAAAATTGAACTTTTTCCGGAAAAACACAAAAAAGCAAGAAAACACATTAAAATAAAAATCAGAATTTAGTGCTTCCGGAAAACACGGAAAAATACATTTTATAAGCAAAGTTTCCGGAAAAATATACAGCTATTAGAGAAAATCAGAATATTTCCGGAAAGAAAAATAATTTCAAAATCAGAATTAAAAGTATCCGGAAAACACAAAAACACAACGAGGAAAAATACAGTGTATCTTTATAAAATACAAAAAAATCAGAAGTATTTTTGCATTAAACACTAAAAGTTTCCGGAAAATAAATTCTGATTTTCGAAAATACATTATCTGGTTTTCCATATTTTTTTAAATTGTATTTTCCTAAATGTAGGGGAAAATATAAATTTTCCAAAAAGAGTTTAATAAAGAAAATAAACAAACAATTTCAGCAACTTCAGCATAAACACAAAAAGAAGGGAGCAATTGTAATTTCTCAAAATTTTTCTTTTCTGTCACATAAACTGACTTGAAAAAATTATTTTTTAATAAAAAAAATTTTTTTTTGAGAATTTTTCCAAAAAATTTGAAAAAAATTTTTTTGGAAAATTTCTAAAAAATTTTCCAAAAAAATTTTTAAAATTTTTTCAAAAATCTTCCGAAAATTTGAAAAAATTTTTTCTTGAAAAATAAAATAAACCAAATCATGCATTTCCTTCACAGCCCTCAAAACACTTTTTCTTTGTCCAAAAATAAGAACAAAAGAATCCATTTCATTTGGGTCCATATCTATTTTGTGAACAACTCTGTCAGGTTGAGGTCTGATTATATTGAGCAAAATTCCAAGTAAATCTTGTCTTTTACGAAGCTGAAAATGGGGAAAAATAAATTAAAGATTTGCGGACTTTTTTTTGGAAAAATTCTTGCGGACTATATTTGCGGACAAAATGGAAAACTATTAAACTTGGAGCAAAGAATAGGCAAACAAGCCCAGTAGGGATGCCAGGTTGAGAAAAAAGCCGCATATGGATTTCATGCAACCCAACACATCCGTGGTATTGCACAATAAGATGGCTTAATCAGATAATCTAGTATTTTGGTGGTTATCTATAGCTTGATTTGAGAATCTCAGAATTTTCAGAAATGACTTTATAAAATGAGAAAAAAAAAAGAAAAATTTACTCAAAAAGTGAGAAATAATGAATGACATCCCTGTGAAAGAGATGTCACGGGTTACCTGAAATCCAATACCCAAACATTTAGATCCATCCAGAACCCAACCCGACTCTTTTTTCTCCCAAACCAGTGATTTCCCCAAAAATCCAAAATGCCTCCGACAAGTTTTATAAACCTTAATTTGAGTCAGCATTCCTTTACAACCAGTCCTTCCAGTACTCCACACAGTATAGGAAAATTCAGTTTCTCTAATTAAATGGCCTTCCATTTCTTCAGTGCTTGTTCCATCATCCCCTACCAACGCAAATTGTTGTTCCAACTTTTCGCGGTTGTCGGAAAACCACTAAAAATTGCTCAAAATATTTTCGTTTGAAGAAAACAAACCTTTAAAGCAATCGAATAATTTTTGGTTTTTCCATATAAATAATTGATTACATAAATAATAATTACAAAAAGAGCTATTGACTCAACTAAAATTTAAAAAATTAAAAAAATATTTTTTAAAAAGCGCCAGCCTTAGAGGTCAACTTCCTAGTAGTAACTGATCCAGAAAATCAACTCCAAATATTTGGGTGGATAAAAGGGATTTAAGAACAAGACTAAGCTAGCCTGCCCTAGTTTGCCTTATATGTCAGTTGCACGAGAGAATTCCCGACTTATGTCCCTTAATCCAACAGATCCACCTTAATCTGCCCAAATCCATCGATATCCACTTAATACCCACAAATCCTTCATAATCGCCCAAATTCTTCTTATCACCAAAATATTCGAATTTTTAAGGGATTTCTTTAAGAATTGACTTCTAGGGTGTTGACTTCCTTAATTGATCCTTTTTAAAAATTAAAAAATTCAAACTTTGATAACTTGACCAATTTGAACGAAAATGTGAAGGAACCTGAAAAATAAATTTTTTAAATTTAAAATATTAAAAAAATACATCAGCAAAAGTCAACGGTTTAATAGTATCGCCTTGCTTCCCAGCAGTATCTGCTTCACCCTGATTTGCCTCCAAATCTTTTTCGGCCTGTTCAAATTCGTCTTCATCTGCCAGGAAGGAAAAATCTTCGGTTGGGTCGGTCTAAAAATTTTAAATTTAACTTTAGACTTTTGAAAATTTCATGACCCACTGAACCAGATTTGATCTGGGCTTAAGCTTAGAAAAAAAAAGAACCGGGATAGACTAGAAAGAACCGAGGACTTGACTAGAAATGTACATGAAACTTTCAAGTTTCTGAGAATAATACCGTTCATCAGCAATTTCAAAGCTTGATTAAAAAATCAGGACACCCTCATTATTTGGGCAAACCCAAAGACAAACACACCGGTTCAGGGTCAACCTAAGGATTTAAAATTCAAAAAAAACCTGTTTAGCTGCTTCTCTAACATCCTCCTTTACTTCATCCACTTTTTGTCCTTCTTCTTTAACATCATTATTAGCAAAAGAAACGTGAGGTTCATCGGCAATTTCAAATTCAGCAAATTCGTTGTCATCGAAAGAGGGGGCAGTTTTAATTAATTGAAAATGGCAAAAGAAAAGTAAGAAAAATAAAAGAAGTTGAGGATACTCCATGAAATCTGTGAAAAATTTAAGCTTAAATTCATGACAAGTAAACAAAAAAAATCCCCCCAAAATCCAAACAAAAATTGCTTAAAATGGGGCAAAATCAAAGAAAATTACATTTTGTCAGTTGGCATTATGTCGCATTTTTCGCCTTTTAGGCGTTTTGTAATAAAGCGTTTTGTTTAGGAGTTAATGTAGAAAAAGAGAAAGAACAGTGTTAGAGAGTATAATAAAAATTTTTATAATACAGTCAGACAGTTAGAGTTCTGAGAAATAGCACGTTTGTTGTTAGGTTTTTCATTTACGGGTATCATATAATGCCAATTCCATATTTTGCCAATAAGGGTGAAATTCCATTTTTTGTCAACAGGACTATTTGGCAAGACGAGTGTTTTTCCCTTATTGGCGAAATGTGTATTTGGCAGAATATTGTCAAAATGTGTTTTGGCATATTATGCCAATTCCATATTTCGCCAACAAGGGTAAAATTCCACGTTTTGTCAACAGGACGTGTGGCAAAACGTTGGATTTTCCCCTTATTGGTGAAATGTGGTCTTGGCAGAATTTGGAATAGTGTTGGTTCAGCTCGACGTGTTGTTAAGTTAATTAATTTTTTTTTTTTTTCGCGCGTTCGTTTTTCTCGCAAGTTGTTGCTGATTCAGTAGAACTTTTATTTAATAATTTAAAGTTTAATAATTTTTTCAGCTCTTCTAGACTTATGTTATTTGGTGTTGATATAATTTTTGATTTTTTACTTGAATATATTGTATGTTTTTTGTTTTTTTAAATTTAATTTAGAGGTTAACTTAGAGTTTCCGTGGTGGGAATTTATTTTTTAAAGGAGCTTGAAGGGCTTTCGATGAACCCAGTTTGAAAGGAGCTTGGCTAATTCAACAAGCTCGTCGAGGGTTCGAAAAGCTCGTCTTTTTCTGGATGTTCTCTGGTCTAGTTTTCTGTCCTGATTTTTCTACGGGCTATTTTTTAGTGTTGTTTGACCCAGCCCAACGAGCTACCTTTCAATTAAGCTTTAATTTACCCCTAAAATAAAATTCACACGGAAACTTTAAATTTAATTTTTTGTTCTTTCCAGCCAAATTGTCTACTTTCACTCATCTTTACAATTATTAGCTTTTGTATTTGGGAGAGCACTTCATTGTCTTCGGATTATTTGCAGTTTAATTATTGGGTTGTTCAATTAAGAAGGCGTCGATCTGCTGTGGTATTTTTTTTTAATTTTTTTAAACCTTATGAGTCTATTGGAATTTGGGGGGTTTTTTTTCTTATAGGGGTTTTTTTTTGGCTGAACCGATTTGGACAAATGAGGTGTCATTCGAAAGAGCTCGCCGAGTTGAGTCGATCGCGGGGCAGAGGAGTCGATCTGACAATCATGGACCGAGATACAGACCCTGACACCTCATTTGGTCAAATTGGTCCAGCCAAAAAAACCCCTATAAGTCACAACATTCTGGAATTTTAAAGGGTACTTTCCCATTAACTTTCCACATTTTTTTGTTAAACACATAAGGCTATCCTCTTTCCTCTTGGCTATGTGTCTTTGAATTTTGTAAGAATCCTCAGGCATGTAGCAGGAAATTTTCTGTGAGGGTCTATTCCTTTAAAGACTATTTATAAGGTTATTGGGAGCCCAACTAGAGACCAAACGGGAATAGTCATTAACGAGAATCGAGCTCTATTATCGTAATTTTTGTTCAAGATCTGCTCTAAATCCGGTCTCTAATCCCAACTTCTTTTTTTCATTTTGGTGAGGTTCCCCGGGACACGCCCAAGTAGGCGCGCGGCCATAAAGGCGCAAAGTCATAACTTACAGGAAAATTTTTGGCCCTTAACAATTTTGGTACCAATCTCTTTATCTTAATGAGAGGAATTGTTTAATACTAAATTTGACAAGATTCGGGAATCTTGAAGCAAGTTATGGCCGCGCGCCTACTTGGGCTATACCCTCTTTACCACTTTTAGTCATTCTCTTCTAATTTTGTATTTTTACCTCAATTTTTCAGATAATTCCAATTACCGACCTCGACACCCTTAACACAACCGATTCTACAGCTTCTTCTACTCCCAACACTCCAGCATCTTTAGCTTCAGAGGAAAGTTCTGATCAATCCAGTGACGTTATAAATAGATTTTTTATTGTTCAAGCGCCTTCTTCTACACGGTTTCTTTTTTATATAGTACTCAGGTACCTCGGCTATTTGAGGGGGCCGTCGTTCTCTGACCATTTTGGGACTATATTTTTTGACACCAAATTTCAATTGTCTCACATCAGATTTGTGAAGAATAAATGTTAGTGAGAAGTAAAGAATGATTACATAATTATGATTAATAGAAAATAAAATACATTGGTCTCATAATGGTCAGAGAGCGGTGGTCCCTTTAAATGGTAGGAGTTTTCTTTAATTTCCCTTAAAAATTTTTTTCATTTTCCCCATTTCAGGGGGCTATAGCCCCTAGCTACGCCATTGGGAATCACGTCTGGAAATCTTGGTATTTTTGGCGACAAACAAGATTTTGGGGATTTCCGTTTTTTCTGAAACCAGTCCCTTACAGGCACCCGGATTCGTGATTTTGTTATACTCTAGTATTTAATATTGGGCTGTATCCTGCATTAAGGTGTTTCTATTTTAATTCTTAAATTTTCTAGAAATATTTCTCCTCAACTTTTGTCTGCTATTTTAAACCATAATTCATTTTCTTCAATGAATTCTCAATTTTCTGGCGAACAAGAGGAGCAGGTTTTTTGGATTTTAATGAATATTTTTTTAATTTAAAATTTAAGACATCCTCTGCTTCTGACGCCGTTAATAATTCACAAAATGAGGAGAATAATGGAGATAGAGGTTAATTTAAGTTATTTTTTGTTAGGGAATTTTTTTAAAAATGTTTTAAAAAATTTTTTCTCGTTGGGAAATTTTTTTAAATATTTTAAAAAATAATTTTTTTGCTGGATTTTGTTCCATTCTATTGCTTCGTCTTATTGTTAGTTGTCCATTCACCGTTATTTCCTTTTTTCTATTTAACTCATTTAAAACAAATTTTGATTGTGTTCATCTGTGGCGTAATGGTTAAGCTCCTGACTGGACTCTAGTTTACCCAAAGGTTCGAATCCTTTCAGTGTTTTTTGCTTGAAATTGATTTCTTTAAACATTTTTAATGTTGTCTAGGGCCAAATAAACTTTTCAAAAACTTTTTATATATTTTTTAAGATATCAATACTTTGACAAATTTGTCTGTCGATTCAATTTGTATTCGAATTAAATTTTTGGATGATTCTTTAAAAATAGTCCAAACAAATAAAAATGTAACCATTGGGAATTTTAAAAGGTTTTATTTAAATTTTTTTTTTGTTTTTGGGAAATTTTTCGAAAATTTGGAAAAAAATTTCCCAAAAAAATTTTTTTGGTAATATTGAACCGGACAGAACCCTCTTTTTTCCTCCCCAATTTCCCTCTATATTTTTTTGCTTTTACTTGAATTTGCCATGTACCTGTACTTCAGGGCTGGGCTTATTTCGCGTTTCGCGTCTTTCGCATTTTGCTTTTTATTTTTTCTTTACGCCCAGCCCTGCTATACTAGTACATATATAAAATTAAATAATCTTTTTTTTTGATTGTAGTCAAAAATTAGAAAGGCAATTTGGATAGAAAATAGGAAAAAAGTCTGACAATTTTGCAAAAATATATGAGGAAAATTGGGGAGGAAAAAAGAGGGGAAGGAAAAAAGAATTACTACCAAAAATTTTTATTTTTTTGAATTTTTCTTTGGAAAATTTTTCTAAAATTTTTTGTGAAATTAAAAAAAAAATTTTTTGGATTCTTTTCGAAATCTTGAAAAAAAATTTTTTAGAAAATTTAAAAAAAAAATTTTTTCAAAAAAATTCCTTTCTTTTCAACAGACTTCACTTTTCTGAAGAATTAAAAGAAGGCAAAATTATTCGTTTAATTTATCAAGGACGTTTATTACGAGATGATTCTTCAACTTTGGAATATTACGGGTTAACAGATCAGTGTGTTTTGCATTGTCATGTAGGTACTCGACCTTATAGTACAAATAATGCTGGTGGTGGTGGAAATGAGAATAATAATAGAGCTGGTGAAAATGGAGCACAAAATGGAGGTGGTGGAGGTTTGATTTTAATTTTAATTTTTGGAAAATTAAGAGTTGCCCTCCTTAACAAGGGAACAGGGTCTACTGTCTATATAAGTTTGGTATTGTTTTGGGTGCCATTGGGGGCACACCCCAAAGGTACCGCGAGTCCAATGTACCGCCGAGCTATAACTTTGGTCAATTTGTCGAATTCGTGGCATAGTTCGATGAATCCGTGGTAAAGTTCGATGCGTCTCGACCAGCTGAATTGAAACATACCAGGGCGCCACGGATTCGACAATCTTTGACAAAGTTATAGCTCGGCGGTACATTGGCCTGTTAGGTTAATTTGTAAAAAAAACACCGGTTTTCAGTTCGGTTAACCGTCCATGAGCAAACAACTCTAAGTTCCTCTCACAAATTTTTCTAAAAAAATTTTTTTAACAGCAACTTCTCCAGGTATTTTGGGTACAGGACCTCGAATGGTTGAAACTGGTTTTTGGTTAATTTTATTCAATTTTGTATTTTCTTATGCTTGGAATTTGGTCAGAATTGTTTGGGAATGGGCAAATAGACAAGAGGAAGAGGAAGAAGGTTTTTTTTTTGAAATAAAAAAATTTTTATTTAGTGTTTCTCCTTTTTTGGATGATTGTCATTCTCCTCCTTTTTCATCTCTTATTAAAGGGAAATTTTGATAGGGGAGTTATTAACCGCGTCACCTGCCCTCTTTTAAATTATCTTCAGTTTTTTGACCTTCCAGTTTTCGGGTTTGGGGCTTAACCAAAATAGGATTTGGTGTCATGAACATCCTAGGATAAACGAACAGGATTCAATCTCGAGACCGAATTTTGAGACTAGAGATATATCTCTCGAAAACCCTCGATTATTGAGGTTTTTACTTGAGATCTCTCACCCCAAATATCTTGTGGGATAGGAACATCTGGTAGTAGTTTTTAGAGATCGGTCTGGATCTGGATCCAGTCTGGATTTTTTCTGGATCCAGAGGCAAGATCCAGGCATTTTTTGACCGTCTGGATTTTTTCTGGATCTAGAGTCAAGAATTCTGTCCAGGTTACTAACCTAAATCCAGTTCCAGGTTTTTTGAAAATATCGATCTGGTAGTAGTTTAATTCAAAAATACTTTATGATTTACGGGGTTTCAATAATTTTGAAGTTTTTTTTTCATTTTTAAGCTGCTCCAACAGGAACATTGTTAACATTTTTATTTTATTTCCGTCAAAGAATTAGACGCTTTTTGAGTGTTTTTCTAGATATTTTGGTTGGTCCAGCTTTTGTTGCTCCACGTCAAGGAGGAGGAGCTAATCAACAACAACAACAAAATAATAGAAATCTAGATGATACACGTTATAATATTGGAAATTTGATGGCTTTAATTGTTTTTGGTTTGTTTTTTTTTATATTTTTGAGAACAAAATAAGTAAAGGGTTGGGGGGGGGGGGGGAGGGAGGGGATTTTAAAAAAAAAATTTTTTTGGGTGTTAAAAATCAAGCTAGATGCACCCCCTATTTTTCTAGTTTAATTGTTTCGATTCTTTTTTCCGAGGCAGGAAAAACAAAAAGAAAAATTAATCTGATACCCTAGGTTTTTGGTTGTTTTTAGTTTCCCAGCTCCAGTCTGCAGTTCCACACCATTAATAATTTTATATACCATTAATAATCTTATATTGGGGGCGATTGTCGTTCTGGGGCTTTTCTTATAAAGGCTATGTGGGGGTGTCCGTGGGATTTTGGGATGAAAAAATTTCATACTTTCATTGTGAAATTTTCACCATTTCCGCTGTGGTAACGTGGACCGAATTAAATATAAGCCCCTTTTCCCATTTTTTGTCTTCTCTTGGGGTGCTTGGTCTGTTTCTTTTGATAAAAAATGTTTTTGACACTTTTTTTTATTATTTTGCCTATCAAAAATTTTTTTTTTAATTTCCAGTTAAATTTCTTCTACTTTGGTCATTTGTTCTAGTATATCCACAATTTACTGATCGTCGTTCAATTTTTTTCCTTTCAATGCTCACTTCAACTTGTGGACTTTATTTTTATTTTAGCCGTTCAAATGCTTTACAAAGACAGCAAAGGCGTACAAGTAATTAAATAATTAATAGAAAAAATTGTATTTTTTTTTGTGAATTTTAAAGAAATTTTTGGGTAAAAAATTGTTTTGGTAAAACATATAAATTTTATTTTTTGTCAAAAAAAAATTTTTTTGGGGTGTGTGCTCAGTTTTTCAGTCTGAAATATTTTTTCTGATTTTAAAAAAAGAATTGAAAAAATGATTTTTTTTGGCATAGTCGGGCTTCACAAAGCAAATATATAGATACTTCATAAAAAATTTGGTAATTCTTCGTATGACGTCCCCCCTTTTTATGTTTCCCTGCCCATATCATTCGAAAGAGCTGTCTAAGCTGGGTAGATTGATACTAGATCGGTTAGATTAGGCGATTTTGAACAAAATTATGAAGCTAAATCCGCTGTGGGCATGCTTTTTGTTATGTTGAAAGGGAAAAAATAGAACATAAAAGGGGGGGGGGGTGCGTCATCCAAAGAATTACCAAAAATTTAATTCTAGACTTAAATATAGGGGAGGGTGGGGGACGTGTGATATTCATAAAATCCAAGGTATGGACTAGGTTGAGAGAAAAGAACATTGGATCGGGGCTTTCGGATATTGCGTCGGAAAATTTATGGTATTGGGTTCCATGAATCCGGTCCGGTTCATCACTGATACACACTCTCTTAAAAAAATTTTTTTCTGTAAAATTATTTAAAAAAATTTTTCCACTCAATTTTTCCAAAAATTATACACAAAAAATTTTAATAAATTTATCGTAAAAATTGTAAAAAAAAATTAATTTATTCTTCAATTTTAATTCTTGACACTTTTTCCAATTTTGGAAGGAGTATAGTCTCCATATGCATCCTTATTTCATTATAAAAACATCTTTTCATATTTTCAAAGTGGTCATAACACGGAAGATATGAAAAGTCTAATCTGGTTACTTTACCAGCTCTTTGGTCACAGAAGGTTAAACCTTTAAGGAAAAATTTGAAAAATTACAATCCGGAAAATAAATTATATTTAAATCAGGAAGTATTATCTTTATTTTTCCGGAAGGATTGAATTGTAAAAATTATGTTATTACAATAATACAAATTGTAATTTGTTTTCCGGTTTGTTTTCCGGAAAGTTGCTAATTAATTATTTTTCCGGAAAGTTTATGAAATGATTATGTTTCCGGAAAGTTGCTAAAGAATTTATTTTCCGGATTGTAATTTTGCTTGTCCGGAAATTTTCCGGATTGTAATTTTATTTTTCCGGAAGGTTTTTGAAATGACTATGTTAAAGAAATTATTTTTCTGGTTTGTAATTTTGTTTTTCCGGAAGGATTGCGAATAATCTTCAGTTGTAACATACTCCTGCTTTTTAGTTTCCTGAGGTATACAAGGTCTAGCCCAGTTCCATGATTTTGGCTAAAAGACTTACAAAGTCCATGATCTCCCTAATATAGTTTCCCAAGTCTGCCCCTATTTTTATAGTCCGATTTTCGAATAATCTCAGAATTTCAACTTCCTTCCCCCTTTTAATTTCAATAAAATCCTCTCCCTTACATTTATTTCCAGCCAAAGTCGAAGCAATCCCTACTTTAGCACAGCATCTACTATGATCTCTCCCTTGTGCTGTGGAAATGAATAAAAATATAAGTTATAAAATTTTAAAAATTTTTAACTGGTTTTTTAAAAAATCCATATCTTGGCTAAAAATCGTTAGACTAAAAATTTTAATCGTTGAGAAATTAGATAAGACTCTGATTAATAATTATGGAAAATTCCGGTAAATTTACTTAAATCTTCAATAAAATAAAATACCTGCGCAGTATTGAATATCAGTCTATAAATAAATTGATTTTAAAATTAATTATTAAATAATTAATTAATTTCCAACCGCCGCTCCTATTGGGCAAGGATCTCTTTTAAAATACATTTGTTGTAACTAAAATATTGTTTAAAAAAACTTTAAGATTGTAAACTTTGTTTTCCGGAAAGTTGGAATGATTTTTACAAATGTTTTTACAATTTGTAGTTTTAATAAATAAAGAAAAATGTTCCAACTTTCCGGATTGTAAAAATAAATGTTTCCGGAAAATATAATATTTTAATAAATATTGTTCCAACTTATACGAGTATTTTCAAAACTTTCCGGAAGCAATGTTTTACAATTTCCGGAAAGTTTTAATTATTCTAAACTTGTAAAAAGTTTTGTAAAATTAAAGTTTTCCGGAAGGTTTAAATGTTTTTACAATTTGTAGTTTTATAAATAAATAAATATGTTTAAAACTTTCCGGATTGTAAAAAACTTAAGATTTTAAACTTTGTTTTCCGGAAGGCTGGAATAATTAAAGTTTTCCGGAATTAAAGTTTTAAATTTTTTTTTTTTTTCTTTATCGAACACAAATAAATATAGTGTGAAACAATAAAATAAAACTCCTGGATCCACAGGGATCACTTATGGAGAGGTAACGTACAAAAAAAAAAAATCAAATACAATATGACGGTTTTTTTAAATGTTAAGTTAAAAAAAAATAAATAAATAATGGACTCCACAGAAAAAAAAACAAATTAAATGTATAAAATTAGATGTTATAAAAAATATATAGGTATATTTAGGTATAAAAAAAATATTTGTATTAAAAATAATTTTATTTAAATGTTAAGTAAATTTGTTTAGGTAAGAAAGTAAAATTAAAGTTGTAAAATTAAAGTTTTCCGGAAGGTTTAAATGTTTTTACAATTTGTAGTTTTATAAATAAATAAATATGTTTAAAACTTTCCGGATTGTAAAAAACTTAAGATTTTAAACTTTGTTTTCCGGAAGGCTGGAATAATTAAAGTTTTCCGGAATTAAAGTTTTAAATTAAAGTTTTCCGGAAAATAAAATTTTTTACCAATTGTTTTACAATTCCTTTCCGGAAAGTATAAATATATTCCAACTTTTTTATTTGTATTTTTAAAACTTTCCGTAAACCAAGTGTGTTTATAAAAACTATTGCGTACTCCCCTTATAATAAATAAATTAAACTTGCCGTCTCTTTTGTATAAGTATTAAAATGACATTTCCGGAGACAGACATCAGGCAATTTTCGGTCTTTAAAATATTTTTTAATTTTTTAAAATTATTTCTAATTTCTTTTACCTTCACAACATTGACGAAACAAAAAGTTTGGGTTCTTTAAAAACTTTTAATTTAAAAAAAATTTTTAAAAATTTTTACCGTTAATTTCAAAAATGTATTTTTATCCAATTCGTATTCCTCTTGTTGTTTATTTTCAGAAAAATATTTTTTCTCTTTAATTTTATCGAAAATTATTCTTTTTGGATTTAACAATGTTTTGTTAACATATTCGTCTACTGAGACAATTAATCCATCCTAGAAATTTTTTTGATTTTAGAAGAAATTCTGTACTTGTGTAGTTTCCCTCCCCTACCCATTAAATGTATGTACAATAATGGCCAGACTTTTTTCCCTCCTATAAATTCACCTCGTTCTCCTTGCTGGAGGAAGATGAGTGATTCATGTCAGTACAGGAAAATTAACAGAAGAAAATTGGACGGGGGAGGGAAACGACACAAGTACTTTAAAATCTTTTCAATTTTCTACCTTCTTGGTGAGTGCAGATCTTGCTTTATTCCTAGCACACCCATAATGTCCTTTAAATAAAATTAAAAAATTTTATTTTTGTTTTTCGGAAACCGCAAGTGTAGCCAGGTTGACAACTCGCTGGATTACACACCATAGCGGGTGCAGGCATACAGGTAATCCCACAGCAACAAATACCGGTTGCGAGACACTTGAAAGTTGAAAGGGAATAAAATTAAAATTTTAAAATTAATTTTATAATATTTTAAAATTTATTTTGTAAAATACTGACAGCATTAGTTGTGTGGAAATAGGTGAAGATAATAATTAAGAATTTTAAGGCGAGTAATAATAGGCGCTTCATTTGTTTACAACTTGGAAATTGTAAATATAATGGGTAATATATACTATATTAATTATTTTTCCGGATTGTAATATTTTTCCGGAAAGATTAATTGTGAAAATTATATAATTTATATTGTTACAATACGATAAATTACAATTTGTAAAATTGATTTTTACAATTTGTAATTATCTTCCGGAAAGTTTAAAAAATAATTTATTAAACTTATCTATTTTAAAAACTTTCCGGAATATAAATTACAATTTGTGAAAATATTTTTTAGTATTGTAAAATAATTACAATTTGTAAAAATAATTATTTTCCGGAAAGTTGTATTTTCAATTATTTTACAAATTGTAATTAAAATTTCCGGAAAACTTTAAAACCATTCGTTTTGTTTCCGGAAAGTTTTAAGTATTTTATTAAATACTCTCCTTGTGTTTGTTATAGTATAGTTACGGATTGTAATTTTATTTTTCCGGAAAGAATTCTAAATGTTCATGTTAAAGAAATATATTTTCCGGATTGTAATTTTTCCGGAAATTTTCCCTTTGTATTTTATTTTTCCGTAAGGTTTTGAAATTCTTATATTAAATAAATTATTTTCCGGATTGCAAATATTTTTCCGGAAAGTTTGTATTAATAAAACATCCTTTGCTTTAACTTTATGTTAGCAACTTGAGAAGCAGAAACTAATAATTACTAGGCGTTAATTATATTTTACTACAAAGATTAAAAGTTCTTCTCAAGTATATTTTTTATTGGAATGGTCATCCATCCAGTCGCCTCTTTACTTTATTTTTTTGTCATATTTTTTTGTCATTTCATCTATAATTGCTGCAATTCTGCTTCAATAAATTTATACAAAAATGAGGCACTAAGTCCACTCATGTATTTTTTAGGAAGATGAGTTGGGCAATAATTGCTAGTAATTTTATTTAATAATTAAATATGTAAGTATGGCGTAATAAAAATTATAAGAAAAAATAAGGAAGTTACTTGGGAAAGTTTAAAATAATTAAGGTAATTACAATTTGTAATTAATTTTTACAATTTGTAATTATTTTCCGGAAAGTTGTATTTTTAATTATTTTTACAACTTGTAATTACAATTTCCGGAAAACTTAAAATATTTGTTTAGTTTCCGGAAAGTTTTTCCGGAAAGTTTTAAGTATTTTATTAAATAGACTCCTTGTGTTTTGTTTCCGGAAAGTTGGAAAAGTTTTATTTTAAAAATAAACTTGAAAAAATACAAATGTATTTTTTTAAAACTTGATCACATTTATTAATTGCACAATAACATACAACAAAATACAAATAAAAATATATTGCGTACAAAATTAATGCTTTTAAATTATAAATAAAAATTGAGGGAAAATCCTGACAATAAAAAAACAAGTTTTTTAGCACCAATCTGTGTGTTCGCATATTTTTGTCTAAAAAAATTATTTTAAATATTTAATTTTTTTGAAAATATTCCATACCTCCATAGGATAGCTTCGATCGAAAAAATATCCATTAATATAAGCCGTTGGCCAAATTCTTATACCCGCTCTGTTAATAAAATTGTTAAATTAATTAAATTTGTCGAATTCCTAAGCTGCTATGTGTTTTAGAATTTACCGAATAAATATTGCAATTTTCCGGAAAACACAAATATTATTTTTTAATTCAAAAATAATTATTACAATTTGTAATTATTTTCCGGAAAGTTGAAAAATAATTCCTAAGTTGGTTAGCATTTGTAAAATAATTACAATTTGTAAAAAGACTATTTTTATATTTCCGGAAAGTTGGGAAAATTAATTCCGTAAAGTTATATTATATTTCCGGAAAATTATATTATAATTTTATTTTTCCGGAAAGTTGTATTTTATAAATACATTCACTTGTTTTTAAGTTTTCCGGAAAGTTGTAATTAATTTTATTTTCCGGAAGGTTGGAATATTCAAGTTGGTTTAATTTAAGTTTTGTGTTTTTATTTTAATATGCTTCCGGAAAGTTTAATTAATTAAAGTTTTAAAGTTTGTAATTAAACTTACCTATGTGTATTCAACATAGAATAATAATTTAAAACCTGAAAAAAGTTTTTACAAAATAAATTCAAGTTTACAAACTTCTCCCGTTTGTGTTTGCGCACACTGTTTCAGTCTAAACTGGGTGCGGGGAGAAAGACGGGAAAGACAACGTTGGTAAGCCTCCTCCAAATTTTTCAATCCTTGGATACAAATAACCAGACCAATATGTCTTTTAGGGAAATAAGAAATTGCACAATTTTGTAGTCTATTTAAATCACATTCTGTTGGGCCATGCATACATTTGCAAATTAAACTGGAAGGAAAGATTACCGTATTTCCTTTCTATTAGAGAGGGGTATATTATTAGAGATGGGGATACTATTGGAGAGGGGCATATTATTAGAGAGGGGTATATTATTAGAGATGGGGATACTATTAGAGAGGGGCATATTATTAGAGAGGGTATACTATTAGAGAGAGGGATGCCATTAGAGGGGGCATACTATTAGAGAAGGGTATACTATTAGAGAGGGTCATCTATTAGAGAGGGGGATGCTATTAGAGAGGGGTATAGAGAAGGCATACTATTAGAGAGGGGCATACTATTAGAGAGGTGCATTATATTAGAGAGAGGGGGGGGGGTGCTATTAGAGAGGGGCGCATTATTAGAGAGGGGAATTCTATTAGAGAGGGTCACACTATTAGAGAGGGGTATACTATTAGGGAGGGGTATACTATTAGAGAGGGTATTCTATTAGAGAGGGGCACACTATTAGAGAGGGGTATTCTATTAGTGGAAATACGGTATTTTAATCAAAAAACATTTTTAATTGACTGACCGCCTGTCTCGTGTAAATTCACAATTTCCCTTCCCAAAAGGAATTATTTGTAAATTCATTATGCCTGGTCTTCTAATGTGAAATTGCCACATTTGTTCTCTGCGAAGGGGGAAAATTAATTTTTTTTAATTTTTAATTTTTTAAAAATTATTTTAAAAGGATTAGAGTTGAAAACGAAGGAGGTGATCAATTAATTAAAGAAGAAAAAATAAAATTTTAACTTGCCTAAGCAACCGAGTGCAGAAGGGACATTGTGATTCTGTGAATAACTATAATATTTAATTAAAAAATATTTTTTGAATTTATTCAAACCGTCACATTAACCCTTTGGGCTTCTATCAATCCAAAAAATAAAGTAATAATAATAAAGAGAACAATAAATGTTATTGAAGACAATACTTTCCTTTTATTATGGTATGTGTGCATTGGCGCCGTTTGGCGCACACTTAAACTAATTAAAATTACAACCTTTCCGAAATTGTAAAATTAAAATTTTCCGGAATTTTAAGATTACAACCTTTCGGAATTTTAATTTTCTATAAGAATATTTACAACTTTCCGGAAGGTATTTTATAAATTATTAAGTTTGCAACTTTCCGGAAAATTGGCGCACAGTAGAACTAATTAAAATACAACCTTCCGGAATTGCAATTTCTTTAGATATTCCGGAAGTATATTGTAAAATGTTTACAACTTTCCGGAAATATGTGGTAACTATTTACAACTTTCCGGAATTTTAAAATTACAACTTTTCCGGACTTGTAATTTTCTTAAATATATTTACAACTTTCCGGAAAATGTTTATAATTTAATCAAAACATTTCCAACCTTTCCGGAAGTATTCTAAGTTTCCGGAAAGTTTAATCTTAAGGTAAAACAAAGTTTTATTTATTTTAGAGTCTCTTTTTTTGCCCACTCAATTTTAAGTACAAAAAATTGAAAGGTAAAGGTCAGTCAGTAAAATTGAAAAAGAGAGGGAGAGAAAGTGAATGGATCGGACAAATCAAAGGGGATCATTTCACCTTTTTTTCTTGTACTTTTTACTAAATATTTTTTTCATTGTAGTTGCGAGTCAGGTGGCTAGTTTATAGTTGTTGTTGTCCACTTCAACTTTTTTTTTCGGACAATAGTAGGGATTTTTGTTAATTTTTATGGATTTTTTTGTTCATGTTTGAATAATAAAAAATAAATTTTTAACGTGCCCTTAAGGAGAAAATTTTAAATAAATTAAAAATCTGATAAAGATTTGCCTATTTTCTCCTTCTAAGGTTCCCCAACCTTCCGGAAAGGCTGGAAATGCTTTTCAAAAAATTCTGCAATTTTTCCGGAAAGTTTAAACATTTTACAAAATACTACTGGAATATAAAAAAGTTACAATTCCGGAAAGTTGTAATTTTAATTAGTTTAAGTGTGCGCCAATTTTCCGGAAAGTTGTAAATATTCTTATAGAAAATTAAAATTCCGAAAGGTTGTAATCTTACAATTCCCCTAAATTGTAATTTCATAATTCCGGAAAGTTGGAATTGTAAAAATAAAATATTCCTGGAAGGTTGGAGTTGTAATTACAATTCACGTATTAAATTTAAAACTTGAGGGTTTCCGGAAATTTGGAGTTGTAAATAAACAATGTTGCATAAATTGTAATTTTAATTATAATTGTAAAAATATAAATTTGGTAAATAAATATTTTAAATTTTATAGCTAATAGACAGACTGACCTTACTTCCCCCATATTTGTCTCAAAAACAAATAAATAAATTTAAAATAAGATTGAGTATAGAAAAAAACAAAAAAACAAATCATTCAACCCCAACTCAATGAAAAATGTGTGTTTGTTTGCTTCTTCCTTCCCCACCGATTGCAGCGACATAAAAGCCCCGAGGAACTTGTTAAACCGGCCAGAGCCCTAAGGCGGGTTTGTACAAAGAGATAAAAATAAATTTTTTTAGTAGCTGTGTTGCAGTGACAGGTTGAGGGGAGAAGAGAAGCGTTAAAAAAAGTTGTGTTGGCGGGCAGCAAATCGAGCGCGAGATTAGTGACTATTGTGTGTTTTTGTGGGGGGAATTGTTTGGGAAAAAGGTTCAGCAGATTTAATACCCTAAACATCAACTAAAATACAAAAATAATGTTTAGGAAAAATACAAACTTTGTTTTACAATTTGTAAAAATGTTTTTACAATTTTCCTCTTATTAGAATTATTTTTTTCCGGAAAGTTGTAATATATATTGAGTTTCCGGAAAATATAATAAACTTACCGGAAAGTTGGTCATTATTATTTGTATTACTTTTCCGGAAAGAAATATTTCTTATTCTTCCGGAATTGTAAAATTAAAACTTTCCGGAATTGTAATTTTATTTAAATATATTACAAATTTCCGGAAAGTATTTTGTAGATTAGTATGTTTACAACTTTCCGGAAAATTGTAAAATATATTAAAAACATTTCTAACCTTTCCGGAAAATATTTTAAGTTTCCGGAAAATTAATAGACTTACCTGAAACAATGTCTAATTTTTCTGGAAAATTCGAAAACATTTCCCAAGTTTCCGGAAAATTAAAATTTTCTTAATTAAATTTTAGCCTAAAATTGTTAACAATTAAAACAATAGTTTCGATCTTATGGATACATGCTTTTGAAGGGTAAAAATGTGGAACTTGTATTAAATCGGAAGAAGGGGTGTGATGAGAAGATGATGGCTAACAATTACATGAATGGGAAAAAACTAAAATGAAAAAATGGAAAATATGTGTTGAACAATGGAGGAGAACATTTTGAGCTAATAATCTGTTTAAATAATTAATTAATAAAAGAAGGTCGTTTTAGAGAAAATTGGGGGAAAATTAAAATATTTAGAGTGAATTTTGAGGAAGTAATGAAGACATTATTTTTTCCGGAAAGTTAGTGTTGTAAATACAATTAGTATTGGAATTGTAAATACACTAACAATTTCCGGAAAGTTGGAATTTTTAAAATATAATTCCGGAAAGGTTGGGGGTGTAATTACAATTACTGATGTATTTTAGAGGTTTCCGGAAAGTTGCAATTGTAAAAATTAATATTGTAAACTTTCCGGAAAAAATAAAATCTTTCCGGAAGCTAATGGAAGAGTCTAAATAAATAATAAAATTATTCCGGAAAGTTGTAATAATAAATACAATTAAGGTTGGAATTTGTAATTATATTAACAACTTTCCGGAAAGTTGGAATTGTAAAAATACAATTTGTGAAAGGTTGGAACTTGATTTTCCGGAACGTTGAAGTTGTAAAATACAATTTGTATAACTTTCCGGAAAAATTAAAAATCTTTCCGGAAAATATTAAAGAGTATAAAAATATATGTATTTTTCCGTAAAGTTGGAGTTGTAATTGCTATTATTGATAGAATTTTAAGTTTGAGCTTTCCGGAAAAGCTTTAATTGAGTCAGATTTTTCTTCACCTGCGCTATTATCCCTTCTAATATTTTGTACTCTAATTTTTTTAATTTTCCATTCATAAAATTTTTATTAAAAGATTGACCTTGTTTTTATCTGAGTATAATAACCTCTTAAAAATTGTGATTAAAATAAAATTGTTTTTATCGTAAAAAGGATTGCCTGGAGAGGTGACAGAAGAGACGAAGGTGGTAGAAGTGCAGTTGTTTATTTTTATTTTTAATTGTCAACTCGAAAAAATAATTTTTCTTTTTTTATTGTTTTTCGTTCTGAGGATATTTAAATGATATGGGGTTTGCCACCTGTGTTAATCTATTTATTCTAATCCTTTTTTTATTAGCGCCTCAAAAAGCAAAACCTTTAAATAATGGCTTAGTTTTAAGTAGAGTTAAGCGGTATCGGGATTTAGAGAAAAACCCGGGATCGGATTTCGGAATGGTGATCCCGGATCCCGGCTCGGGATTGAGATTGGCCGGGATCGGGATCCCGCTCAACTCTAGTTTTAAGTTGGAAGGTGTTTATTCGGCGGGTGTTTGTTTGTAGGTACATTTGTAAAGTTAAAACTTATAATTTTAAAGTTTACAAACTTGAAAAATACACAACTTTCCGGATTGCGAAAATTAAGGTTTGTTTTTAATTAAACAACAAGCTTGAAACTTGCAATCTTAAACTTTATTTTAATTGTAATTAATATTTTTGCAAACTTGAAAATACAACTTTCCGGAAAAGGTTTATTTACAAAATAAAGAGAAAGGAAAACTTGACAACTTTCCGGAAACTTCAAATTAAAGTTTATTTTAATTCAAGCGCAAACTTAAAACTTGTAATCTTAAAACTTATTTAATTACAATTATTATTTTACAAACTTGAAATATACAAACTTTCCGGAAAAGGTCTATTTTTTCCGGAAAAGTTGTTAATTTATTTACAAATTAAAATTTGTTGGAATTAAAAAACTTTCCGGATTGCGAAATTAAAGATTGTAAACTTTAATTTTTAAACAAAACTTGTTTGTAAACAGAAAACTTGAAACTTGTAATCTAAAAACTTGAAATTTACAATCTTAAATAAATAATTTATTTTCAAGTTTATTTAATCACTCACCTATTTAATACCTTTTTTCCCAAGAATTATTCCCAATCTTTTTTTTTGTGTTCTGCCCGCTCCCTTAAAGTAAAAATATTAATTTCACAATGCTTATTTATCTCCCTCCATCCTCCCTCACCTTTCAACAACATCCCCACACCTTCAACTTGTCCAAAAAAATAAAACAGTTGCTTGGTTGCTTCACCTCTCCCTTCCCTCTCATTTCTTCCCCCAAACTTCCCCCAAATACTCTCCTTCACCTCCTTCCCCCAAACTTCTTCCCTCCCTCTCCTCAACTTTAAATCCTCCCCAAGTCCTCCCTAGCTTCAATCCTCCCTCCCCACAATTCTCCCATTCCCATACTCTTCCCTTCCCTTCCTTGTTGGTTGCTTCACCTCTCCCTCCCCTCAAACTTCTTCCCCCGAATATTCTCTTCACTCCCTTCCTCCAAACTTCAATCCTTCTCCCTCCAAGTTCTCCCATACCCATCCCTTCCCTCTACTTCTCCCCCCAGATTCTCCTCCTTCCTTCCCCCATACCCTTCCCTCCCCTTCCCTCAACTTCTCCCCCAATTCCTTCCCCCCCCCCCCCCCAATTCCTTCCCCCCCCCCCCCCCCCCCCAATTCTCCTACACTCAATTCTCGTCTGCTTTTTCCCCGATTCTTCAATCTTCTCCCCATTTTTCTTTTCTTTTCTTTTTCATTCCCGACAACCCTCCCTCCTTTCTTTTAAATATTGCTATCATTATTTCCAATCACCCAAATATTCGTTTAAAAACTAAAAAGACTGCGCGCACACACACAATTTACAACCAACTAAAAATATTATTAGTACATTCTCTCTCTCTCGACTTTTCTCGTTATACTTTTATAAAATTGTCTTTTCTTCTTGTGTGTTTTACCCAATTATTATTTTATTTTTATTATCGTCATAATTTTTGATATAATTATTTTATTTTTATTTATTTTATTAATTTTTGGAGAGGGGTTTTCTCTTAGAAGAGAGTTTGTGATTATTTGAAAATTAAAAAATTTAAGAGAAATTAGAAAAAAATTAAAAAAATTATTTTTTGCGCACATCCTTGCCCATACCCCCTCAAATTCTTTAAAAAATTTTTTCTTCGGAAAAAAATTTTTTTTTAATGTTTTTCTACTAATCTTATTAATTTTTGGAGGGGGTTTCTCTTACATAGAAGAGAGTCTGTGACTGAAAATTTTTTTAATTTAAAAGAAAATTTTTTTGCGCACATCCTTGCCCATACCCCTCAAATTCTTAAGAAAAAATTTTTTCATCGGAAAAATTTTTTTAATTTTATTTTTCCTTAGCAAGGGTGTGGGCAGAGGATGTGCGCAAAATTTATTTCAAAAAAATTTTCTTTAATTTTTTTTTAGCAATTTGCCAAATAGCTTTAAAATACCCTCCTCCTTATTTATTCAAAAATTAATTCCATTCTATTTTTATTAAAAAAATTTTTCGAAAATTTTTTATTTATTTTTTATCTTTAGTTTTTAAGAAAATTGCTTTAATTAAATAAAAAAAGCTAAAAAAAATTTTTTTAATCCCAAAAATTGGCCCATTACAAATTTAATTACTAAAATATCTTTTTTTCGTTCATTTTAGTCGCATCCGGATTTTTGGCATTCTTCCCCCCATTTTATCCCTCTTTTTTAGTCTGCCAAAATGCCTCTCCTCCTTTATTTACACAACTCATCACCAAGTTTGTGTATTTTGTGTTTTTCCGGAAAATACAAGTAAAATACAATTAAAATATATTTATTAAACTTTCCGGAAGGTTATAAAATATATTTTTCAGTAAAACATGTAAAATAAACTTTCCGGAAAGTTGGAATGATTTTCTTTAATTATTTCCAACTTTCCGGAGTTTTTAACTTAATTAAACTTGTTTTGCAACTTTTCCGGAAAAAGTTGTAAAAACTTGCCGAAAAACTATATTTAATGTTTCCGGAATAAGTTAATAATATAATTATATTTTCCGGAAACTATAAATCTATTGTAATACATTCCGGAAAGTTTAATAATTATTAAAACGTTTATTTTGGCGCACACCCCCGCCTTTTTACCCCTCATTTTTCTTCAAGTTCACATTTTTCAGTCAATTTTCCAAAAAAATTTTTTTTATTTTTTGTTCTTTTAAAAAGTTTAAAGAGCTAATTGAAAATAAAACATTTATCTCTTCTTCTCCTCCAGATTGGCGCATTTTACGACTTTTTTTTCTTTCCCGATTTTCAAACAAAACTTTTTCTCTCAATAGAATTTACACTCTTTTAGTACCACCCACTCTAAAATATGTTTATTGTTAGTCAAAAAAAATAATTATTGATGATTATATAAACCGGAAAAATCAAGTTTCAAAAATTCATTTTGATTTTTCTTCAAAAAAATTTTTTTGAAAAAATTTTTCCGGAAAAAAATTTTAAAAATTTTCCGGAAAAAATTTTTTTCCGGAAAATTTTTAAAATTTTTTTTCCTGAAAAAATTTTCTCCGGAAAAAAAATTTTAAAAATTTTCCGGAAAAAATTTTTTTCCGGAAAATTTTTAAAATTTTTTTTCCGGAAAAAATTTTCTCCGGAAAAAAAATTTTAAAAATTTTCCGGAAAAAAATTTTTTCCGGAAAAAATTTTTTTTTAAATTTTCCGGAAAAAATTTTCTCCGGAAAAAAAAATTTCAAAAAAATTTTTCGAAAATTCTTTTTGAAAATGTTCCGAAAAAATTTTTCCGGAAAAATTCTTTAAAAATTTCCTTTCCAGATGCGTCTACCCAACCCATCAACAGCCGTCTTGGCACTTTTCTCCTTGCCAGCCCTATCTTCGTCTTCTTCAGACAACTTAACTAATAATTTAAATAGACACTCTTCTAATAATATTCAACCTTCCCCAACTTCTTCCTCCTTATTGCTCCCTCCATTTAATGCTTCAGATTCTCGGTTAATTGCTAAATGGTAGCTAAAAAAATTTTTTTCTCCTAAATTTCCTTTAAAAAAATTTTTAAAGTGCAACAAGAGCACAACTTAAACAAAGAAGGAACACCCAAAATGATAAAACTTCATTTTCTACAAGTCTGTCGTTGTTGGAACGATTGGGGTTGGGGGAGGAACACAATGTTGGAGCACCCCCAATTAGTGGCTTGCCTATTCGTCAAGTTAGGTAATACTTAGGAAAGAGGGAGAAATAGTGTACTATTTTAGGGTATAATTTCTCTAGCCTTCCGGAAAAGTTGTATTTTCCGGGAAGTTTTATTTTCCGGAAAGTGTTTTTAATTTTCTATTGACTTAAAAACATTTTCCGGAAAGTTTTATTGTATTTTTCTAGTTAAATAAACCTTCCGGAAAGTTGTATTTATGTCTTTCTAAAATATTTTACAACTTTCCGGAAGGTATTTAAAGTTGAATGAAACTTGTTTTGCAAACAAGTTTCAAATGATTTTCCGGAAAATAAAATTCCGGAAAAAGTATGTGTTATATTTTTATATAAGGTTTATTTTTAAAACTTTCCGGAAAGTTTAATAAAGTATATTTAAACGTTTTTTGGCGCACACCCACAACATTGATATTCTACTAGACACTTATTACAACTAGTTATATAAACTTTCCGGAAAATATTTAATATAATTCCAACTTTCCGGAAGAAATAGTATACACTTATTAGAGAGAATGTTTCATTAAGGCTTATTTTTGTTTAATAAAACAAGTTAAGGTACGAACACGCTCATAGACGTGGCGCCCTCTACTGCCAGTCTGGTACCTGGCTAGAAATGACCGGTGACAATGAAGGGAGAGTTAATGTACGGGGCACTAAAAATCAAAATCAATTGAGTAAATATTTTTAATTCTTAAAAATTTTTTTCCAAAAATTTTTTTAAATATTTTATTAATAATATGACCAATTTATCACAATATTTTGACCAAAAAAATTTTTCCAAAAAAAATTTTCCAAAAAATATTTTTTTAAAAACGCAACAAATAAATTATAAACAACTGTCATTTATTAAAATTTAATATTTATTTAAAATATTATTATTTTCATTTTTCTTAGTCACATATTTCACAAATCAAACTAAAATTTTCACGTGAATTAAATAATTTTAAAAAATAAAAGAGAAAAGGAGAGACAGGGTGGAACACATTTTTAAAGGAATTTAAAGGAATTTTAGTTATAATTTGGAAATTACCCCCTGTGGGGAGGCTTAAGTTAAGTAGAACGTCTAGACTCTAATATAAAAACTTTCCGGAAAAATATAATAATATACATAGTATATCTCCTATAATATTTTTCCGGAAAAATATATTACCTTTTATATTCTTCCGGAAAGTTGTAATACATTTCTATAATATTTTCAAAACTTTCCGGAAAGAATTTAAAGTTGGGAATATTACTATATGTATACATAGTTAAATAAACTTTCCGGAAAGTATTGTATTTTCCGGAAAGTTGTAAATGTATTTTATGTGTTTCTCCAACATTCTCAATACTTTCCGGAAAGTTTATTTAATGTTTCAGGAAAATAAAGAAAATACATAATGAAGAATACACTTTTCCGGAAAGTTTAATAAATTTCCAAAAGATCACCATTAATCAACTTTTCCGGAAAGTTGAAAAGTTTTAGCCTCCGGAAAGTTTATAAATATTTATAAATTTCCAAAAGATCACCATTAATCAACTTTTCCGGAAAGTTGAAAAGTTTTAGCCTCCGGAAAGTTTATAAATATTTATAAATTTCCAAAAGATCACCATTAATCAACTTTTCCGGAAAGTTGAAAAGTTTTAGCCTCCGGAAAGTTTATAAATATTTATAAATTTCCAAAAGATCACCCTTAACAAAATCAAAATTTAAAACATATTTTTAACTAGTTTTTATTTTTTAATCTTTACTCCTTTTGGCAAGCAAAGTCATTTATTATTATTTTCTACATTCTCACGGTTTTTGCCCACAAATCACCTCTCTTTTTTTCTTTTCTCGTTTAATAAAACATTCTCACGTTTCAAAAAAACTTTCAAAAAAAAATTTATTTTTTCCAGCAATTTTCGAATTTTTGGCCGTCGCCTTTGGCCTTGTCAGTATTCGGGCAGTGGACAATCAACATTTCCTTTGCATGTCAATTTTTTTTCAAAATAAAAAAAATAAAAAAAAACATTTTAGGGATTCAAAGGGACAATTGTATGCCGCTTCAGAAAATAATTTCTCTGCTGAATGTGCTTTTCTTGAGGAAATGCGTAAGTTTTTGGAAAGCTTGTTCTTAAAGGGCTATAATTACTTTTGGCCCTAGTAAGCCCAAAAGATCAACCTTAAGGAAATCAAAAATTTTTCTAAAATGTTGAAGCATGTTTTTAAGACATTGGAGCATGGTTCTAGTATTGAGAAGCTGTTTAAAGATTATTGAAGCATGTTTCTAGAATGGTGAAACATACCTTTAGAATAGTGAAGCATGTTTTTAGAATACTGAAGCATGCTTCCAAAACATTAAGCATGCTTCTGGAATGTTGAAGCATGTTTCTAAAATACTGAAACTTGCTTCTAAGATAATGAAGCATGCTTAAAACTAATGAAACATGTTTCTGAAATAATGAAGCATGCTTCTAGAATGTTAAAACATGCTTCTAAGATATTGAGGCATGCTTCTAATACATTGAAACATGCTTCAAAAAAAATTTTTTTTCTAATACACTGAAAAATATTTCTAATACACTGAAACAAGCTTCTAAAATTATGAAGCATGCTTCTAAAATACTGTAGCATGTTTCTAAAACAATCTTTTCGTTCCCCAATTAATCTTTCCCATTTTAAAGATCCTCAAGTCTACAACTTATATTCTTCTTGTTCTCACGGATATCCTAAACGTCCCTGGTTTGTAGCCCTAAGCAGGACTGGAAAGCCCCGACGAGGTAAAAGCACCAGACGGGGTCAAAGCTCAACGCACTTTGTTTTAATCGACGGAGGAGGGCGTCAAGGGAATCCCTTGGACACGCTAGGACATGCTCGTAGCCGTGCAGATTGGTTGATTAACTGGAGGAATTTTTATGGTAACTTGGAGGGGGAGGGAGGGGAATTAAGGAAAAAATTTTCAAAAAAATTTTATAGAAATTGACAATCAACACAAAATAAGAGGAAGAAAACTGCCTCCAACCACCAACAACCTTAACATTAAAAAACCTAGGTTACGCTGGGAATTGATAAAATCGGTTGATGGAGAGGATGAATTAAGAAAGAGAAGAAGCAAAATAAGTGGGAAAGAAAAATAAATTTTAAATTCAAAAAAAAATTTTTCCCCTTAAAAAATCTCTCTCGGTGCTGCAGCTTCTTAAGAATTCGATCTCTTTTATTTTCTATACAACGATAATTTTATAATTTTTTTTACAAATTTTACAAAACTAAATTGCCCTGAAAATAGATTTTATATATTTTTTAATTTATAAAATAATATTTTAATTTTAAATAAATACATAATAATACATAGTAGTTTAATTATTGTTAGAGAAGTTAGAGAAAGAAAAACAAATTCAGAATTATTTTGTATTTTCCGGAAAATAAACTTTTTCCGGAAAAAGTTTATTTTTGCATTTTCCGGAAAATAAACTTTTTCCGGAAAATAATTTTAATGAAACGTCTTCCGGTGTTAGAGAAAGAAAAACAAATTCAGAATTATTTTGTATTTTCCGGAAAATAAACTTTTTCTTCCGGAAAAAGTTTATTTTTGCATTTTCCGGAAAATAAACTTTTTCCGGAAAATAATTTTAATGAAACGTCTTCCGGTGTTAGAGAAAGAAAAACAAATTCAGAATTATTTTGTATTTTCCGGAAAATAAACTTTTTCCGGAAAAAGTTTATTTTTGCATTTTCCGGAAAATAAACTTTTTCCGGAAAATAATTTTAATGAAACGTCTTCCGGTGTTAGAGAAAGAAAAACAAATTCAGAATTATTTTGTATTTTCCGGAAAATAAACTTTTTCTTCCGGAAAAAGTTTACTTTCCGGAAAATAAAATAAAATGTCTTCCGATTTCCGGAAAATAAAATGTCTTCCGGAAAAGTTTATTTTATATATATATTTTCCGGAAAAAGTTTATTTTCCGGAAATTACATACAAATCAGAATTCTGACAGAGAATACAAAGTTTTAAAAAATACAAAAAATTCTGAAAAATCCGGAAACTACAATAAAACGACCAGAAATAAATAAACTTGGATTCATATATAAAATCAGAATTAAATAAAGCCATGTGCGCAAAACAAAGGTTATTTAAAACATGAAAAACTTAAAATTGTTTTTTCAAGTATTTTTAGAAATTAAAAAAAATTTTTTAATTTCAAAAAAATCCATTAATTAAAATATTGTGTCTACAAAACACTAATTGTTCCAAATGTTCTCCACTCAACCCCTTTCTCATAGCACCCAAAGTTGAATTTACTGTAGAAAATAAACGTTCCGATTCTGAGGAGGTTGCTGGGGCACAACAAAATTTTAAAAAAAGTTCTGTTAAATGGGGAAATTTTGTTTGGGTTGTTTTGTTTTTCCAATAGGAGGAGACATCGTGAAATTCTGTTTCTGTTGGGGAAGTTAAATAATCTTCTACTTCCTGAAAAATCAGAATTCTTGTTTGGAATTTCTTGTGGAAAATCAGAATATTTTTCAGAATTTTTTTTTTTAAAATCAGAATTTTTTTTAGAATTTATTTCTGAAAAATCAGAATATTTTTTCACAATTTTTTCAGAATTTCTTCTGGAAAATCGGAATTTTTTCAGAAATTTAATTTAAAAAAAATCACCGAATAAATTTGAAATCGCTCATCTAGCACTGGAGGCGAAATTGAATCATTTTCAAGACTTGTATTTCCAGATAAATAATTTTTAACTCGTTTGAATGGATTGGATTCGTTTGTAGTTGTTGTTGATATAGATCCAAATTCATTTTGATGCTTTAAAAATAAATTAATTTAAATATAATTATATAATATAAAACCAGAATTTTAAATGAACAAGAGAAAAAACAAGGAAAATAAAATCAGAATTATATAAAAACAAGAACAGAATCTCGTTAAAAAAATCAGAATTTAATTTAAACATGAGGGAAAAACATCACTATTTGTTTTTAAAAAATCAGAATTTTATAAAAACAAAGAAAAAAACCAGAATTTTATAAAAACAAGAAAGACCAGAATTTAATTTAAACATGAGAGAATCAGAATTTAATTTAAACATGAGAAAGAATCAGAATTTTATAAAAACATTAAATAATTTAATTACCACAATAATTGGAGGGCATTGTTTTCGAATTTCATAAATAAGATAGTCTTTATATTGCATATGTTTTTCAACTGGGAATAAAGTCATTTTGAAATAAGGATCTAACAGAGTTGGAATGATTAGAACTGCTTCATCTTCCCAACCTTTTAAAAATTAAATAAAAAAATTTTACACGAAAATTAAAAAATCAGAATTCTTTCAGAAATCAGAATTTTTTTAAATCAGAATTTCTTCCAGAAAACAGAATTTCTTAAAAATCAGAATTTGTTAAAATTCAGAATTTTCTAAAAATCAGAATTTGAAAAAATCAGAATGTTTCGGAAATCAGAATTATTTTTAAAAAATCAGAATATTTTTAAAATCAAAATTCTCTAAAAACCAGAATTTTATTGAAATCAGAATTATTTAAATGTTCATATAAAATTCTGATTTTTAATGTTTTTATAAAAACCAGAATATTTAACATTCCAACTCACCCGCCATTCTACACTTTATTCCATTAACAATCGCTGCCCTAACTCTAGGGAATTCTAAAGCAACAGGTTGTATAATTAAATCTAATTCTATTGCCTTCATTAAAGGGATAATATACCCAACAGAACTCGTTCTTTTTTGTAAAAATGAAATTGCATTATAAATTGGTCTTAAAATTTTTGTTAAATGTTCCATCATTGTCCTAAAAACAAAAAAAAAATAAAATTTCAAAAAAAAATTAATTTTTCCCCTACCAATCCGCAAGTGAAAAAAATGGAAGTTTATCGTTATCCATAGCTAATATATTTACAGAATTCATGTTTGAAACAAGTAAATTTAACATTTCATAACAACTGTTCCAACGAACTTCGTTTCCCTTAAATAAAGAAATGTTTGGAAAAAACAGAATTTAATATAAACAAAACAGGAAGAACAGAATTTTCTTCAAACATAAAAAATCAGAATTTAATTCAGAAATTAAAATTCAGAATTTTATTTGAACATGTGAGAGAATTTAATTTAAACGTAAATCAGAATTTAATTCCAACATGAACACAAATTTGATATAAACAAAGGAAAAAGAAATCAGAATTTTAGATAAACATAGAAACAGAATTTAATTCGAACATGCAGTGGAATCAGAATTTTATTAAAACATAAAAATCAGAAATTTGTTTAGACATTTGAGATAATCAGAATTAAATTTGAACATGTGAGAAGCAGAATTTAATTTAAACAAACTTAATTATAGATGAATTTACCTTAAACAAATCACGTTCAGAAATTTCAAGAAAAGAATTAAATTGATGAAAATCACGTAATAAATTTTGTTGTTTTTTGATTCGTCGAATAAAATCTTTTACTCTGTTAATAATTTCGGTAAATCCATCAATTTGCTTAAAACCATCAGATATAGCCTTAAAATTAATTTAATATATACTTGTTTATAAAAACCAGAATTTTAATTAAACAGAAAAAATCAGAAGGTAATTCTTCGGTTGTCGCCCCCCCTTTTTTTATGTTCTATTTTTTTACATTTTCCATGAAATTTCTATGAACTTTTATATACATTCGAAAGAGCACTTCGAGCTGAGTCGAACTTCACTAGAATCGTCGAAATCTGAATTAAATCAACATAGTTATGAGCAATTGTTTTAATCCCTTTCAACATCACAAAAAACGTCCACAAAGGATTTAGCTTTCATAATTTTGTTCAAAATTGCCAAATCTAACCGATCATAGTACCAATCAACTCAACTCGGATAGCTCTTTCGAATGATATATAAATTATTATATGTCAAAGCAAAAAAGCTCAAAATGGTCAGGGAAGCATAAAAAAAGGGGGGGGCGACAACCGAAGAATTACCAATCAGAAATTAATCTAAACATGTAGAGAATAAACATTACAGCATTTCCATGTTCAAATTTAATTCTGATTTTTCTTCTTGTTTATATAAAATTCTGATTTTTTATAAACAAAAAATCAGAATTTTATGAAAACATCAAATAAAAACATTAAGAACAAGAAAAATCAGAATTTAATCTTAACATGTAAAATAAAAACATCGTTTTGTTTTACTAAACAAAATCAGAATTTAATAAAAACAACAAATAAAAACAAAAAAAAATCAGAATTTAATCTAAACATGTAGGGAACATGTATCATTTAGACATTTACATGTTCAAATTTAATTCTGATTTTTCTTCATGTTTATATAAAATTCTGATTCCTTCCTGTTTTAATAAAACAAAATCAGAATTTAATAAAAACAACAGATAAAAACAAAAAAAATCAGAATTTAATCTAAACATGGAGAATAAACACATCCCCCTTTTTGTTTTAATAAACAAAATCAGAATTTTAATTCAAACAAACATAAATTCTGATTTTTAATTAATTAAAAATAGTAATTTGTTTACCAAAGTTAAAATATGTGCTTGGCACCAAATACTATGGGAACCCGTATCCATAGCTCCCCCTCTTAATATTACATGTATTTTATCTTCAATTTTAAATTCATTAAATATTTGTTGAAGTAAAAGATGAATATTCATATCAGGCTTTATTCCACGTGCAGCCAAAACACAAAATGAAGGTTCCATTTGTTTATTGATGAAATGGGCTGATAAATTAAAAAAATTATTTGTTTTAATTATGTATGTTTAGATAAAATTCTGATTTTTATAAAAACATCAGAAAAACACGAGTGTTTTAATTAAATTCTGATTTTAAAAAAGCGATGTTTTATTTAAATTCTGATTATTACTAATTTTTCATGTTTAAATAAAATTCTGGTTTTTTTTCTTGTTTAATAGAAATTCTGATTGTGTTTTTTATTAAAACAAAAAGAATGTTTTTCTTCATGTTTAAATTAATTTCTGATTTTTTGTGATTAAACGAAATTCATTTTTTATTTCATTGTTTTTATTAAATTCTGGTTTTTAGTAATGTTTTAATGTTTGTCAAACACTAATGTCCGTCAAGATGTTTTAATAAAATTCTGATTTTATTAAAATGCCAAAGGGGCAGAAAAAAAAGGCAAAAAACGGAAAAATCAGAAATTAATCCAAACATTTATTCTGATTAATTTTTAGCTGACATGTTTTTATAAAATTCTGGTTCTTTTTTTGTTTAAATTAATTTCTGATTTTTAAGTTTAAACGGAATTCTCTGTTATTTCATGTTTTTATAAAATTCTGGTTTTTAATAAAAACACCAAAATCAGAATTTAATCTGAACATTCAAATAAACACAAATGTTTTAATAAAATTCTGATTAGTTTTTGACTGTTTTTCTGGTTATTTTCATGTTTTATTTAAATTCTGATTAGCATAAGGTTTCCATGTTTTAATAAAATTCTGATTTTAATAAAAATATTTACCCGTAACAGAAAGTAAAGTATGATCGCTTGTTTCCTTTTTTGTTGTATTTGTATTACAATCTCCATCCCAAGTGTCCGTTGTTATTGAAATGTATTTGGCATCTTCTAATTGATTAATTATACGTGAACGAATTTTTTCGTATAAAGAGGGTAAATGTGATCTTGAAAGTGTCCAACGACTTCTTAAAAAAATAATTTTTTTAATTTAAAAAATAATTCTAATTGTAGCCCCCCTCACACACCTTCACCTAGGGCTGTGCGCCAAAACGCCAATCTTCCCATTTTGGTCAAAATACCCAAGTGTAATATATCATTCGACGCGTCTCGACGAGCTTAATCGAATGGTACCAAAATTAGCAAAATTGGATTTTTTTGAAAAAAGTTAAAATTAATTAAAGGGATGGTAGTCGATGATTGAGAGTGAAAATTGGAGGGAAATCGGCTTCGAAAATCAACAAAAAATTTTTCTTAAACCCCAAAAAAATCTTCAAGCCTCATCTCTTCCATCCCCGAAAATACTCAAAAAATCCCCAAAAAAATTAAAAAAATTATACTTTGGAACATATTTAGGAGCAACAACTTTAAGAAAGTTTCTAAAGCCAGGACCGTCTGTAATTGACAATGGGAAAATATCTGTACAAATCATTTGAATTATAGCTTCGTCTATTCGTTTAGTCATACTTCCTGTTCTGTCCCATTGAGCTGAGAAAAATTTTTTTTTTGAATTTTCTATGGATGTCAAGCCCAATTTTAATTTTAAAAAATGAGGTTGAGGAAAATAAGAAAGATGAATTCACTCCAATAAATGTGGAATAAGCCCCTCTTTTTCCAAAATAAGAAAAAATGGGGGCTCCTATAATTCACTAATTAATTCTCCCAAAATCCAAATACAAATAGCCCCCATCTTAAGGCTGGAGATAAACACAGTCAGTCGTGCTTTTCAATAAGGGCGTAGCCAAGGGGTCGATTTCGGGACAAGGGGGGGCTAAAAATTTTTTTAAATGACGGTCATTTAAATTTGGCCGATGTGCCCCCCCCTCCTAGCCCGCTAGCTCTTCTGAATACGCCATTGCTTCCCGGTCTGGGGCCCCAGTTCCACAAAAGGTTTCCACTGATTTCACGATCCATTTCCCACCCTATAAAGCTTTTCCTACCCACAAAAACCTCAAAAAAACCTCTCACAATTTTCACTAGTTTGTGGCTCATCTTCCTCCTCTTCATCATCCTCATCTTTCAATTTTTTTCTTCCCGTTTTTGAAGTACTTCCTTCACTAGAATTTATGTTGATCGATTTTCTAACGCCTCTTCTAGGTGTCCGCAAAATTTTATTTTTGTTTTCAGTTTCCTCAAATTCCAGTAATTGTGCCATTTCTTCGGGGTGTTTAGTTAAATGGTGGCGAAGACTGCTTTTGGATGCCTAAAAAATTTGGAAAGGGTTGGGCTTGGTTAATGCCCCCAGCAAAAGCTTAACAAGACGGCTGCTTGCAGGCCCGTAGCCAGGGGGGGGGGGTAGGGGAATTCCCCCCCCCCCCCCCCCCCCCCGAAATGGGGAAAAGGGAAAAATTTGGGGAAGGGCTGGGGCAAAAAAAAATGAATTTTTTTGGCCTACGGCCTTCTAAAATTCTCAAAATTTTCGCCTACGGCGCTGAAAGTAAAAATAAAAATTGTCGCAGAAAAAATTTTCCCCCCTTGCCCCCCCCCCCCACCCCCGAAAAAAAATCCTGGCTACGGGCCTGGCTGCTTGTTAGCCTTGAGAACCCCCTCCTGAACCCAGAGCCTCTCCCCAGGATTTTTTCAATACTTTTAAATCCGGGCGGATCATGGGCCTACAGCTCAAAAACATACACGGCTTTAAACACATGAAATTTGGAAAGGGTTGGGCTTGGTTAACAATAACTAGTTAATGACCTGAGCAAGAAAGGTAGACAGAAGACACCTTTCCAAGATTTTTTAACTCTTTATTTGAATAAGGATTCCAGAAAAATCCACGGCAGGATCCAGTCCAATCCCTAGTCTGTTGTGATTTTCGTGTTTCGTTTCGAAAACAATTGTTCTAGGTGAAAGCCAACCTCGCCCAGGCATTTTTTAACCTTCTGGGTTCTTACTAGAGCTGCGTCGAAATAAAAAAATCTTCGAAATTCGGAAATCGAAAGTCGAAAATCGAAATTTCGACGCAGCTCTGGTTCTTACTAGACTACAGGCCCATGATTCAGCCCAGGTCAATAAATCAACCCAAAACCCAAGAAAGGCCCAGGCTTTCCAAAAATACCGATCTCTACTACCCAGCATAAAAACCGCCGTTAGAACCAAGCCCTAAAACCTCCTCTCTCCCCAAATAAAAATTTAAAAAAAACCTGCGCATTTTTTAAAGTCTTTTTGTATTCACAAGACTTGCAAGAAGCTAAAATTACTTTGTCTTCAAGAATTAAATTGAAAAATTTGGAATATTTGCTTTTTGGAAGCATTGAATTTATCTGAAAAGTTGACAAAAATAAATAAAAACGTGAAAACAAAGCCAGGCCCAACCTCCAAAAAATTTTTAAAAAAATTGAAAAACCCCCAAGAAAATCCAAATTAGACCAATTTTCTGTTTCTCTAACTTTTTTTGATGTTTCGAAGGCATTAGCAGGCTAATATTTCAAAATGTCAACTTCTTATAAAATTTTTAAAATATCTAAAACCAGAAGAGGACATTTCAGTCTCATTGTTTTAGTCTAATTTTTAGTCCATAACTTTTCCAATTTTTAATCGTTACGAATAAATTTTATGTCATTCGAAAGCTCTGAAAGAGCCGATTATTTTAGTTAACAAGACCTTCCCGATCAGAACATTCTATCAAAAGTTGTAGTCAAATAAACGTCTAAAAACACGATTGACCGTGTTTATACGGCTCTAACTTTTTAAGAAATCAACCTAGTGACACAGTCCCGTTAAGAAAAAGATTCTACACATTTAGAGCTTTCGAATGGTATAAAGAATCATTCAGAAATTTTGAAAAACAAAAAAGATATGGGACGAAAAGTAGATATTTTTAGTAGTTGTGGGCAAATGTCGATGTGCACAAATGTCGCCCTGAAATTTAAAAAAATTTTCTAAAAATTTTTTTGAAAATTTTTTTATTTCCAAAATTTTCCAAAATTTCCATTTTCCATTTACAGTTAAATTAAGTAAATTAAATTTTTAATTTTATTTATTTTTATTCTTCCAAGCTTTTCTCTCTCTCTCCACTGGCTCCCGGAGATTTGGGGAGTGGACACTTGGGGAGTGGACATTAGGGGAGTAGATAAATGGGGAGTGAGCGGACAATTGGGGAGTGGACATTTGGGAAGTAGCATAACGATAAAAATACAAGGAATATTAAATAGTTTTTCTTGCTTTTGTATTTAAAAAATGGTTACGTATAAGTTCACCGGAGATAAAAGTTTGGGAATATGTCATTCGATTCGTCTCGGCGAGCTGAGTCGAACTCCAATTTTCGAAAAAAAAACTCAAACTCCAATTTCGGAAAAAAATCCAACTCCCTATTTCAGGAAATGATTCTGAACCGAGTTCTAGGTAAATTGAAAAACAATAGTGGGAGGGGGTAAGCTCGATTTTGGAGTAAAAAATTCGAATATGCAAGTAATAGCTCATTCGAAAGAGCTTTCGATCTGAGTCGAATGACACTAAAATTAGCTTGATTAACCAAGTTTGAGTCGAGATATAGGGCTCGAAATGGTCAAATACCAATGGTGGGATTTTAGAGTCAAAAATTCGAAAAAACATATAATAGCTCATTCGAGAGATTCCTAATTTATTTTTTTAAATACAAAAGCAATAAAAACTATTTAATATTTTATTGTATTTTTATCGTTAGGCTACTCCCCAAATGTCCACTCCCCAATTGTCCGCTCACTCCCCATTTATCCACTCCCCATTTATCCACTCCCCAAGTGTCCACTCCCCAAATTTCCGGACACGTCTCCACTATAAATAATTCAAATACAATTTAATCCATTTTTAGAACGCTAAATTCTTCTTTCCAATTTTATCCTCCGTTTATGATCTAATTTTTGGTCGTTGCATTTTCTAGGTCGTAAATGGAGAATAATTAAAAGGGAATTTATATGGAGAATTTTTCTGATATTTTTGCAAGTGTGCGCAAATTTTTTGAAAACGCCAAAAACGCAAAGGGGACGAATTTTGAGCGGGAATTTTTTTGAAGCTCAGGAAAGGGCCTAAGTACACTTTACCGGGGGATTTTAGATTTGAACAATTTATATGTCAATCGAAAGAGCTCGTCAAGTTGAGTCGAATGACACCAAAATTAGCCCGCGGACTCAACTGTGGGCCGAGATATAGGGCTCGAAATGGTCAAAAACCATAGGGGGGAGTAAGCTCAATTTTGGGGTGAAAAATTCGATTTTACAAATAATAGCTCATTCGAAAGAGCTCCTCGAGCTGAGTCGAATGACACCAAAATCACCGTGATTGAACAAGATTAGACAAAGTTATGACACAAAAACAAAAAACCTAAACCTATGGAGCGTCGGCGAGGCGCTTGTGCAAAACCCAGCGCTTCGCGCTGGGTTTTGCGGCACGCGCCTCGCGGGGAGTCTACGGGCGCTGGGTCTGGGCTCGTAACATAAACCTATTCCTATCTCCCTTGCTCTGGACGTATTTGGGGCCTCCGTAGCAGCAAAAATCTCCACAGATCCAATAGGTAAGGAGCTAAAATAAAAGATCATAACTTTGTCCAATTAAGTCGGATTTCGTTGATTTTGGTGTCATTCGACTCAGCTCGACGAGCTCTTTCGAATGAGGTATAATTTGCATATTCGAATTTTTTACCCCAAAAAATGCTTGGTCCCCCCTATGGTTTTTCGATTTTTGGGGACCCATATCTCGGTCCATAGTTGAGTCCGCGGACTAATTTTGGTGTCATTCGACTCAGCTTGACGAGCTCTTTCGATTGACATATAAATCATAAAAATCTAAAATCCCCCGGTAAAGTGTACTTTAGCCCAGGAAAGGGCCTAACAAGCCCAAAAATCTTCAAAAAAATTTTTAAAAAATTTCAGAAAAATTTTTAAAAAAATTAAAAACGTCTCTTACACCTTTCCTGTTAAGTAGGACATTAGAATCTGAGAACTTAACGAAGAAATAGACTAATTTTGAATAACTCTAATGTACCTTTTGGGACATACTTTAATGAAAAACGAGTTCTACCCTTAAAACAAGAAATTTTTTAAAAATTTTTCCCAAAAAATACAGAACGCCAAAAAATTTGCGCACACCCCCATCTGCACATTTGCATTGTTAAATCTCCCTAGGGGTGAATAAAAAATAGAATTAGTGGAGAGTTTCCATTTATGTACATAATAAAAAGCATTCGCGCTAAAACACAAAAGAAAGCAAAAAAAATTTTTTCCTATAAAAATGAGGGCGATTGTCATCAATTAAAAAATAAAAATTCTTTTTTTCTCCCTTGGATTTTACAGCCCAAAACGGCGCGAGGCCATAACGGCGTTTAGCCATAATTTGCTGGAAAATTTCTGGCCCTTATCAATTCTGGTACCAATCTCTTTAGCTCGATGAGAGGAGTCGTTTGATACTAAATTTGAGCGGATTTGGAAATCTTGAAGCAAGTTATGGCTAAACGCCGTTATGGCCGCGCGCCGTTTTGGGCGTGTCCCTTGGATTTTTATTTTTTAAAAAAAGCTGGAAAGACGCCCGCCCTTTTTTAAATGTCTATGCTCTTTAAAATTTTTTTTCTTCTTCCTCTATTTAATCCAATCCATTTGCTTTTTTAAGAAGCATTTTTTAAAAACTTTCTTCTTCATTTTGAAAAAATTTTGTTTCCTTGTAGGAGGATGACAAGGATTAAAAATTAAATTTTTTTCTCAGACTCAAGTGTCACCTACTTTTACTTCCTCCTTTTATTAAATCCCTTTCCAAAATTCAGCCGACCTTTTCTATAAGAAATTCAGCCGATCCTTGCTACCACCCTCCACCAAGACTCAAAAGTGCCCCTTTCTTTAAATAGACCCGGAAGGTACATTGCGGCACGGGACTGATCCCGTCCCGGAATCCCGGGTTTTAAGCGACGAACGGGATTACCGGGATTAATCCCGCGGGATCCCGTCCCGTACGAAGTGCTGGAAAAATCCCATCACGGGATTCCGGAAATGCGATTTTGCCTCACTCTACCGAAAGGATTCTTTAAAAACTCCCTCTAAACTCTAGTGTCCTCTACTCTCAAAAACCTTATTTCCCCTCATTTCCCCCATTTTTCCTGCATTTTTTTTGTCAAAAACCTATTCAAAAATACTTCAAAAATATTCAAAAATATTAAACAAAAAATGTTTCCATTTGCACTTTTTCCTCAAAAAAAAAAATAATAAACAAATAGAGGACCAAAAATGAGGTTTATTAAAAAAAAGTGTTTGTTACTCCCCATCTTGTAAATAAGAAAAAAATGTGACTGGTTGTGACAACACATGAGGACAAGAAAAAACAGAAAAAAATTAATGATTTTATTTTGTGCACACGAGACTTGTTTTATTTTTATTTATTTATTTTTTCTTTTTTTTGAAGGGAAAAAATAGGGGAAGGATTCTGATTTTTTCTTATTTTTCCTGGTTTATTTTTAATTTTTTTCCCTATTTTCCCCCTCTAAACTTGTTTTTACAACATTTATTTTTGCTCTTTTTTTACCCTATAAGTCTGGGAACTCGCCGCATATATTGATTACCTCTCTGGGACTCTAATGGTCCTTTTAGGATTCTATTTGTAAGCCATTATATGTAGTCCTATTTTGGTTTGGGTGCCATTACAGTCTTGGAACGTGCCATAAAATTTATCAACTTACCTGACTCTAATGGTCCTTTTAGGACTATTTGCAAGCCATCAGAGTCTGGGAAAGAACCATGTAACTGTTCAACTTCTTTGGACTCTAATGGTCCTTTAGGTTGTCACTTGTAAGCCATTAGAGTACTATCATCTGCAAGCCACTAGAGTCCTATTGTTGGTCTGGGTGCCAGTAGAGTCGGGGGAAGGAGCCATGAAATTGTTCAGCTTCCTTGGGCTCTAATGGTCCCCTTAGGATTTATTTGTAGGCCATTAGAGTACTATCTCATCCAAGTCACTAGAGTCCTATTTTTGGTTTGGGTGCCATTAAAGTCTGCAAAATAATTACTGAAATTGATCAACTTTCTGGGACTCTAATGGTCCTTTTCATACCTCTATTTGAAATGGACTAAAGTGGAATCTCTCTATTAGTCGCCCCTCTGGCCAAATTTTGATCTTATCTTAAAGAAAAGTGATGTGTGAGGGAGACAATTTTAGAGTCTTCCACGGTTTCTTAATGACTCTAATGCTCCTTCCTGGGTAATATATTTTTTTCTCAGACTCTATTGGCCATCTATTTCGATTTTTTGGGTTACCTTCTATTCTATGACTGTTCTTTTGGGATAGCCTTTTTACAAAGAAAATTGAGCGGAAAGTTGGGGCAATCCTCTAAATAAAGCTGCGACTCAAATATCCTCATTGCTAAAAATTGAGCAGTCAAGCAAATAAACACGTAGAAATAAAGAAAAATAAAAAGAGAGGAAAAATATTCTCTGTCTAAAAAATTTTTGGTTCGGTTGGTTTACTTCTTTACTTTTCCCTCTTTTTTCGTGTCCTTATTTTGCCAAAATCACATTTCGCCAATAAGGCTAAACACCCTCATTTTGTCAACATACTTGATGACAAAATGAGGAATTTTTGCCTTATTGGCGAAATGTGTTTTTGGCAAAATATGGGGGAGCTCTCCTTTCTTTCTAACAAACACACTAAAAGGTAGGTAGTGGATTGCAGCATTTGCCGCCTTTTGTTCGTCTTTTTCTTTCCCTCAACAGCTGATAGAAAGAGGAGGGAAAATATAAATATATTTTAGTCAATGAAAAAAAGAACCCCGTGCTAAGCAAATATTTTTTGAAAAAATGCTTTTTCACTTCCCAAGAGTGTTATCAATTTATTTTTTTTACCTTTTTTATAGTTTTTTAGCCTTCTTTGGACACGATGAAATCAAAACTGTCACTGTTAGTCTATTTAATGTTGAGAAGAAAATTAGGTTATAGTCAGTCTTCTTATAGGAAAAATATTTTTTATAGGGCCGTTAGAGTCTTAAAAATTTTTGGGGGTGCTGAAAATTTTCTAGGGGTTTTGAAAATTTTCTGGGGGTACTGAAAATTTTTCTAGAAATTTTTAAAAGATTTTTTTTAATTTTCTGAGTGGTCCCTGTCGAAATAAAAATTATTTTCCACCAACCGAAGTCGAACCAACCAACCCCCATAACTTTAATTCGACATCCGTACCAATTACCTTACCCATTAGAGTCTTGGAAAAAATTCTAGGGGTGTTAAAAATTTTTATAAAAATTTTAAAAAATTTTTCTGTGAGGTTCCCGTTAAGGCAAAAACTATTTTCCACCAATAGGACTCGAACCCACCACCCCCTCCAAGCCAAAGTCGACGTCGTTACCAACTACACCATAACTACACTTTTTAAAATTAATTAATAATTAACTTAATTTTTACAGAAACACATGTATTAATTAATTAAAATTAAATTATATTTTTATTTTATTAAAAAATGGCAGCGGTCGCTCAAATGCCTCCCTCTGCCCAATCCCAAGCTCAGAAAAAGCCAAAAACCTTTCAAGTTTGTTTCTAATTCAAAATTAAATTATTAAATTCAATTTTAGGCTTATTTGCCCTCAGGCGCTCGTACTTATAGTTGTGCTCATTGTCGAGCAAACCTGGCAGATCACAACGAGGTTGGCTTTTTTAAAACATTTTTTAGGGTTTTTGGGTTATAGGAGAACCTAGTTTTTCAGTAATAAAACTGTTTTCTCTAACAGTCAGAGAAAACCTCTCCTTTTCCTGTAGTGTCTCGCAACTGTTAAAAGTCGGCTAGGTTTGAGTCCTATATCTTTTGAATGGCCGAACCTTTAAAGAAGGTTTAAGTATCATTCGATAGAGGAGAAAATTTCCTACAAAATGCTACCGGAGTCTTTATCTTATTTAATTTTTCAGAAAAATTGTGGTCAAAAAACTCCAAATTTTGGACGTTTTTGTCTGTTTTTGGACCATAACATTTTTATTTTTCCTCCAAAAATTATTTTTCCTTGTCCATTTTGTAGTAAATTTTCTTCTCTATCGAACGGTACCAAAAGAATTTTAATAAGTTTATCCAGCCCTAAGTTAGAGAAGTTGGCGTTCACTAGGTTCAGCACTTCTGTTAGAGGGGGAGGACTTAATAAATTAATTTTCTTTTTTTCTCATAATTTCTCCCTAATTTTCTAGTTAATCTCCAAATCATTCCAAGGCAGTCAAGGCAAAGCATATCTTTTTAATTCAGTAGTTAATATTGTTTGTGGTACAGCAGAGGAAAGAGTTTTGCTTACTGGACTGCATGCTGTTGCTGATATTCAAGTAGAGAATATTTTTTGATTTTTTAAATTAAATTATGTAATTTATAGTGTGAATGTTGTAAGACTACACTCGGATGGAAATATGTGAGTTTAAAAAATTTTTTAGCCCATTTTAAGTCCTTGAAATGTCCAGACTCAAGTGTCACCCCAAAAAATATTTTCAACAAAAATTCCAAAAATTTCCCTAAATATTTTAAGGAGCACGCTTACGAAAGCAGCCAAAAATACAAAGAAGGCAAGTATATCATAGAGCTAATCCATATGGTTAAAGACAATGGTTGGGCACAGCCGTGGGGTGAACGTCGAAAGAGGAATGGCAGTTTGACTTAAAAAAATTTTCAAAAAAGTTTAAGCCTGTTGAGGTGTGCAAAATAAAAAAATTAAAATGTCCTTTCTATTAGAGTTGAAAATTTTCTAAAAATTTCCAAAAAAAATTTTTCAGACTCTAATAGCCCTTTTATTTTTTTGGCGTTATTAAAAATTAAAATGTCCTTTCTATTAGAGTTGAAAATTTTTTAAAAATTTGGTACTTATGAAGATGGAGGTGCCCTTTCTGCGGACTTTTTTTGCGGATATTTTTCCTTTCTTTTTAAATGTTTTGTTGTTTTGCTTTCAGCAAGTTTTGCTAGTAGCAATTAACTGTCGAAGGATTATTTTTTATGCCAATTTGAAAAATATGTGTCACGATTAATTTGAATATTATAAACGTAAAAAATGTTACAATCAATTAAAAATTTTACTTTAACTAAATTTTCAATTACCCGATGATGAATTTCAACAATGGATCACTGATCTCAGAATGCTTCATAGAAGAATATGTGATTGTGGAACAGAAATGCGAGTAATTTCAAACCTTGTTCCCCCCCCCCCCCCTCACCCATTATTTTTATTACCTAAGATTGTACAAAAATGGTCAGATTTCCTTCTTCCTCTCTTTCCTCTATTTGAGCTTGGCATATTCAAACAAGAGACATTGTTTATAAAGAGAAGATTAAAATTAATTGAGTTGTTCAATATTGAGTTCAATTTATTTTTTCAGTTGTTCAATATTTTTAAATATAAGTATATTTTTTTAAATATATATATACTCTTGTTTGAATATGCCACAGGGCAAATAGAGGAAGGAGAGAAAGCAGAAAATCTGACCTTTATGTACAATCTTAGGTAAGAAAAATAACAGGGGGGAGGGCCTTTGACAGTTAGTTGCTACAAGTAAAACAAATAAGGGAAGAAAAGTCCGCAAAAAATGTCCGCAGAAAGGGCACCTCCATCTTCATAAGTACCAAAAATTTTCTAAAAAAATTTAAAATGTCCTTTTTATTAGAGTCGAAAATTTTCAAAAAAAATTTTTTCAGACTCTAATAGCCTTTTTTATTTTTTGGCGTTTTTTATTTTTGACAAGTTTTGCGCACATCTCAAAAATTAAATAGGCTTAATTATTCCTTTCCGGAAGGAAAATACAAAAGTTTCCGGAAAGAAATACAAAAGTATTCTTTCCGGAATTTTTCCGGAAGGAAATACAAAAGTGTATAACTGCCGTTGTGTGCATTTTTCTTTTTTTCTCTCGCTCTCGTATTTTTAAGTGTTGGAGTTAAATAATAATTAATTAACCAAAACAATTAATTTCTTCTTTTGTAGTTAATTTTTCAACATTCCTTCTTTCTATAACTCGCAGCTTTCTTTTATTTTCTTATTTTTTCTATTTAAAAATTTTTTTCCTTTTACTTCAACCTAAGAATAAGATTGTATTTTGTTTTATTTTTTAAATCTGACTTGTGTCGACTTATATCAGTCTCGTATCAGACTCAAACGGTCCTTTTTAAAAATATTTAGCGTCCAGACACAAGTATCCCTTTTTCTCAATTTTGAATTTTTTGCATCAGACTCGTATGATCCCTTTAGAAAATAAAAATGTCCAGACTCAAGTGTCCCTATTGAATTTTGGTCATTTTTGGGGTGTTGGGATAACTCTGAGAGGGTTGGTATAAGTCAGAGATTAAACCACACAAAAATAAATTCTTTCAATAAACTCTTCCTCTATCGATCAAATTTTGATTTATATATTTAATTTGTATAAACCAGTTTTCTTAATGTAATCATTTTATATACTTATTCTCCACCCAAAAAAGCCGATATCTCTGCCATTAATAATCAATCTATTTTTTATAATTTTAATTAATTACGTTCAATTTTTGTGTAAATAATTTTTTAAAATAAATTTTGAAAGATTTGCAAAAATTAATATAAATTTATTGACATTGGAGTCTGTGATAATTTTAATCGAAAATATGTAGGAAGAGAGAGACTCTAAAAATATTCTGTGTTTTTTCCTGTATTTTCGATAAAATACAAAAATGTATTTTATATTAACTTTCCGGAATTGTCTATTTAATTTCCGTTTTGTATTTAATTTGTGTTTTCCGGAATTGTTTATATGAAATGACTTTTATTATTTTTCAGGAAATTTCCGGAAATATATTTCCTGAAAATATACAAGTATTTTCCGGAAGGTTATATTTTATTTTGTATTTTCCGGAAATGTATTTTCCGGAAGGTTATATTTTATTTTGTATTTTCCGGAAATGTATTTTCCGGAAGGTTATATTTTATTTTGTATTTTCCGGAAATGTATTTTCCGGAAGGTTATATTTTATTTTGTATTTTCCGGAAATGTATTTTCCGGATTGTATATTTAATTTGTATTTTCCCGGATTGTATTTTCCGGAAGGTTATATTTTATTTTGTATTTTCCGGAAATGTATTTTCCGGAAGGTTATATTTTATTTTGTATTTTCCGGAAATGTATTTTCCGGAAGGTTATATTTTATTTTGTATTTTCCGGAAATGTATTTTCCGGAAGGTTATATTTTATTTTGTATTTTCCGGAAATGTATTTTCCGGATTGTATATTTAATTTGTATTTTCCCGGATTGTATTTTCCGGAAGGTTATATTTTATTTTGTATTTTCCGGAAATGTATTTTCCGGAAGTTTATATATTATTTTGTATTTTCCGGAAATGCATTTTCCGGATTGTATATTTAATTTGTATTTTCCGGAAATATTTTAATTCCGGAAAAAGTTTTCGGAAATACATTCTATGAAAGCATACGTATTTTCCGGAATTGTATATATTTATTTATAATTTATTTTCTGCAAATGTATTTTCCGGTTAGTTTTCCCAGGAAAATTAAATATGCCCAGACTGTTAAGTGTTACTAAAAAAGAAGCAAAGAATCCTCTCCAATTTTCCATAAAAATACTAAATTTAATTATCACGAGACTCGTGTATATTAAAAAAGGATTGCCCAGAACAGATTAAAACACAAAAAACAAAAAAAATATATAAAAATTATTTTATTTAACGTTCTCTGTGCTCTTTATTTATTTTACAATTTTTTAAAAATTTTATTTAAAAAAAGAAATAATAAAATAAATAATGAGGGAACTTTGAGGGGAGAGACTAAAAAACATTTTTTAAGGCATCACAATAATTATGAAAAAAAGGGAAGAATGATTTTGACATTTAAATATTTTTATAAATAAAGCTTTAATTAAAAAAAAAAGATAAAATAATATGGGGGTAGAAAAATTTTTTTAATAATAGAAACAGGACATTAGAGTCTTGCGAGTTTCATAATTCTTTTCAGGCCATAACTCTTTTGGAATTTAACCTACTCAAATAATTTTGATATCATTCGAAAGCTCTGAATGTGCTTATTCTTTTTCTTAAAGAGATAGATCAGGTCCACTCATTCCCTACAAAGTTACGATCTGTTAAGTGAGGGCAATCGTGATATTTGTTCTATATCCGTCTATAACTTTATTGGGGAGTGAACGGATCAGATCGATCCTTTTGAGAAAAAGAATAAGCACATTCAGAGCTTTCGAATGATATAAAAATTATTAGGATCGGTTAAGTATCAAGAAAGTTATGACTAAAAAAGTGTTTTAATAGAGGGATTTTCAGAATTTTGCCAACATCTTTTCTCTACTTAAAACTTAACAAAGTCTGAACCAATTCAGAAATACTAATTTTACCCTCTTCTTTTTCACGTCCAGCAGTTATTTGTTCATATTCACCCTCACTTAGAGGCTCCCCAAAAACTGTAAGCATTCGACGTAGGTCTGATTGAAATACTGAACCAGAACTAGCGAAAAGAATTAATTTGTATTTATGTATTTTCCGGAAAGAGATAGATTTATTAAATATGTATTTTGTGTATTTTATACACCTAACTTTCCGGAATTGTCTTCCGAAATTGTCTGTATTTTCCGGAAACATTTTATGAAATTATTTTATTTTTCCGGAAATTATTTTATTTTTTCTGTATTTTCCGGAAAATGAAAAGAAATACAATAATTTTATTTTCCGGAAAAAGTTTCCGGAAATACATTTCTTGAAAGCATAATTATTTCCAGAATTGTCTATTTAATTTCCGGAAGCTATAATTTTATTTGTATTTTCCGGAAATATTTTATAAAAAGAAATACATTTCCGGAAAATACATTTCCGGAAAATACATTTCCGGAAAACACATTTCCGGAAAACACATTTCCGGAAAACACATTTCCGGAAAACACATTTCCGGAAAACACATTTCCGGAAAACACATTATCTGAAAGCAGAAGTATTTTCGGATCAATTTACCTATCTCTGTCCATATTCTCTAGAAAAGCGGATAATTCAGTCTCATCTCTATCAGCAGCACCCTCTTTACGAATAGAATGTAACATTGGAAGAAACTTAAAATTTTTCCAAATTTTATTTTTTAATTATTTCCCTTGCCTGTTCAACAGAAATACGTTCAGAAGCATTATTTTCAGTCAATTTAGCTATTTGTGCTTCAGTCGGGCAGAGACCCAAAGATCGCAAACAATGGCCTAGTTGATCTACCTTAACTCTTCCGTCGCCTTTAGTGTCATAAAATCTAAAAGGGTTAATTAAATTATAGAAAGAAGACCTCAGTGGTTTAAAAATATTTCCGGAAACATACGGAGATGTATTTTTGTTTACAGAAAGATAAATTTCCGGAATAATTTTATGGAAATGTTTATTGGGGTAATATTCAAATAGTTTTCCGGAAATATATTTCTTTTTTCCGGAATGTATTTATTTCTCTCGAGAAATATTTTTGTATTTTCCGGAAATGTATTTTCTCGTGTTTTTCATTTATTTCCGGAAGTGTTTTTGAAATAACTTTCCGGAAATGTTTACTGGGATAATATTCATATACTTTTCCGGAAATGTATTTTTTCCGGAGTGTATTTCTCTAAAGAAATATAATATTTGTATTTTCCGGAAATGTATTTTCTCATGTTTTTCATTTTATTTATTTCCGGAAGTGTTTTTGTAATACCTTTCCGAAATGTTTATTGAATTAATATTCACATACTTTCCACATGTATTTTTCCCTATAAAAACAAAACTTGTATTTTCCGGAAAATTAAATTTCCCGTGTTTTTTGTATTTATTTTCATATATGTTTATTTAACTTACTGAAAGACTTCCTGAATCTCATTCATTTCTTGTTCAGTATGTGAATCCTTCCCTTCACGCTTAGTTTTTGTTGAACTCATTTTTAAATTAAAATTTTTTTTAAATTAATTTTTTAATAAAAAATTTTTTCTTTAAAATTTATTAAATAAATTGCAAAAAGAAAAAGAAACAAGAGCACAATTAAAAAATAACAAAGGCACAAGTTTATGGAAATACAAAAACTTTTAAAAAATATTTTTATTTTAATATTGTTGTATTTTTTGTTTGTTTATTTTAAATGGCAAGAATATTTTTAAAAAATGTGAGTGAATCATTCCACAAAATATATGGCTTCAAGAAAATAAAAAAATAAAAGAGAATGAATAATATTTGTGAAAGAATGTGTTTTTTTAGGAAAATTCCTGAATTAAAAATTTTATAAGAAAATATTTAAAATTTGGGGGTTAAAATTGCTTTGTGGTTCAGGACTCTTAAAGATATACATATGTATTTATGTATTTTCCGGAAGTAAAATTAAAATTTCCGGAAGTGTATTTATTTGGATAATATTCTCTTACTTTCCGGAAATGTATTTTCCTTTCTTTATAGAAAAATAGAAAATGTGTATTTTCCGGATATTTAATTTAATTACTTTCCGGAACAGGAAATAAGGATGTGTATTTTCCGTAAATTTATTTTTAATATTTCCGGAACAGAAAATAAGGGTATGTATTTTCCGGAATCTATTTTCAATCTTTCCGGAACAGAAAATAAAGGTTGTCTTTTCCGGAAATTTAGTTAAATTATTTTACGGAACAGGAAATAAGGGTATGTATTTTCCGGAACAAGAAATGAAGGTGTGTATTTTCCGGAATCTATTTTTATTATTTTCCGGAACAGGAAAAATACATGCTATTTTCAGGAATAATAAAATGTATTTTCCGGAATTCTTTAAAAATGTTTTCCGGAAATGAAAAAATACTTTCCGGAAAGTATAAAATGTATTTCCAAAGTATATTTTATACTTTCCAGAATTTATATTAATATAAGTATTTTCCGGAAGTGTTCTTACAAAATGTATTTCAGAATAAATAAAATAAACTTTCCGGATACTTTGTTAGAGAAAAGAAAAGATAAAAGAAAATAGAGAGAATTCACCGCTTTTAAAAATATGTGTGTTTTTTCCAATTAATTTGTATTATTTTCCCTATTACTTTTATTACTACGCCCAGACTCTGAACTTGAAGGAGAACACAATTTATTATTTGTAATTGTTGCAGCTTCTGTAGGTGAATAATCATCAGAATGTAGTTGGATTGCTTCCATACTAATTCCCCTTCTTCCAATATATCCCACTTCTTGGCTGCTTGTAGCTGATCCAGAAGAGGAAGAGGGGGGACGAGCAAGTACCTGATTTAGTTAAAATGTGTTTTCGTGTTTTTTTGTATTTTTGTTTTTTGTATTTTTGTGTTTGTGTTGTTTGTGTTTTCTTGTATTTTTTGTGTTTTCTTGTATTTTTGTTTTTTGTATTTTTTGTGTTTTCTTGTGTTTTCTGGGTTTGTGTTTTTTGTGTTTCTGTGTTTTTCTGTCGTTTTGTGTTTTTGTGTATTTTTGTGTTTCTTCATGTCTTTTGTATTTTGTGTTTCTTTTTGTGTATTTTCTGTGTTTTTTTTATTTTGTGTTTTTGTATTTTTGTGTTTGTGTTTTTTTGTGGTTTTCTGTGTTTTTTTCGTATTTTTCTGTATATTTTTGTGTTTTTTGTGTTTTACAAAAAATACAAAAATTATCCTACCCATTGAACGAGTCTCTTTTGCCGATTTCTCCTATGATGAGACTGGATCAAAAATGTAGCCAATCCAAAAAATAGACCAAGCAATACAGACACACCCAAAACAAGTCCAATAGTCCACGCAGAATCAACAAGTGATGATTTACCAGTTCCTCCAAAAGAAGCAGCAGAACCATGGAAAGGCAGACGAGGAGGAGTAGACGAAGTTGTGGCTGTTGAACTGCCAGAATTAACTGTAAGTTGGGGAGAGAGCAAATGTTGACTTAAAGCTGCAGGCGCTTTTTCTGAAGGGTGATGGTGGGAGGGTATACGACTGGCATTTGTTGGGGGACAGGAAGGTGGCTACAAATTAATTGGTTGTTAATTTAAATGTCTCTTGTATAAATGTATTTTTTGTTTTTATAAGTATTTTTAAGTATTTTTCCGGAATTTATTTTAATAATTTCCGGAATTGTATTAGTACAAGAAAATATATTTTCTTGTTAGAGAAACAAATTATTTTCTGGTACGTATATTCTTCCGGAAATACCTTCCGGAAAATATTAAGGGATGTATATTTAAATTTATGAGAACGTATTTTCCGGAATATTTATATATTTTTAGTATTTTCCGGAAATAAATATACTTTCCGGAATTTATATATTTTTGTATTTTCCGGAAATACACTATCCGGAATTTATATATTTTGTATTTTCCGGAAAACACTTTCCTGAATATTTATATATTTTTGTATTTTCCGGAAATACACTATCCGGAATTTATATATTTTGTATTTTCCGGAAAACACTTTCCTGAATATTTATATATTTTTGTATTTTCCGGAAATACACTATCCGGAATTTATACATTTTGTATTTTTCGGAAATACACTTTCCGGCAAATTCATATTTATTTTGTATTTTCCGGAAAACACTTTCCGGAATATTTATATATTTTTAGTATTTTCGAAAATATACTTTCCGGAATTTATATATTTTGTATTTTCCGGAAAGCCCATGTATTAAAATGTATTTTTCTTTTTACGTTAATTTCTTTTCCGGAACACTTATTTATTTTTGTATTTTCCGGAAAAATAAGATTTTATTTAAACCCACAGTTAGTCCTAAACATCCATCATTTTGACGTAGGCAAAGACTTAATTTACACGAAAACCTCAGAAAATGTGATTCCGGTCGAAGCGAGAAGACTCTCGCTCTTGCATATGCAACTAAATTTTCCTTTTCATATTCAGGGTCATCTACAATCAAAGGATCTGTTGAACAGCTTTTAAAATTTAATTTTTTTAGTTTAATTTTTGGATTTTTTAAATTAGTAATTTATTAAAGAAAACACACGAGTAATACATCTTCCAGAAAATAACAAAAAATGTATTTTTTCAATTTCCAAGTGTTTTCCGGAAGGATGATCATTTATTATTCCCGGAATAGTATTAATACCAGAAATAAAATTTTCGGATACATTATTAGAGAAGCTTTCCGGAAAAAAAACTTTTCTTATGTTAATCTATTTTCCGGAATTTTATATTATTTGTATTTTCCGTAAAGCTATTGTATTATTTATTTAAATTTTTACCCCTATCTTGTTATTTTCCGGAAGGTGTATTTTCATTCATTTTCCCTAACAAATTTTCCGGAAAGATTTATTTTTAATTAATTAATTTATTTACCCTTCACTATCAATTAATTCAACCATTGAAGTTTTGCCAGGAGAGCTATTATTATTATTTGTTTTTTCTTGTGTTAAATTAGCAACCACACAATCACTCTAAAAAATAAATTAATTTTTTTTAATTAAAATTTTTCCAACCAAAAGTATCCCAAATTGTTCAGCAACGTCTTGCCCTCCCTCACACTCCCACCGATGATATATTGTCTGGCCTAGAGTTGCGCGTTGAAGAAGAGGGCCATCCGGCGTGTTTCTCCTCAAAGAGTATTCACAACGAGGAGGGGTTTGACTCAATTCGATAGTTTTGGTCATTACTGGACTGGCAAGAGGTTTTTGAATGGCCAAGTCTGCTGTTAATTGTTGCTTTTGTGTGGGCAATACTGGGGTATAACATTGAACCAAAAATGAGAACTTAAAAAATTTCTTTGGAATTTTTTAATAATTTTTTAATTGACTAGAAAATAGGGGGAAATAGTCAAGAAAACAAGTCAAATTGCGTGACTAATAAAATTTTAAAAAAATTATATTTTTTAATAAATTTTTTATTTATCCCATTTCCTCCCTATTAAACAATAAAATTTTATAATAAAAATATTTTTTATAATTATTTCCTTGCCTCAGGGCCTGCAATCACTAAAGAACGCCGTGGGGCAAACATAAGCACTAAAGAAAGGTTTTGGGGTGTTTGTGAAGAATTCTGAAATAATTTAAATTAAATAAACATGTTTTAATGATGTTTTTGTGTTTTCCCAACTTTAATTATTAAAAAAACCAGAATTTAAAACGAACATTAGGAAAACACTAAAACAAGCTAGAATCAGAATTTCAAAAAACAAACCAGAATTTAAAAATCAGAATAACAATCAAGCATTAAAACAAACAAAACATCTTATAAAAACCAGAATTTAAAACGAACATTAGGAAAACACTAAAACAAGCTAGAATCAGAATTTCAAAGAAACCAGAATTTATTTTTCCGGAGAAGCTTTCCGGAAACGTTGTTAGAGAAAATAAACTTTCAGAAAATCAGAATTAAAAATCAGAATAACAATCAAACATTAAAACACAAACAAAACATCTTATAAAAAACCAGAATTAAAACAAATTATTAAATCAGAACAACAAAACATAAAAAATAAAAACCAGAATTTCAAAACAACATATGTACTATATTATTTAATAAAAACACAAATATTAAAAATTAAAAACATTGCAAAAACAATGCTTCCATAAATTAATAAAAGAATTCTTTTTTGCTTCAATTTTTTGCTTCATAAAATCCATCAACAAAATTAAAAGTAAGGAAAAAAGTTGTAAAAAAATTGGACTTTTTTATTTAAATTAGTGGAAGTAAAGGTTATTTCTTTTATTTTTCCCCTTTATTTTTTCCCCTTCATTTTTTAAATTAATTTAAAATAAAACTCACAGCTTTGGACCCAGCCAATCCACATTTTCCTGGACCTATATCCAAGCGAGCCTCTCCCCCACCACTATCCTTGTCTAATTCTGCATAACAATCAGACTCCTCATGAAAGTCTTTGGCAAACAAAACACCGTTTTCGAAGGTTCTGTTAGTTGGCCAGGGCCAGAGGAGGGCCTTTGAAAAAAAATTTTCTTGGAAATTTTTTGAAAATTTTTTTGAAAAATTTCAAAAAATTTTTTTGAAAATTTTTTTTGAAAATTTTTTAAAAATTTTTTTGAAAAATTTCAAAAAAATTTTTTGAAAAATTTTTTTTTTAAAATTTTTTAAAAATTTTTTTGAAAAATTTCAAAAAATTTTTTTGAAAATTTTTTTTTGAAAATTTTTTAAAAATTTTTTTGAAAAATTTCAAAAAAATTTTTTGAAAAATTTTTTTTTTAAAATTTTTTAAAAATTTTTTTGAAAAATTTCGAAAATTTTTTTTGAAAATTTTTTTTAAAAATTTTTTAAGCCTCCAAAAATAATTTTCATCTCATTAAAATATTTTTTTACCCTAATTGAAGGAGGTTTGCATTGCACCCAAAGCTGCCCTTCCTCAAAATCAGTTCGTTGCCACCCAGGGCCAGGAACTTCCCTATTCCCAACAACATTTAAGGTTGTTTGTTTTTGTTGTTCTTTTATTTCTTCCTCTTCAACCTCTTGTTGTTCTTTACTCAAAACATTTTCAGAATTTGTTTGCAACAATGTTTCTGGTGTTGTTTGGATTGTTGTTTGGAGTGTTGTTGACTCTAATGTTGTTGCTACTGTTGTTTTCTTTTCTTCTGTTATTGTTTCAGTTATTGAAGCTTCATCTTCGTTAAAAGCTATTTCTTCTGGTACTGTTGTTTTCTTATCAAATATTAAAGATCCTTCTATTGTTACCCCTTCTTTTTCTTCTTCTGTTGGATATGTTGGTTTTTCTAAAGTTTCTTCTTTTGTTTCTTCTTGTTTAACAATTGTAGGGGTTGTTGGAGATTCTTCTAAAAATTTCAGAATTATACCAGAATTTAAAACAAACAAAACAACAGAATAAAAAAACATTTCAACAAAACAAGATTAAATCAAACAATTAATAAAACGCAAACAAAACATAACTAAAAACAGAACAAGATTAAAACAACAAAAACAACATCAAACCAACAAACATCAAAAATAAAGAAAACCAGAACATGTTCAAAACATTCAAAACATCAAAACAAAACATATCAAAACATCAAAAAAAACATTCAAAACATGTTCAAAAATCAAAACAAATCAAAACATTCAAAACATCAAACAAAACATATCAAAACATGTTCAAAACATGTTCAAAACAATCACACACACGCAACAAACACAACACATAAATACGAACATTTAAGATACATAAAATCAGAGTTAAAATAAAACAAATAAAAACAAAAAACTACCAATATTTATTGTTGTTGTAACAGGTAAATTTGTTTCAGCTTCACTTTTCTTCTCTGCGCTCTTGTAAATTTGCGCAGGTGCGATTGTTGTAGATTTTATCTCTTCAATATTTTCTTCAGTTAAAGTTTCTTTTGTACTTGTAATTTCATTTTCCTCTTGGTTATGTTCTTCTTTAATTCCAACAGTTGTTGCTTCATCTTTTTTCTCCTTGTCGCTTGCTTCTGTTGTTGTTGCAACGTTTGTTGCAGGGGCAACTTCTATCGGTTCTTTGCTAGTTTTTGGAAAGACAACTAACGGAGCAACTTAAAAAATGATCAGAATTAAGGGAAAGCTTATTTTTTAATTTCAGAATTTTTTTTCAGAATTTTTTTTCCAGAAAATTTTAAAATTCACCACTTGTAGTTGAAGCAGTTTGTACACTAGTTGCTTCTCTAGTTGAAACAACAGAATTTTCAGTTTCTTTTGGTGATGTTGTTGCCTCATTTTCCTCTCCCTCTAATCGTTCCAACTCTTCCGCAGGTACAGATTGAGTAGTCAAAGTAACTGGACGTTTAGTCGTTTTGTCTTTCCTACCCAGCTCATCAAGTATAAGAGAAACAGATTGTTCCAATTCTTTGCCTAATTCTTCTCGAAGTTGTGCTTCCGATATTTGGGAAGAATTTGAAGCAGCAAAAGCTTTTACAATTGCCTGTTATTAATGATTATTTATTTCTATTTCAAGAAGAAACATGTTACTATTTTTGGATTTGCAGTTGAAACTGTTTGATTGGCAGGCACAAAAGTTCTGAAATTGTAAAAACATTTTTTTAATTGCTAAAAACAATGTTTCTATTTATGTTTTGTTCGCGCAAATGTTTTTGCTTACTAATAAATAGTTAAAACATCATGAAAACAGAATTTAATCAAAACATCTAAATAATTTAACAAAACATAATAAATCTGAAAAACATTAGAACAAACAAAATCAGAATATCATCAAAACATGATAAAACACTCCAGAACAAAGTCAAACAAAATCAGAATCACAAAAACATGATCAAACAAACATTAAAATAAAATAAAAATATCATCAAAACATACTTAAACAAGCCAAACAACTTAATAAAACAAAAAAAATCAGAACAACATCAAAACACAACCAAACTTAATAAAACAAAAATAAATCAGAATACCATCAAAACACACCTAAAACAAACATTACAACAAATAAATAAAATCAGAACAACATCAAAACACAACCAAACAAACTTAATAAAACAAACAAACTCAGAAAACTCAGAACAACATCAAAACACAACCAAACTTAATAAAACAAACAAAATCAGAAAACTCAGAACAACATCAAAACACACCTAAAACAAACAAAATAAAACAAACAACAAAAACAGAATAACATCAAAACACACCTAAAACAAACATTACAACTTTAATAAATTTCTTCGTCCTTGTTCTAAAAACATTGTTTTTAAAACATTGTTTTTATTTAAATTCCAATTTATAAAAGTCCTTCAAAAAACTTTTGTTTAATTTGCGCAATTTAATTTTCCTTTGTTTGCCTATCTTTTACAACAACACACAAAATATCAACAAACTCCCCTATTTATTCTTTAATCATTTGCTATCATTTTTAGAAACAAGTTTTTTTCTGTTGATGTAATAAATTGAGAAATAAATTATTGTTGCTACTCTAATATTAAAACAAATATTTGTTTTTACACTAAAAATAATTTTTTAGCAAGTTTATGCAAAAAATTGGGGTGAAAACTTGAAGCAAATTTGTTTAAACAAGCAATTTTTGGCCAATTTTTAAAAATAAAATTTTTTATACCTTCCAAAGGTGTCCAATTGTCTTGTCTAAAAATTAAAAAAAAATTTTTTTTGCCCTTAAAAAAAATATTTTTTTAAACATACAAGCGTCACGCGTTTTTGACCGTTTAACAATTCAGTGGGAGGGGTAGGTGAATTTTGCTCGCTAGATGTTTCCCCAACAAATGTTGACAGTCTTTGCTTCTAAATATAATTAATTAACTCAAAACTTTTTATAATAAAGAAGTGTTCGTTTAACAAAATAAAGCAGAACATAAAATCAGAATTAAATAAAAACAAAACGATAGAATGAACATTAAATGACGAAATCAGAATATCTTAAAAACAAACATTTAAAAATCAGAATTTAATAGAAACAAAACTTGAAAACAATTAAAAACAACCCCAGAATGTTTTAAAAACATAACAAAACATAAAAAATAAAATCAGAAATTAATAAAAACAAACAGATATTAGAAAAACAAAATCAGAATTTTACAAAAACATAAAATTAAAGACGAAATCAGAATATTATAAAAACAAACAAATATTAAACAAACAGAATTTAATAGAAACAAAACATTGAAAACAATTAAAAACAAATAAAAAATAAAATCAGAATTTAATAAAAACAAAACATTTTGTCAAACATTAAAGCGTTAAAACATTAATTAAATAAAATTCACCTCCGTTTCAGTTTCATCTCCTTTTTCTGGCCCAAACACCTAACAAAAAATTAAAAAAAAATTATTTAATTCCTATAATTCACCTGTATTAACGTATTAACCATTAAAGGTTCCTTAGCTTCTCCTGCCACCGATGGGTGTTTAAATGACGGCAAATTGTTGCTCGAAGGGTGGGAGAAACGAGAAGGGGGTTTGTACTGCTTGTATTGCATAACTGGTACATCCTCAACTAGAAATTTAAAAATAAAAAATAAATGGGGAAAGTCAAGGTCACTAAAAGCCAAGCACTTTTAAATTCAAAATTGATTTTCAATAAATTTTTTAATTACCTAAAGGGGAAGTAGGAGGCGGTTGGTAGCCTCGAGGAACTGAACGTGCAAATAATCTGTTGGTGCTTGAGGAGGGTTGAATTTGAGTTAACTGAAAATGAGAGGAAAATGTTTAAATTAAATTCTGAAGATGTTTTAATGAAATTCTGAAAAATGTTTGAATAAAATTCTGAAAAATGTTCTGAGAAAATTCTGAAAATGTTTTGAGAAAATTCTGAAAATGTTTGAATTAAATTCTGAAAATGTTTGATAAAATTCTGAAAATGTTTTGGGGAAATTCTGAAAAATTTTTGATAAAATTCTGAAAATGTTTAGATAAAATTCTGAAAATGTTTTAGGAGAATTCTAGAATATGTTTTGACAAAATTCTGAAAATGTTTTGATGAAATTCTGAAAATGTTTTAGGAGAATTCTAGAATATGTTTTGATAAAATTCTGAAAATGTTTTGGGGAAATTCTGAAAAATTTTTGATAAAATTCTGAAAATGTTTAAATTAAATTCTGAAAATGTTTTGAGAAAATTCTGAAAATGTTTTAATAAAATTCTGAAAATGTTTTGGGGAAATTCTGAAAAATGTTTTGATAAAATTCTGAAAATGTTTAGATAAAATTCTGAAAATGTTTTTAATAAAATTCTGAAAAATGTTTTGACGAAATTCTGAAAACATTTTGATAAAATAACGAAAATGCTCAGATTAAATTCTGAAAAATGTTTTAATTCTCATTCCAACAAAACATGTTTTCTTTTTTTCTCTCGCTTACAAAAAAGATAACTAGGCAACCAGAAACACTGTTGCTAATTCTCGATTGTTTTATTCTTTTTCTGCTTCTATAATTATCTTCTTTTAACATTGTTGTTTTTAAACTTGTTTTAATTATTGTAGCAACAAGTTGTTCAATATCCAGAATTTGTTGTTCTTGTTGTTCTCTTGTTCTATTTTCAAACTTTTTTCTCTCTCTTCTCTCGCCTTTGTTGTAGCAACTTCCCAGATCTCGTTGATTATTTCCCGTTGATTTTTTCTCGTTAATTTTTTTAAAAAAGGAGAAAAGGCGGCAATTAATATATAAAAGTAGCAGTTAAAACAAGAAGATTTTTTTATGTGAGAAGCAAACATTTTTTGGGCGTGTTTAGTTAGTAGGGGGAGGGGAGGTGTTGAGTAAACTGGGGGAGGGGTAGGTTTGCATGAAAAAAAATTTTTTTTTTCACGCGAAGGCGAAAAAGGAGGAAAAAGGCAAAAATTATTGCGCGAGTTGTTAGCAACGCAAAAGGGAAGCAAAGGGGAAGCAGGGGGGAAGGAGGAGAAAAGTTGGGGGGAAGGAGGGAAGGGAGAAGAAAGGGCAAAACAAAGGGAGAGGAGATGAACCTGATCGTTTGTCTAAATATCGCGCGTGGCATATCTTCATTGGCCGAAAAAATTGATTTTAAAGAAGAAAAAGGAGGATAGGGGATTGAAAAAAAAATTTTTTTTGGTCATTGCCCTAAAGGAATATTTAAATTGGTTGCGGGGAATTTAATTGAAAAAAAAATGAAAAAAAAATTTGGCGGGAAAATAAAAATAAAATAAAAAATTTTTGAGGGGAGGAAAGGGAAGGTTGAAGAAGAATCGAAAAGGATAGGGAAAAAAATTTTTCTCGAATTTTTTCGAATTTTTTCCAATCTCCGTTTTCCAAGACTAAAACAGAGATTGAGACCGAGTCTTCAAAAAATCCGGGAAATTTCCCGACTCGGGAATCGAGACCGAGAGTCTCGAACATCACTAACACAGTATATTCCAAATTAGACATTAAAATGTTATAGGATGCCAAAATTGTCTAGATACTGTCTAGATACGACTTGAATAAACTTAGCTACAAGCCCTGAGGTAGACTGGCCTTGACAAACAGAAAAGTGGATGCCAGAGGCGTCCACTGGGACTGGGATGAAAGTTGGGGATGAAATTCATAACTAGTAGGGTATGATCTATCTGTCTCCCAAATTTCATCCCGAAGTTCCACGGACACCTCATGCACTCTCCTTTGTGAGGGGCATTCAAATGGAAAGATTTGGTAAGAAGAAGGGAGTTGTGTTTTAATCAACCTGTATTTTCTTTTTTTGTATTCCAGTTTATAGCTCTTACTGAGTCTTTACTTTCCCTCTATTTTAATCCTATTTTCACAGAATTTTAAATTTTATTAAAAATTTATTTTCAATTATATTTAGGCAACTTTCCCCCTCTTTTCCTCCTATTCCCCACTTCCCCCAATTTATTGCCAAAATTGCCATTTTTTAAACCCCGTGACCCATTCTCATCATTTTTGCGCATAAAATATTTAATAAAAATGTTTTTAATATAAGGCACGCTATTTTGAAATTCTGCCATTACTTTCAAATTTTCTACCTTTTAAAATAAAGGGAAATAGCTAACGGAGTATTCGAACCAGCCTGACGCCAACTCCTACAACTTTTTAAAGGGGAACGATTTTGAAATAGTTATAATTTATTAAATAGAGAATTAAATTAGCTACAAAATGAGCCCAAAACTTCATAATCTAAAGATAGACAAAAAATGTTGAGGTCAAAAAACCTCCAAAAATTGGCTAACAGTGCATTTGGACCAGCCTGACACTAACTCCTACAACTTTTTAAAGGGGAAAGATTTTGAAATAGTTATAATTTGATTAAATAGAGAATTAAATTAGCTACAAAATGAGCCCGAAACTTCAAAATCTTAAGATAGATAAAAAATGTTAAGGCCAAAAACCTCCCAAATTGACTAACAGCGTATTCTAACCAACCAGACGCCAACTCCTATAACTTTTTAAAGGGGAAAGATTTTGAAATGTTTAAGATACCATTAAATAGAGAATTAAATTAGCTACAAAATGAGCCCAAAATTTAATCCTAAAGACAAATACAAAAAAAGTTCAGGCCAAAAACCTTGTAAAAACTAAAATTTCCAAGTAAGTGTTAGTTTTTTGCCCTTAACTAAATTTCTAATCAACCTAGAATTTTGATTTTTACTTCATTTTGTAGCTAATCATCCCTTCTATTAAATAAAAAAAAGTTTGTTTCAAAAAGTTGATCCAGTGAAAAGTTTAGTCGTCCAAAGTTGGGAGGTTCGCATACTCATTTTCATGAAAATGTTAGTTTTTTGACCTTAACTGAATTTCTAATCGACCTAGAATTTTAATTTTTACTTCATTTTGTAGCTAATCATCCCCCCTATCAAATAAAAAAAGTTTGTGTCAAAAGGTTTATCCATTCAAAAGTTGTAACCCTCCAAGTTTGGTAGGCTCGCATACTCAATTTAAGCCTATTCTCCCTCAACCTTCTTCTCCTATAATCAACCTAAATTTAAAATTATTCCTTCATTTTGTAGCTAATCGTCTCCTCTATCAAATAAAAAAAAGTTTGTCTCAAAAAGTTAATCCAGTCAAAAGTTGTAGCTCTCCAAGTTTGGTAGACTCAGTTATGCCTAGTTGCGGACTCACCGCCAACCTTTTTCTCCCCCAATCCTCTCTCCCTTTTCTCTCATTTTTTATTTATTTATTATTATTTTCTATTTATTATTGTTGCCAAGTTTTTTTTTATTTTTAATTTAGTTTCAATTTAAAAATGTTTGTTATTTTTTTGTTATTGTTGAAAAATCAGAAAATTAAAATTTTTTTGCCTTCCTGGAAGGAAAATTAAAAAAAACCTCCCTAAACACAATGAATAGTCCAATTTCCGTTTCCTTCCAAATAAAAGTACGAACAAAAAATATGGAGGAAATAAAAAAAGAACATATTCAAGAGTACACATTTTGACCTTTCTCCTCTCCCCTCATACCTTCCCCTTCCCTATTTTTTCTTTGGGTGTTTTTAAAATTCAAAAAAAACTACAAAGGAAAAATCCCTCAATCTTCTAGAGGACACAGATTCTAGATAGAGGACACAGATTTCCAATCCCCTCTAATTTATATCTCAACAAGGTTCGCGCCTTTACTTAAGGGATGGGACGGGCTGAGAAAAAAGGTCGAGTCGGGTTTCGGTTTGGAAAAGCCCTGGGTTTCGACCCGTTCCATCCATGCTCTACTCGACCCGTCCCCTTGTTGTCTTCCACACTTCTTCCACTTTTCCAGTACATTCCCTCCCCCTCTCTCTCATGCTACCTCAATACAGAGAGGAATCGGAATTCCGACGTTTTTTTCTCCTCCGAGTTCCGATTTCCGAAAATTTGGAAAATTTCCAAGTTCCGAAAATTTAGGCTTATTTCCGACTTCCGACTTTTGAGCCATTTCCGACAGTTCCGATTTCCGAGTTCCGCCACCTTCGCCATTTCCGATTCACCTCTACCTCAATACCACCACAACTCTCCTTATAGTCTCCCTCAAGTCGGCCTTCTTCCTGTTCCCTCTATACCCGTTCTTCCTATAGAAAACATCCAAAACCCTCCAAAACCCTTAAACGGCAGATTAGTTTTCTTGCTTAACCCAAATAAATTTATTTATCATTCCCCCGGTTCCCTTAACTAATTCAACAAGAAAAAAATTTTTTTAGAATTATCCAGAAAATGAAATTTTCCCCTCCCTTTTCCCCTCCCTTCCTCATCTATTTTCCTTTATCCACCCACACACAAAAATAAAAAAAAAATAAATTTATTTATTTTCTTCCAAAATTTAATTCAAAAAAAAGTTTAAAGGTTTCCAGTGCTTATTTTAAAAATGATTAAAATTAAATTTAATCCCCCCATTTAATTTCCCCCCAAATTTATAAGCCTTTTATTTCCCCCCTTATATTTCCCTCCCTTATTAAGTCTTCTTTTATTTTAACTTTTCCAAGAAAAAAAATTTTTTTCAGAGCTAAATTAAATGTTTACTATTTAAATCATCTATTCAACCCTTTTATGGCCATAAATGAGTTGACTAACCCAAATAAAAATTTTATTTTTAACTCGAAGTAGGGTGAACGGCCGTCTGGGAGTGTTCCCTTCGGAGGGGGTCAAAAATAATTTTTTTTTGAATTTCAGTCTAAAAATAATTTAAAAAATAAAAGACTATCTCAGCTGGATATTTTAACGTCCCAACTTCCTTAAAAATAAATTAAAGCTCAAAAATCGACTTACTTTTAATTGTTACATTTTTTAAATGGGTGCCTAACAGTAGGCGGGAGAGCAGAACCAAGGAGGCGTTTAGCCTTTATAACTTTTGAATGAATTTAAATTTTTTAACAATTTTGGTGTCATTCGAAAGAGCAGAAAATTTGCTATAAAATAAAAAAGGAAACAATTTTTGGAAAGGTAGACAAAAAATTATGTCCTAAAAATCAAGAAAAAGTCAGGTTTTAGAAGGTTTTTCGAGTATAACTTTTTAAACAAATTTACAAAAATTTTCTTCAATTAGCGTATTTTGTAGCAAATTTAATGCTCTATCGAATGACACCAAACTTGTTAAGAAATATTCATCCGTTCAAAAGGTATAGCCTGGAGTTAGGCTAGTGTTCTCCTCCCCCAAAGCCCTATAAAGCAGGTTTCTTGTCCCTAATTAAAAATTGAAAAAAAATTTTTTAATCAATTTTTATTATTTTTTTGTAGCAAATTTAATGCACTATCCAACGTTATAAAGATCTCTTTAAAAGGTTTATCCGTTCAATAGTTATAGTTATGGCGCTAGTTATACATAACTACTGACGTCCTCACCCAAAGCTTTTAAGCCTATCTTCTTTTTAAATAAAATTTTTAAAAATAACTTTTCCCCACATTTTTAGATTTATTTTGTAGCAAATTTAATGCTCTATTAAATGATACTAAAATAAATTCAAAAAGTTCACCCAGTCAAGAGTTATAGCTGTTGGCGCTAGGTTAGGTCTCCTCACCTATAATTATCTTCACCCATAGGCTTTCAAGTTTTCCGTCTCCTATTAAAAATTAAAATTTAATTCTCATTTTTAGAGTTAATTTTCAAACAAAAAATTTTCTTAAAAAAATGCATTCTAATAATACTACAATTTTCCCAATTTTATGCCCAAATATTCTAAAAATATTTTATTTATTATTTGCCCTTCTTTTGATTTTTGATGGGCCTTTGTCTGTTAGAGCAGGTCAGAAAAATTTCAAAAAAAATTTTTAACCCATAAACCCTCCCAATTTTTCAAAAATTTCAAGGTTACCCAACCGCAGCATTGAGGAAAAGCTTAAATGACATTCGTTTTCGAATGCAAGATTTAACTCCAACAAATGAAGATTTGGACGAATTTTTGGATAAACGAGCAGCTGCCCTATTGCCGTATTCAGGCACTTTTTAAAAAATTAATTTTTACAAAAAATTAATTTTTTAAAAATTCCTCTCAAAATTTATACACAGGCCAGAAAATATTAAAATTACAAAAGAAAATTTCGTGGTGTAGTGGTATCGCTCTTGGTTTCTCCCCTATAACGGCAAGGGTTCGAATCCTTTTGGTGCCCTCTATTTTATTTTAACTATTTCTTTACTTTTTAAAGTTTTCAAGCCAAAACCCCTCAAAAAAATTTTTGAATTAAAAAATCCCCATTTTGGTGTAGTGGTATCGCTCTTGGTTTCTCCCTTATAATGGGGAGGGTTCGAATCCTTTTGGTGCCCACTATTTTCTTTTGGCTATTACTTTACTTTTTAAAGTTTTTCAGGCTAAAAACCACCTCGAAAATATTTTTTTCATTTAAAAATTCTCTCCCATTTTTTAAAGGCGGAATTTATGGAAAACGTGCAGCAGCAATGTTGCCCTATTCAGGTGGAATTTATGGCAAAAGGAGTGGCGGCGCTTCTGGCAAAGCTTCAGAATTTGCTTTAAATTATCCTAATAATCGAGAAATGTTACCAAATATTTAAATATCACTGAAATTGAAAAAAAAATTTTTCTAAAGAAATTTTCCCCAAAAGAAAGAATTTTTACACCTAGTCTTTTTTTCTCTCTCCTCTTCCTTACACTCAAAATTATTATACCCAATTTTTTTTTCTTCTTGTAAGAGTACAAAAACTCTTTTTTACAATTAAAAATAAATATAAATATTTGTGTTTATTTTATATTTACGAAAAAAAATTTTTTTTACAGAAAAAAATTCTAAAAGCTTTTTTTATAGTCAAAAGTTTTTCTCCTTTTTCTTTAGGTATAGAAGAAAATTGTGTAGCGCTTATCTTGAAAGATATGGAAAAAAGTAAAGGTTGGCGGATATCCTTGCAAATTTCTGGATATCCGGGTCTGAATCCCCGGATTGCAAGGGCGTAGCCAGGAGGTCGATTTCAGGGGGGTGGTGCTATAGCTTCAAAAGCCACCCCCTGGCTACGCCCTTGCTGGATTGTGTAAATTCCGCGGTTTTTTAGACTTGCGGATCCCTGCTACGAATTTTAAAGAGTTATGGCCGTTCAAAGTTTCAGTCCTTGGGAGTGGTTGAGTCTAAGGAGACTAGGGGAAAGAAACGTTTACGGGAACAGCTCTGATCCGGATCCGCTAACCCTATTGGAAAGTCTTATATTAGAATAAATGGAGATATAATAGTATATACTGGAATGGAAATACACACTCTAATTTTAAGAAAAATTTTTTTTAATTTATTGCCCTTATCGATAGTTATCAACTATTTAAAATCGGAATGGTTGAAAAAACTTTGAACCTTTGAGAGAGAGAGATAAACCATCAAGGGCGTAGCTGGGGAGGAGCTGAACCCCCCCCCCCCCCCGAAATGTCGAAAGGTTAAAATGCCTTTTTTAAAGCCTATTTTTGGGCTCCTTTTTTGGCCCAAGCCTATTTCACTGTTTTTACTTTCGTGTAAATCCTAAAGAAAAATTTTCGTTTCCCCAAATTTTCTCAAATTCTAAAAAGGGCAATAAATTATTTTTTAATAATTTTTTGGATATTAAAAAAAAACCCCTTTCAAACTTTGTTTGTGAATCCTTGTCTAACTAAACATAATTGCAGCATCTATTCATCTTCCTCGCTTGTGTATAAAACAGTTTGCTTTGATCAGACAAATTTTCACTTGCTTTAATTAAATCATCAAGTTTTTCTCCACGTTCCAAAACTGACTGCATTGTATTGTGCAAAACAACTTTGGTTTCTTCTACTTCATCCTTAGAAAAAAAATTTTTTTTAATAGAGAATGATTTTTAAAATAAAATCATTTTTATGTGCCAAAAGGGCGCGCGGCTATGAAGACGAAAAGCCATAACTTGCTTCAAGATTTCTAAATCTTGCCAATTTTAGTATTAAACGATTCCTCTCATCGAGCTAAAGAGTTTGGTACCAAAATTTATAAGGGACAGAAAAATTTCCCAGCTAATTATGGCTTTGCGCCTTTATGGCCACACTCGCTTCTGGGCTGTACCCAGTCCGGAAACAATGATTTGAAGTTTGATTGATGCCTGGCTAGAATAGGCCAGGATTCCGGTCAGAACGTTGAGGTCTAGATTATTTAAAATCAGAGGACTAAAGATGGAAGGAAAGAGAAAAGGTAGAAGCGTTGTCTATAGTAAGAAACGAGGAATTTTTTTAATTACAGGCGAAAATTTTGATAATTTTGAAAGGCCAAGAAGCAAATTTTTTTAATTTCGAAAATGGTCGAAACAGCTCTGGATGGGGAACAAAATACTCCCTGAACGTTTTTGATACCCCCTGGATCAAGAAACAAATTAAAAAAAAACCTGAACACGAGTAAGAGCATCAGCTTCCCGTGGATTTTGCCATTTTGTAAGAAACATTGGCAATTGATCATAATTACAATCTCTCTCACTTTGAATTAATGCCCAAGAACTTTGAGGAATTCGATCAGAAAAGTCAGCTAAAACTTTGTTTAAAAGTGCAAAGGCTACACGAGATTGATATCTGTTTAAAAAAAATATTTTTTAAAATTTTTGAAGAAGAAATAAAATTAAACTACAAGAAATATGGTTGAAATTGCAACATTACAATATTTATATGGGAGTAGGCATATATCGCAGCAGACCAGGCCCGTAAGCAGGAGGGCATTCCAAATTTAAATTTGGAATGGCATTCCAAATCGAAATTTCTCCCCTTGGCCCTCCCATGAAAAAATATTTAATACGGGACTGGGGCAGACATATACCAGTAAATTTCAATGTACGAAAAACTACTCTACTAGTTTCACGACCCAAAGCAACTTACATAACTCAAACACGTCAAAGAAAAAGTTTACCCCCCTCCTATTTTGAGTCTCAGAGTTTTCCTTATACGTAGAAAATGGTCAGAGATTATTTTCTTCTCCATGTCAATCATTTTTTCTCCAAGCAAAATAAGTGAGAAATGTGGAAACGAAATGAGTAAAATGTAAGTACAAAATTCAAAAAATACGTGAAAAAACAAAATAAAAAAAAGCAAAATACTTGAAGAAGAAAAAAAAAGATTGACATGGAGAAGAAAATAATCTCTGACCATTTTCTACGTATAAGGAAAACTGAGACTCAAAATAGGAGGGGGGTGACATATCCATAAAGTACCGTTTATTGTTAGAACCAAAGTAAATGCGTAAGGAATTATTTCCCCGATATGTCTCACCCTCTACATCAAGCCCCAAAAAATTAAAAAAAAACAAACTCTTCATCAGTCAAACAGACGCCCACCAAACTGTCATGCCTTACAAAACAATGCACAAAATATTCGCCTTCTTTAATTGTACTTCGACTGGGAGTGGCTGAACGGTCAGAAACCAATTTTGCGGTGAATTGCATAAATTCCTGTTGAAGAATTTGAAAGTTAAAAAAAATTAGAAAAGGTAAAATTTAATTTTGCCCACCATACGCTTTTTTTCCTTAACAGGAGCGTGCCGAAAAAAATTTTAAAAAGCGAAAGGCGAAACACCAAAGGTGAAATTTTAGCAAAATGGCACAAGAAAGACGCCAAATAACGGAACACAGGTTCTAAAAAAAGGGAGGGGTACTTATCAGTAAGGTAGACTATAACATTTTAAAACCATTTTTAATGAGTCCACCCCAGAGTATCGACACCCAAAGTATCGTTGACCCAAAGTATCGAATTTTTTAAATTTTAATTATAATTAAGTATTCCAATGATCGGGCATGATATATTAAGACTTCTAATATTAAAAAAGACTTCCCCGTCCAAGGACGGGGAAGTCTTTTTAACATAGGGAAATTGTTCCAACAATGGATCAAACATCGATCATGATCAATATGTCCAATCAAAGAAGAGTGATCGATCTCCAAGTAGAATCTTGTTCGGTCGCTATGCTCAGTTTGATCGAAAACACAATTCCCCGATGTTAGAACATCATGCCCGATCATTGAAATACTTAATTATGAAATTTAAAAAATTCGATACTTTGGGTCATTCGATACTCTGGGTGTCGATACTTTGGGGTGATCCCATTTTTAATACTCGAAAAAGGAAAAAAGTGGGACAAAATTCAACTTTACCAAAAAATTAAAAAAAAATAAAAACCTGTGCATTACGTTTAGTAAAGAAACTAAAGCTTCCAAGTTCGTATTCTCCTTTAAGAAGTTTTGTTTGTCCAAGAGAAGGATTTTTGTGGAGAATCATAATTGAAAGCAACTTCATTTTTTCTAAAATCTAATTGTAAAAAATTATTTTTCGAAAATGGCAAAAATAGAATGTACAACAACATTTAAAGAGCAAAATAAATATTCTATGTTTTTATTGAGAAAGAATAGAACAAGTTAAGGTAGCAATCCCGAATCTAAAACCCCGAAAACGTTTTTAGGGGAAGACAATAAATCCAATAGATGCTATCTCAGGCAAACCACAGAAATCAAACATGTCCATCCATAAATCTCCAAAGTCCCTAAACTCCCCTGTAAAGTCACCAAGTTGTTGGGCTACCAAAGTTGTGTTGGGCTGCCGAAAAATTAAAAACCCGACATGAAACCCTAACCAACTTTTCCCCAGTCCAGCCCATCCTTGGTAAACGATCTCCAAAAATAAAATAAAACTCTAGTTGTCCACGGCAAACCATAAATTCAAAAACGTGCCCTTAACAAAAAAAAATCGTTCCTAAAGGCATAGGTTGCTACAAAACCTTGGTAACATTTTGGGTAAAAAACTAAACCAGAACACTGACAAATCGTCCCAGGAAAACTACAGAACTCGAACATGTCCATTCCCCTTAAGGCCTAGGCTGCTACACTTAAAAAGTTAAACAACTAGTCCACCCGACAATCCATGACTTAAAACACGTACACCCTAAAGAACTCTGGGTAGCTACCCTCTAACATAAGTAAACAAAATACTAGTCGACCCTCAAGGCCTAAATTGCTACCCTAAAACGAATTCCAAAAATAAAACAAAATTTCAAATTTAAACCAAAATTTATTTATTTCCATCAGTCAAAAGGCGCAAACTCTTCCTAGTTACATCCCTCAACAATTTTGGCAAATCAGACTTTTGTGCATCTATCGCCAATTTTGATTTTGTCATTGAAGCAGGCAATCTATCAAAGAAACGATCAGAAGTCAAATCATCCAACAAAATTTTGGGACGTTCCCGAGTCAATTTTTTCTTGCAGTTAACACGGGGGCCAGTAATTCCATAACGGGTATGAAAAGGTTCGAGGTCGTCGTTGACATAGTGGCGTTGTCGAAGCCAGAAGGGAGTCATCATCTAAAAATTTTATTTTTTTAAGCGGGATTTTTGTAAAAATTTTATTAAAAAAAGAAACGAGAAACGGGCTTTTTTGCAGTCTTTTCCACACTTGATCGACAATGGAAATATTTTTTAAAAAATTTAGTGCTGGGAAATTGCTTGGGTGAAGGTGATTTTCAGTTATAAAGCCAGGTGTCATGTTCCTCGTTAGGGAGATAAATCGAAGAGGTCGTGAAACCGGTAGAGTAGCTGACCGTACATTGAAATATCCCCCCGATATGTCCATCCCGGTATTTCTGGCCACCATGTGTGGTAGATAGGGAAAGTAAGCAAAGATTGGAAAAGCCCTAACAAAGGGAAAGTAAGCCAAAATAAACCCCCCGATCCGGTACGTGTCGAAATTTCTGACAAAAATTAAATAAGCCCTTATACTCATATCAACAGAAAACCGAAAAAGGTAAATAAAAAGGTAAAATAGTAAAAAAAACCTTATCAAGCATATGACACTCAGATTTGGTGCACGTCTCCCATTGCATTGCAACCATTTGGTTTAAATCCTCTTTCATATAATTTGCATGATTACGTCCAGCTCTAGCTCTAATCCACATACCTCAAAAATAAATTTAATAAAATTTAGCCCCTATCGGCATTGATTCTCCAAGCTCGTGACTAGCAGTTAATTGCAATTTGGTCCGCCTTTTGGGTACAAGTGTGGATGGTCGTTAAAAATAGCCAGCAAAACAACCCTTTGCAAAGTTGGGTTACTTGGGTACCCGATCAAACAGGTGGATTGTGTAACAAGATGGGGTTCCGCTAAGGTGCTCTACCGATCATGGACACGTGTTCCAGGCACTTATTGGGTTCCACCTACTTCCAGGCAATTTTTTGTTGAAGATGTACAAAAAGGTCAGAAAAACAGTATAGGTTTAAGTTACCGAGTACAGAATCGAGCAACCGTTAGCAAATGATAGAGTGACCATTTTGTACATCTTTAACGAAAAAATTGTCGAGGGCCAAATAAGGATCTTCCCTTCCCTACAATAAAATGATCAAAAAATTAAAAGAAAACCATTATTTAAACGCTTGAAACGATCGAGAACATCCTGTGCTGGTCGTTTCCTTCCCACTTTGGGGTCAAATCGAATGTGGTATTCCCAATGAGGAATACGTGCAATTCCTCTAATTGACGAAACTGCGAGTTGTTGACATTGAGTAAGAGAAGTTAAAATATTTGAATTTAACCGAAACATAGGGGAAGTTGGAGTGATTGATTATTCTAAAAATTTGAAAAAAAAATTTAGTTAAATTTTACAAAAAACAAAAAAAAACGAACGCAAAACACGAACAAAGGCAAAACACGAAACGTTAAACAAAAGACAAAAAAGATCACACATATGACCAATAACATATTTCGCCAACAAGAGTAAAAATCGACGTTTTGCCAGTAAGTTTGTTGACAAAAAGTAAGTTTTTGCCCTTATTGGCAAAATGTGTTTTGACAAAATATAAGATAAGACAAAAACAAGAGGCAAAAAATGTTCTCTAACAATTAAAAATTTAATTACTCTAATTGCAAACCTCCTTAAAATCTATACTGTCTCGTTAATTATTTTTCTCTAACTCTTAAATAATAAGGGATAAAAAGTCATTTAATTAAGCACACGTGAAAATTTTAAAGAGTCTTAATTTAATTTGTAATTGTAATTTTCCTCTTATTTCCTGTAAATTGTAATTTCAACTTCCTTCTTTAAAAGTTTTTTTCTTTGTTTAACCAAAAATCAGAATTTTACAATTTGTAAAATAATCAGAATTATATTTTCTGGAAATTACAAATTCTGATTTTATTTTTCTTTTCGGTTAACTATAATTTTTACAATTGTAATCTTTTTAATCAAAAATCAGAAATTACAATCCGGAAGAATAATTTCTTCCGGAAAATACAAATTCTGATTTTACAATTTTCCGGATTTGTAAAATTATTTGTAAAATCAGAATTTGTAATTTTCCGGAGGAAATAATTTTCCGGATTGTAATTTCTGATTTTTTTAAGAGATTACAACTTTCCGGAAGAAATTACAATTTGTAAAATTATTTGTAATTCTTCCGGAAAATTACAAATGCTGATTTTCTTTTTCTTTCCGGTTAATTATAGTTTTACAATTGTAATCTTTTTAAACAAAAATCAGAATTTACAATCCGAAAAAATAATTTCTTCCGGAAAGTTTATTTTCTGATTTTATCTAACCAACCGGAAAATTGTAATTACAAATCCGGAAAATTACAAATTCTGATTTTACAAATAATTTACAATTCCGGAAAATTGCAGTTTCTTCCGGTAAATTACAAATTCTGATTTTTCGCTAACCAAAAATCAGAATTTTACAATTCAGAAAAATAATTATTCTGATTATTTTACCTGCTATAATTTTTACAATTGTAATTTTTATTTTATTTTTTTTTCAGAAATGTGCCTTAGTCGTAGTTATTTTCTCTTCTTATCTCTACATTCTAGCTGCATTCTCTGTTTAATTAACGAGCATTTATCCACCCTTGACAACAATAAAAAAATTCTTTCATTTGGGGAGGATTCAACAGACGCTGTTTATCACGCTTTTGTTCAAATTGGATCAGAACTTCACTATTTTCAAGATATTTCTTACCAAGACAGTATTTTATTGCCAATCGTTACAAATAAGAAGCTTGATAGTCACGATTTTACAAAGGATTCTAAACAGAAAATTAAATTATTTGAAGAGGAAATGACTGACTTTGGAATTACAACGTTTGGGGTAAGTTGACTATTTTTTACAATTACAAATTCTGATTTTTTATTTATTTTTCCGGAATTTGTAATTTTAATATTTTACAAATTCTGATTTTCCGGAAAGTTGCAATTTGTAATTCTGATTTTTTATTTATTTTTCCGGAAATTGTAACTACAAATTCTGATTTTGTAAAAAAATCAGAATTTGTAATTTTTACTCCCTCCCGTAAAATTACAAATTCTGATTTAATAAAAGAAAATCAGAATTACAATTTGCGGAAAGAAAGTCAGAATTTGTAATTTTAATATTTTACATTTTCTGATTTTCTTCCTACCGGAAAATTGTAATTTCGTGCAGTAAAATTATAAATTTTGATTTTACAATTATTTTTTACAAATTACAAAATCCTTTCTGAATTGTAATTTTCATTTCCTACCCTAAAATTAATTACAAATTTTGATTTTTTTTTTAAATTCTCAATTAAATTTTACACAGGTTCTAGTTCACCGAATACTTTACATTACCAACCCAGGCAATTCAAAAATTGTACTTTCAAATATTTTGAGTTTCGGAATTAATTTTCATTGTTCTTCTTTGTTTGAAAAGGTTTCTTTTTTAATTTATTTAATTAAAATTTATTTTTTAATTAGAATTTAATGCCCAAACAACGCATTTCTTTCCACATTTATTTTTTACCGACATCAGAAGAGCCTCCTTTAAAAGAAGAAATTTTGTCTTTGTTTACTTCTATTGGCGTTTTTGTTCATAAAGTGCGTGGCCAACTCAGTGGGAATGTTTATAGAATAAAGTATGGATTTTTTGATTTTTTATTTAAGTTCAACTATTCCGAGTAGTCCGTCTTCCCATAGCTACGTGCCCGTCTTAAGGTGCTGGGTGGGCTCATTGAGCTAGCTCAGAAAATACCCTTCTTCTTCACGAGCCGGTGTCCTATTTTTCCCTTCCAAAACCATCCAAAAATATTTTCCTTTTAGTTCTACACCATGGATGGGCCGGGTTACCCAAAACCTAAACTTTTTTACAATCCGACCCGACTTTCTCAATTCACCCCTTTCTTTGCTCTCTTTTTTATAGCAGTTTCGTTGGTGTTGCGACAATTGAGGATACGCACTTGAGGATATGACAAATGAGGACGACAATTGAGGATTAAAATAATAATAAAAAACGGTGATCCTTGACCTTTTGAAATTCAAAAATGTTCGCCTGCGGCGCTGGAAAGAAAAGAATTCTTCATTATTGGTCTTCCAAGTGGGGGTCTTCCGAGTTTTATGGATCTTTCAAGCTTTTTTATTTTTCATTTTTATCCTCATTTGTCAAATCCTCATATGTCGTCCTTATTTGTCGTCCTCATATGTCAGATCCTCAATTGTCGTCCTCAAATGTCGTCCTCATTTGTCAGATCCTCAATTGTCGTCCTCAAATGTCGTCCTCATTTGTCGTCCTCATATGTCAGATCCTCAATTGTCGTCCTCAAATGTCGTCCTCATTTGTCGTCCTCATATGTCAGATCCTCAATTGTCGTCCTCAAATGTCGTCCTCATTTGTCATATCCTCAAGTGCGTATCCTCAATTGTCGTACCGCCGTTTCGTTTCCCATGATTGTACTCAAATCATCGTTTTATTATGAAGATTTAACCTAAGAAAAAGGAAAAATGTGGAGCACAGACCTTGGTACGGCACGTAACCCGGAAAATTCTTGAAGGAGGGGGATCAATCTTGAAAATGTCCTTTTTCCCTTGGCTACGTGCTTGTCTTTTAATATTACTCTTAATTTTAGTATTAAAATTTTTTTTTTCAGACCTCTTTCAAATATTCGTTTACCAATAAATTCAACATTCTCAACACCAATTCAATTGCATAATCCACATTTTACAACTCTTCGAATTTTGGAAATATTTTCTAGTGATTGTAATATTCAATTAGAATTTCCAACAGAATTTATAATTAAATCAAATAATTCAATAAAATCGGTAAAATTAGTTTTAATTTTTTTTGGGAGACTTGGGGTTCAACGGAAGACTCGGATTTGATGCCTGTGTCACTTGGTTAAGGCAAAGTGACACCAGGCATTTTCCTCTCTCATGTCAGACTACTAGTCTTCATGAGAGAGGAGTCTGCTTTACTGGAGTCCATGTATAGAACGTAAATTGGGCATGCTCCAGCGGTAAGCATGGATGATCGAATTAAAAAAATTTTTATTTTGTTTCTGAGTGTAACGAAATTTTGCTATCCCCTGATCGGTCTTGAGCTTCCTAAGGCAACAGTTGGGATGAGTCTTCCCAATTTGAAAGGGTTGAAGAGGAACGCGGAAGGGGAAAAAACGGAATTATGCTGACGGCGGAAGTGGGAGACATTCCATCCCTGTTATTACCTGCTAACAAGTTTATAAAAACCCTTTAACACTCTCCTAGTCCTTCGTGGTTCATTTCAAAAATTTTATGCTTAAAAAAATTTTTTTATTTAGATTTTAATGTCTTTTGAAACAAGAAAAATAGCTGTAGCAAAAATTATTGGAAATGTTGAACGGAATACAACTTCATTTATTTTTATTAAATATTCTCTGTTAGAAGAGGTTAATGATGAAAATGAGAGACGCTCATTTTACAAGTCAAAAATAGGTTTAATTACAATTCCGGTTGAAACACAGGTTTTTATTCTGATTTTTTACAATTTGTAATTTTCAAGTTTAATTAAATTTCTAACTTTTATTTTGGGGGAAATCCTGATTTTAAGAATTTACAGAATAAATAAATTTAATAGAAATCAGAATTTCTCAAAAATAAACTTGAAAATCAGAATTTACAAAAATCAGAATTTAATTTTTTAATTGCTTCTGAAATTTTTGAAAATAAAATCAGAATAAAAATAAAAATAAAATTGTAAAAAGAAATTTGTAATTCTAATTAAATCAGAAATTGTAAAAAATAATTTACAAACTTGAAAATCAGAATTTTACAAAACTAACAGAAGATTAATTTTGATTTTCAAGTTTATTTTTATAATTTTTGATTTAATTAAAATTACAAATTTATTTTTTTTTTCAATTTGTAATTTCAAGTTTAATTTAATTCTGGTTTTAATTTATTCAAGTTTGTTTTTGTAAAATTCTGGTTTTTCAAGTTTAATTTTTTTTACAAATTCTGATTTTTATTTATTCTTCTGTAAATTCTGATTTTAAGTTTATTTTTTGTAAATTTTTTACAATTTCTGATTTTTACAAATTCTGATTTTTACAATTTCTGATTTTTACAATTTCTGATATTTTTACAAATTCTGATTTTTACAATTTCTGATTTTTACAAATTCTGATTTTTACAATTTCTGATTTTTACAAATTCTGATTTTACAAATTCTGATTTTTACAAATTCTGATTTTTACAAATTCTGATTTTACAAATTCTGATTTTTACAAATTCTGATTTTTACAAATTCTGATTTTTACAAATTCTGATTTTTACAAATTCTGATTTTACAAATTCTGATTTTTACAAATTCTGATTTTTACAAATTCTGATTTTACAAATTCTGATTTTTACAAATTCTGATTTTTACAAATTCTGATTTTACAAATTCTGATTTTTACAAATTCTGATTTTTACAAATTCTGATTTTTACAAATTCTGATTTTACAAATTCTGATTTTTACAAATTTTGATTTTTACAAATTCTGATTTTTACAAATTCTGATTTTACAAATTCTGATTTTTACAAATTCTGATTTTACAAATTCTGATTTTTACAAATTTTGATTTTTATTTATTTCTTCTGCAAATTCTGATTTTTAATTAATTTCAAAGGTTACTCTTCGACGTGATCTCTTTTCAACAACAAATTTATTAGATTTTGGTCTTGTAAAAGCAGGAAAACAATTTTTGTCTCCACTCAAATTAACTGTGTTTTCCACATTAGAAAAAAGTGTAGAAATTGATTCAATTTATTCTGACAAATCAAAAATGATTTATATTCAATATGAAACACATCCTCCAATATCGTTGAAGTCGGCAACGCGTGGACAACAACCAGGTTTGTTTTTATTGAATTAAAATCAGAATTTTAAATTATGATTTTGTTTGTACTAAATTCTGAAAATAAATAAAGAATCAGAATTTATAGGAAAGGAATTTAAAAAATCAGAATTTTCGGGGGGAAAATCAGAAAATGGCCAGAAAATAAAATCAGAATTTTAAATTCTGATTTTATTTTATTTTTTAAAAATTCTGATTTTTTTCAAGTTTATTTTTCTTCTCTTTTTGTACCTTTTGAATTCAAGTTAATTTATTTTAACAAATTAATTCTGATTTTTATTTTAATAAAATTTTGTTTCAAATTTATTTAGTTAGTTTTCTCATTATTTTCAGGCCTAATAAATATCATAAAATGAGAATTTTCGGAGAAAAGAATCAGAAAAAATATCAGAATAAACTGAGGGAAAAATCAGAATTTCAATAGAAAGGATCGGAAAACAAATCAGAATTTTTTGAAAAAAATCAGAATTCTGATTTTAAAATTCTATTTTTTCTGATTTATTTTGAAATTCTGATTTTGTATTCTGATTTGATTCTATTTTACTAAAATTCTGATTTCAAGTTTATTTCTTTCCCTTCCTTTTTAGGCTTAATAGACATCAGAAAATCAGAATTTTTTTGAGAGAAAAATTAGAATTCTGATTTTTTTCTGATTTTTTTAAATTCTGATTTTTTCTGATTTTACTTAAATTCTGATTTCAATTTTATTTATATTTTCCTCTTAATTTTCAGGCTTAATAGACATTGCTAACATAAATATTGATACATTTATTGACGACAAAATTACTCCCAAAAATAATAATTCAACAACCAAAACAAAAATAGGCCGTATTTTTAAAAAACAAGGAAAAATAATGGCTGTAAGTAGAGGAGGAAATTTTAATGTTACAGTGCCTTTTTTTGCTCAACTTTATGAAGGGTATAGTTAATAAAATATTTTTGGAAATTTTTTTGAGAAAAATTTTTCTGAATTTTTTTTTAAATTTTTGAAAAATTTAAAAAAAATTTCTGAAATTTTTTTTGGATCTTTTTAATTTTTTTGCAAGTCAAAAAAATTTTTTTTTAGAATTTTTTTTTTGGAATTTTTTGAAATTTTTTTAATTTTTAAAAATTTTTTTTCAGTGAACTTGAATACAATTTAAATGAATTATCTTTCCATAAAAATTTAAAACCTTTTCGGAGACGTGAAATAATTTTAACTAATACATGCCCTTTTCCTTTGGCTATTTTTGGAGCTGAAATTGCAGAAAATGGAAAAGATTATTTTGAGGTTTGAAAATTTTTTTTTAATTTTTTCTTTTTGAACTTTTCACATTGCTAGGCCCGGTAACCGAATTTTTTCCAAACTGCCCAGACCGGGGTTTTTCATTAGAGATCGGGGTTTTTGAAAAGTTTGGGCCGTTTTCTGGATTTGATTTATTGACCTGAGCCGGATCCTGGGCCTGTAGCAGGAAAAACCCAGTCCAGGAAAAACCCAGGCTTTGGTCCAGACCAGCTCAACTCTAGTTTCGTGTAAATTACCGAAACCACAAAAGCCCCGAAAAATCGGATTTTATCAAAATATTCGGTTTCCAAGCTACCAGGCCCTGTGAAACGCTTTTCCAGGTGACCTGGGTTTAAACTTGAATTTGAAAAACCCATGTGCCGGGCCCGGCTTGTCATGGATTCCGGGTTTTTAATAATTTCTGGACCCGGGCATGGGTTTCCGGGTCCAGCCCAATTACGGGCCCGGTCTGGGCTCGAACTCTATTTTTTTAATTTAAAATTTTTTTTACAGATTTTTCTTATCGAATCGCCTATAATTCTTTCTCCCGGCCAATCTTTGCCTTCTCTAAAAATTTTATTTAAAAATTTCATTCCTTCAACTAACCTTTCTTCATCGCATATTATTATCAACACAAATCTCACAAATTTTCAATTGCCTTTGTATATATTTGATGGAGAAATAAATGTTAGTATTTTTTTAATTTCATATTAAAAAATTAATTTTATAAATTCAGATCACTTTACATTCTATTGAGCAAAATATTTTTAATTTTGGTCTTTTAAAAAAGGGAGAGAATCGTTCTATTTTGGTATTTTTTTTTAATTAAAATTTTTTAAAATTTTAATTTGAAGGTTGGGAGGACTGGGAAATACTCGAAAATTTTTCTTACTTTCCGGATCCTAATTTTTTAAAAGTAGTTGTCTTGTGACTAGAGAGTGTGTTTCGGGATTGGGGGAGGAGAGTTTCAACACACAAGGAATTCCTCACTAGGAAAAAAAATACTGTTTGTATTAGGGATTGCACCTACAAAATTCCCGATTGCCAAAATCGGGAATTCCAGACAATTTTTGAGTTGGGATCAGAGCTGCACGAAAATTTTTGTTTCGTTTTGTTTTTTGTTATTTTCATGGATTTTTTATGATTTTCGTTTTCGTTTGAAATTTTTTTTACCTTTTTTTCGTTTTCGTTTCGTTGTGGGCAAAATTTCATTTTCATCAGCTCTGGTTGGGAATTCCCGATTGCCAAAATCGGGAATTTTGTTTTTATCTTGGTACGATCCCTGGTTTGTATTTTAACGGAAGATTTTGGTAAGAAGTTCGGAGATTCTTTTTTTTTTGATTATTTTTTTTGGGTCCGGATCTTTCCATCCTAATTTATTTTTTTAGATAATTTTTTCTCAAAAATTAATTTTTTCCCTTTTTTCAAGTTTACTTTATTTAACCCAAACCCAATTCCTATTGAAGTGCTTAAATTCAATTTTCCAATAAATTTGAACAATTTTATAACTTTACAATTTATTGAATTTACTAATTTAACTTTTGAATCTCAACATTCTAACAATAAAAAAATGCCAAAACAACAAATCAAAAATGTACCATTTTAATTTTAAATTATTAAAAATATATTTTTTTTAGTTTTTTTGGTGTCCGGGTTAATTAGCTCATGTAGCGGCTCAAATGCCTTTAAAATTCCCCATTGGAACCGCCACAGGCGGAAATTAACCGGTTATCAACCTTAAATAAAGGGGTGTCGCTTAGGATGAATTCCCCACTTAGAGACCAGTGGTGGGTTGGAATTTTTTGACTTCAGACACCTTTGACTGTTCCGACCCCCACCTCTGCTTAATTTAGGAAAAAAATGCTTCTTTAAAAAATTAATATTTACCTAATTTTGGGAGTATAAACTCTGAGGGCTTTGACTGTATTAAAAATTAAATTTAAAAATTAAATGAGAAATATAATTTTTTTTAAGCCTTCTAATTTTTTAATTCCTTCAAATTCTTCTGCTCTATTTAAATTAACCCTAAATTTTAACTGTTTACAACAACAATGTACTAATTTTGAAAAATCAACTAATCCTTCTTCAGAAGAAAAAAATTTATTTTTTATTCAAACAACATTTTCTTTATACAAATTTTCTATTTATTTTGAAATTACAAATTCAACTTCACTTTATAGTATACCAAATAAAATTGTGTTTAATGAAGGTTTTGTTGGGGGTGTTTATATTAAATCGTTAATTGTAAGTTTTTTATTTTTTTAAAACTTTCCGGAAAGAATAATGTCTTGTGGAAACAACTTTTCGGAAAATAAATAAAAATCAGAATTTTAATATTCCGGAAAACAATTTCAAAATCAGAATTTGCACTTTTCCGGAAGAAATTACAATTTTCCGGATTTGTAGAATTATTTGTAAAATCAGAATTTGTAATTTTCCGGAAGAAATTACAATTTTCCGGATTTATAGAATTATTTGTAAAATCAGAATTTGTAATTTTCCTGAAAAATAAATAAGTTTCCGGAAAGAAAATGTGAATTTACAATTACAACTTTCCGGAAAACAAATAAAAATCAGAATTTTACTTTTCCGGAAAATATTTTTGAAATCAGAATTTGCACTTTTCCAGAAACTATATAAAAAGAGTTTATCGGTTCCGGAAAGAAAATGAGAACTTACAATTACAACTTTCCGGAAAAAAATAACCAAAAATAATTTTACAATTCCGGAAGGAAATAAATCTGGAATTAAAATTCTTTAAAACCAGAATTTACAATTTTCCGGAAAATATATAAAAACTAATTTATTGTTTTCCGGAAAGAAAATTAGAATATTTACAATTCCGGAAGGAATCAGAAAAAATTTAACAATTTTCCGGAAAAGAATTACAAAACCAAAATTAAAAAAAAATCCTTTCTGGAAAAGTTTGTAAAAATTAATTGTTCTGATTTTATAATTTTCCTGAAAGAAATAGGAACCCAAATTTACAATTTTCCGGAAAATAATTACAAACTCAGAATTTGTAATTTTCCTGAAAAAAAATAAAATCAGAATTTACAATTACCTTTATTTCTTTTTTTCAGCTTATGAGCACTACTTTGCCTCTTCAAATTCTTCGCGTTTCATTCCTAAATAAAGATCCTCGTTTTTCCTTGTCGATGGTCAACAAAACTTTTATTCACAATTCTAAACTTAAACCTTGGATAGCTAAAAATTTGGCAAACATAAGTTTTGTTCCAGAAGCTTCTTGTCCACAAGATTGTTATTTGGGTAGGAAATTATTTTGAAATTTTACAATTTGTAAAAATCAGAATTTGTAATTTTGTAATTTGTAAAAATCAGAATTTGTAATTTTGTAATTTGTAAAAATCAGAATTTGTAATTTTGTAATTTGTAAAAATCAGAATTTGTAATTTTGTAATTTGTAAAAATCAGAATTTGAAATTTTACAATTTGTAAAAATCAGAATTTGTAATTTTGTAATTTGTAAAAATCAGAATTTGTAATTTTGTAATTTGTAAAAATCAGAATTTGTAATTTTGTAATTTGTAAAAATCAGAATTTGTAATTTTGTAATTTGTAAAAATCAGAATTTGAAATTTTACAATTTGTAAAAATCAGAATTTGTAATTTTGTAATTTGTAAAAATCAGAATTTGTAATTTTGTAATTTGTAAAAATCAGAATTTGTAATTTTGTAATTTGTAAAAATCAGAATTTGTAATTTTGTAATTTGTAAAAATCAGAATTTGTAATTTTGTAATTTGTAAAAATCAGAATTTGAAATTTTACAATTTGTAAAAATCAGAATTTGTAATTTTGTAATTTGTAAAAATCAGAATTTGTAATTTTGTAATTTGTAAAAATCAGAATTTGAAATTTTACAATTTGTAAAAATCAGAATTTGTAATTTTGTAATTTGTAAAAATCAGAATTTGTAATTTTGTAATTTGTAAAAATCAGAATTTGTAATTTTGTAATTTGTAAAAATCAGAATTTGTAATTTTGTAATTTGTAAAAATCAGAATTTGTAATTTTGTAATTTGTAAAAATCAGAATTTGAAATTTTACAATTTGTAAAAATCAGAATTTGTAATTTTGTAATTTGTAAAAATCAGAATTTGTAATTTTGTAATTTGTAAAAATCAGAATTTGTAATTTTGTAATTTGTAAAAATCAGAATTTGTAATTTTGTAATTTGTAAAAATCAGAATTTGAAATTTTACAATTTGTAAAAATCAGAATTTGTAATTTTGTAATTTGTAAAAATCAGAATTTGTAATTTTGTAATTTTCCGGAAATAATTACAAATTTCAGATTTTTTTCCGGAAAAAATAAAAAGAATTCGTAATCTTCCGGAAAGGAAATAACCAACAATTATTTAAAAACAGAATTTGTAATTTTCTGGAAAAACAATAAAAAATCAGAATTTACAAATGTAAATTTTTTTTCCGGAAAAGTGTAAAATTGCATTTTTCTTTTCCTGAAGGGAAAATTTACTGGAAAAAATGTTTTTACAATTTGTAAATTATTTACTTGAAAATTTAAACTTCTTTCCGGAAAATAATTATAAAATCAGAATTTGTAATTTCCTAGAAAGAAAGTAACAAAGATTTACAATTTTTAAATTTTACAATTTTCTGATGTCTAATAAAAACTCTAATATCTCATTTTTAGGAATCCCTTTAAATTCCCCTGATGGACAATGGTTCTCTTATGGAATGAAACTCCCTCAAAACTTGGCAGAAATTGATCATTATTTATTCTCAAGATTGAGACGTAAATGGCTAGCTTTAGAAGGAAAGAAAATACAAACAACAGTAAAAGTGGATACTGACAAAATTAAAGGATTTGAAATTCCTATAGAAGCAAACCTTGTAAAAAAAAATTTTTTTTTAATTAAAAAAAAATTTAAATTTTTGGCAGATTTGGCCTAAATTATTTAGTAATCCAACTGTCCATTTTCCATTAACTGCAGTTGGTAATTTTAGTATTGTTAATTTGACAATATCAAATCCAACAACGGTAAGAGTTCATATTTATTGAAAATTTTATTGTAATTCTTATTGTAATTGTAAATTATTTCCGGAAGGTTGTAAATTCAGATTTTTCTGTAAAATACAATTCTGATTTTACAAATAATTTTACAAATTACAAATTCTGATTTTATATTTATTTTCCGGAAGGTATTAATAATTTTAAATTATTTCCGGAAATTACAAATTCTGATTTTATCTTTTTTCGGAAAATTGTAATTCTACAATTATAATTTTTTACTCAACCAAAAATCAGAATTTACAATCCGAAAAATAATCAGAATTTTCTATTTCCTGCACTTTCAAGAATTGTAATTTATTTTTTTCTTTCCGGAAATTACAAATTCTGATTTCATCTCTTTCCGGAAAATTGTAACTCCATTTCCTTCAATAAAATTACAAATTCTGATTTCAGAATTACAATTTTCAGAGTAATTTACAATTTCCGGAAAGAGGAAAATCAGAAATTGTATACTTCTTTTCTAAAAATTACAATTTCTGATTTTACAAATAATTTCACAAATTACAAATTCTGTTCCTCTACTACAATAAAATGTTCATTAAAATTCTTTCCGGAAAGTTTATTTCATATTTAAAATCAGAAATTTACAATCCTAAAATATATCAGAATTTTGTTCCGGAAAGTTGTAAAATTCTGATTTTCTTTTTCCGGAAAATTGTAATTTTTACAATTGTAATTTATTGTTTAACCGAAAATCAGAATTTTACAATCCGAAAAATTATTTCCTGAAAATTACAAATTCTGATTTTACAAACAATTCTACAGATTACAAATTTTTTCCCTCTTAATTCCGATAAATTCTGATTTTCTTTTTCTTTCCGGAAAATTATAAATTTCTGTTTTATTACAATTGTAAAAACCCTCATTAATATTTTTAGTCACCAATAATAATACAAATACTTCCTTTGGTTATTTATCCTGATTCTGATAGTTTACTCGATATTTTAAGTGATGAATTGTCAATACCACCATTAATTAATCCTATAGAATTGAATGAAACATTAATGTTTTCATTGCGTGATACAGAATTGTTTACTCTTAGACCTGGAAGTCCGGTAAAATTTAAAGAGGAATTTTTTATAAAATTTTTTTTATTTTATTTTTAGACTCCAAAGCTTCGTGAAGAAGTTGAAAAAATTATTGAAGGTGTCTCTTAATTAAAAAAAATTTTCAAAAAATATTTTTAGGTCCAGTTCCTCGATTTACTTTAACTATGCTGCTTCGCCCTGGAATGAGTGCCCGTGTTCGTATTGGCTTCCTACCTTCAGATTATTCTCTTCGGTCTTCTATGATGATTATAAGAAACAATCTTACTGTTATAGGTAGGGGTTTTTATTTTATAAATTAATTTTGAAAGTTTTCCGGAAGAGGTTGGAATATGTAAAAGTTCTATTTACAATTGTAAAAATCAGAATTAATGTTTGTTTTAATTTCCGGAAAGAATATGAATTTAAATATTCTATTTACATTAATTTTATTTTTCCGGAAAGTTCTATTTACAATCCAGAATTAATTTTGTTCTAGTTTTCTTTCCGGAAAAGTTTAAATTTGTAATTATTCTATTTACATTAATTTTATTTTTCCGGAAAGTTCTATTTACAATTGTAAAAATATATTTAATTCTTTTCAACTTTTATTTCCGGAAAGAATAAATTGTAAAAACATTTTTGCTACTGAAATTACAATTTTCCGGAAAAAAAGTTAATTTCCGGAAATGTTTATGAATTGTAAATAATCTACAATTGTAAAATAATTGTTTTTGTTTACGGAAAAGTTGTGAATATTCAATAATTGTAAAAATCAGAATTAATTTTGAGTCTTTCCGGAAAGTTCTATTTACAATTGTAAAAACATTTTGTTAGTTTCCGGAAAAATTGCAAATTCTGATTTTTATTTCCTTCCGGAAAGTTGTAATATATCGTTAAAAATAAAAAAATCAGAATTAATTAAAAATCAAAATTAATTTAAAAAATCAGAATCACAAATTAACTATTTTCAGAACCCATTATTCTCTATGGACGTGGAGCGCGAATGTAACACACAATTTTCTTTCTTTCTTAATTAAAAAATTAATTTTTCCTAAAGAAATATGGCTATTGACGATAAATCTGCAAATTCACAACCTTTACTATTTGAACTTGAACCAAAACATTTGGATGATTGTGCTAATCCTCGACGTCAGTTGCATAGAATGCCTACAACATTAACTGTTAGACGTTCCTTTGCTGTTTATAATAATGGAGAAGTAAGGTTTAAAAAAATGAGTAAAAATTAAATAAAAATGAAAATATTTTTCCCTCTTAAAAATTAGGTAGGATTCAGTGTTGTGAATATTTCAATAAGTGGCGCTCCTTGTGAAAATCGTGGTTTTCGTGTTTTGAATTGTGACAAGTTTAGGTAATTCTATATTTTGTCAAACAAACATAAAAACATGTTTTTCAAGGTTGGAACCGAATGAAACATCTTATTTAGATATTTCGTAAGTTTGGTAAAAACATTTTTTGTTTTTGTGTGTTTTTAAATTCAATGTTTTTCTCATTATGTTTTTCTTGAATGTTTTTCTGTTTTTGTTTCTATTTTGTGATGTTTATATTCTAGTTTTATTGTTTTGTTTGGTTTTAATGTTTGTTACGAACATTTATGTCTTAGATGTTTTGTTTGTTTTTAATGTTTGTTACGAACATTTATGTTTTATTGTTTTGTTTGGTTTTAATGTTTGTTACGAACATTTATGTTTTGGATGTTTTGTTGCAATGTTTTGTTGCAATAATTGTTATTCTCGTTGTTTAATGTTTTTGTTGTTTTCGTCAAAACATTATGTTTGTTTTAAATTCTGGTTTTGTTTTTGTATCTGAAATGTTTTCTTCTTGTTTTGATTGTTTTTGTTGTTGTGAATGTTTTTTTTTGATATTCTCTGGTTTGTTTATCCCTCTTCTTTTTTTGTTGTCTTCAGTGTTTTGTTATTGTTTTGATGTTTTGTTTATATCTCATGCTTATTATGGTTTTTATATTTTGTTGTACTGTTTGTTGAAATTTTTGTGTTTTGATGTTTTTATTCTTGTTTTTATGTTTGTTTCTTTTAATATTTGCCCTCTTTTATTTTCTGTTTGTTTAATGTTTTTTTTATTTCTTTATTTACCTTTGCCTGCTATTTTTAATGTTTTTCACTTTTTTAAAGTTATACTCCTGACTTTTTATTTTCCATCAATGAAGCAACACTTCAAGTTTTTATGCATATGAACGGTACCCCTTGGTCATATAATTTGGCTGCTGTTGTTCCAAAACATTTACTTTCAATGTGTCATTCTGCATTACCTCGCCCTCCTTTTGAAGCTCTAATGTATCAAACTTGTGTGCTAGCATTAATGTAAAATTTTTATTTTTTTTTGTTCGAAAAATTTTCGAATTTCCAAAAAATTTTTTAAAAAATTTTAAATTTTTCCTAAAAAAATTTTTTGTCACCCACAGGTTTTGCCTTATATGCATGATATCTTGTGCTTACCTGGAAGGCGATCGTGTAGTTTTGTGTGCTTATAAACAACAATTTTTGCAAGGGCAACAAAAATTAGTGTTTAATTTAAACGATACTGATGACCAAAAAGTTGCTCAAGTTGAGGATATTGGGGTAGAAGTTGGAGATTTTTACAGAAGAGAATTTAGAAAAATCTCGTCTGATGCAGGAATTATTCAAAAAATATTTTGGCATACTTTAAATTTTGTGCTAAGAGTGTTTTCCTATGTTTGGCCATTTTTAAGAAGAGAAAACAACAGAAGAGAAAACACTTCTACAACAACAACAATTAAAGTTTCACAACAACTGCCATTAGTTGATTTAATAGATGTTGTTGATACAACAAACATAAAAACAGAACAAAACACCCAACAAAACAACCAACAAAACATCCAGCAACAACACGTATTAAATAATAAAGAAGCAACAATTATAAACAGAATAAAGAAAAAAAGTTTTGTTGATACAACAAACATAGAAAAACATCAAAACAACATTGAAAAACATCAAAAACATCAAAACAACATTGTTTTAAATGTTGAGAAAAGAACACAACATCAGAGAAAAGTAAAAACAAAAGAAAAACATCTATTAAAACAACAAGAACAACAACAGGAAGAGGATGTTTTTGAAAATGAAAAGGAAAAACAACAAAACAACAACAACCAAAACAACAATAACAACAACAAAACATCCAACAAAACAAAAATTTCAAACAAGGAAAACATTCATGTTTTGAAGAATGTTTGTGATTCAACAAGAGAAATGTTTCTTTCTGTTTCTAGTAGTTCAAGTTTGGGAGAGGCAGTAATGACTTCTAGTATTAATGACAATCAACCACCTAAACCTTTCAAGAGAAACGATTTTCAATTGAGAAATACTTCTACTACAAGTGAGGAAGACGGAGGACAACAACAACAAAATTGGAGGAAAAATTCTTCTTTAGATGATGAAGACAACAAAAGCAACAACAATAGGAGAAACGATGTTTCAAATAAATATAGTGAGACGGAGGAAACTAGCGCTGAAGAAAGTGAAATACCTGAATGGGCAGATGAAGAAGAGGAGGAGGAACATGAAAAACGTATGGGAAAAATCTAAAACAAAAAAAACATTAGAAATAAAACCAGAATTTTAAACGAACATTTAAAATTGAATTTAAACAAAACATTGAACAAAAACAACGTTAAAATAAAAAATCAAATATTAAATAGGAAAACCCATAAAAACCAGAATTTCAAACGAACATTTTTTAACCAGAATTTTAAACAAACATAAAGCAAACAAACATACAACAAATCAGAATTTTAAATAAACATTTAAAATCGAATTGTAAATTATTAAACAAAAACAACAAACCAGAATTTCAAACGAACATTTTTTTACCAGAATTTTAAACAAACAAACAACAAATCAGAATTTTAAATAAACATTTAAAATCGAATTGTAAAACATTAAACAAAAACAGAAACCAGAATTTCAAACAAACATTTTTTTACCAGAATTTTAAACAAACAAACAACAAATCAGAATTTTAAATAAACATTTAAAATTAAATTGTAAAACATTAAACATAAACAGAAAAACATTAAAAATACGAAAACATTGAAAACAAAACCAAACAGAAAAACTATAAAACACAAAACAAAAGCAATAATATATTATAGGCGACATTGATGAAGATTTTGAACAATTAGCAGCTCAATCAGCTTCATTATTTAATACTTCTAATAAAAGTGATGATGATAATGAGAATAAAATTGAAAAATTAATTTCAAAACTTGTAAAAGAATATAGAGAAAGACTTTTGAGGATTTACAGAGGACGAAAAAGTTTAGATTTGGGTGAGGGAGATTTCTGATTTATTTTAATACTTTAATGGAAAAACTTTAATTTCACTGGGCTGGCTAGCAATTTACAAATCAGAAATGAAAAATTAATAGTTTCAGAAAAAATCAAGTTGTTGCAAATTCTATTTTGCTTTTTTAGCAAAATTGTAATTTAGAAATTCTGACCCGGTAAATTCTGATTTTCTCTTTCCGGAAAATTGTAAATCGAAAATATTAAAAGAATTCTGATTTTTTTAACTTACTACAAATTCTGATTTAATTCTTTCCGGAAAATTACAAATTCTATTTGCTACTTTCCGGAAAATTGTAAATTGAAATTCTGATTTCATAATTACAAATTCTTTCCGGTTGTAAAATTCTTTCAGAATTATTTTTACATATTCCGGAAATTTACAAATTCTGATTTAATTCTTTCCGGAAAATTGTAAAGGACAACTCTCCGGTTGTAAATTCTTTCAGAATTATTTTTACAAATACAGATTTATTTTCCGGAAATTGTAAATTCTTTCCGGAAAATTACAAATTCTGACAACTCTTTCCGGTTGTAAAAATTCTTTCAGAATAATTTTTACAAATTCTGATAATTCTTTCCGGAAATTGTAATTCTTTCCGGAAAATTAAAAATTCTGATTAATTCTTTCCGGTTGTAAATTCTTTCCGGATAATTACAAATTCTTTTGCTATTTTCCGGAAAAGTGTAAAGGATAATTACATATTATGACAATTCTTTCCGGTTGTAAAAATTCTTTCAGAATTATTTTTACAAATTCCTTCCGGAAAATTACAAATTCTGATTTTTTCTTCCAGTTGCAATTACAAATTCTGATTTATTTTCCGGAAACTTTAATTCTTTCCGGGTAATTACAAATTCTGTTTGCTATTTTCCGGAAAATAGCAAAGAATAAAAATTACAAATTCTGACGACTCTTCCCAGTTGTAAATTTATCAGAATTATTTTTACAAATTCTTTCCAGAAAATTACAAATTCTGATTTATTTTCCGGAAATTGTAATTTTATATTTACAGGAGAAATGCTTGTTGCACTACCTCCCGATTTAACTTGCAACATTTGTAGCGGTAACGAAAAAAGTTTGAGTAGTTCAAACAGTGTCTCCTCCCAAGAAAACAATCCAAACAATCCACCAAGACGAAAATCGGTTGGAGGGGATGTTAGAGGAGGGAATAAAGAAGAAAACAAAACTTCGACTTATCAGAGCGGATTTTTGTTTAATATAAAGGACCCGATTTGGAGGCCGTTGAGTGAAATGGATGTTTTGAATCCGGATTGGTCTAATACTAATAAAAATAATAATCTTGCCGATTAATTAATAATAAGAATAAATTTTAGAAAATGAATTTTTCTTTAATTTTATTAAAACAGTATGAGCAAAAGCGTAGCTCCGAGCAAGCGTCGATCCTGCGACCCCCTGGGACAGTACAAAAATTCTTTTATTTTACATTTTCTCTCTTCTAGCTGATCTAATGGGGGGAATTTGGCCATTGAATTTATTGCACGAGTTCTGGCAGTTTTTTTTTGCTAAGTCACACGTATCCATTTATGGGAAAAGAGGTCAATAAACCTCTTTCAGAAGCCTAAAATAAACATCGAAAAAATTATCTTTTGTTTTCCCAAAAAAAATAAGGAAACATTTTTTAAATTTTATTTGAAAGACACACAAAATAAATTAAGGTTAAAAATAAATAAATTAAGGTGTTAGGCACAAATAAGCTATTATTTTGGCACTATTTTTAAATTGGTAGGCTTTAATGGTTATTTTTGCCAGTGCTTTTCCAGGTTTTCGGAACCCGACAGTTTCGAAATAATTTCTAGGAATTGTAGACCCCAAAATTCTTGGAAATTTCCGGAAAACTGGAAAAGAAAAACTTTCGGGATTTTGGAATCAAAAAAATTTTTTTGGTGACTTAAAAGTCATGGATTCTTTGGAAAGCACTGGCTAATGCTTGGTTACTACCAGAACTTTCCCAAGATTTTTGGAATGAAACCGGAGTTCCGAGACAATTTAGAGTACTCTTGTGTTATCCACCCCCATTTTTCTATATGAGAAGAGGATAGCGCTTATCGAGAGCTTTCGAATGATATAAGAATCATCCGGACTGGAGCAAGCATAAAGAAGTCATAGCCGATTAAATTCGTAAAAAAGGAATTTGGGGCAGAAAACACAATAGTAACCATTTTAGAGGAACTGTGAACTACCAAAATTCTTTGAAGCATGCGGAAATGGAACCGAAAAAAATTTGGTGTAATCAAAAAAAGCGATAGAAAAAAATTTTTTAGAGAACGGGAAAGCACTGGTTATTTTGCTAAAAGAAGATAGATGGGAGAGAATACACTTTTCTAAAATTAAAATTTGGAAAAAAAAAATATTTTCAAATTTAAAGCATTGGAAAAATAAATGAAAAAAACTAACGTGTGTGTATTTTATAAGAGAAACGCCCTCCTTTTTTTCTCAAATTTTTTCTTCAAATTTTCTTCTATGATTTTAAAAGCCATGGATTCTTTGCAATAACTTCAGTTCTTCGTTCTCCATAGTCATAAAGCAATTCTTCTCCAATATTTATATCTCTTTTTGCAACGAGAATTAAATGGAAAGATGAGCCAAAGTCGATAACCTGAAAAATTTTTTAATAGTTGCTCTCAACTAATTAGTAAATTGGGAAATTCAGCTGACAAGGGAACATTTTCTACTTTGTGAAGAAATTCTGTAATTTTTTGGTACCCCCGACTTCCTATTGAGAAGTGATGTTCGTTTTTCTGGAAAATGACTTTGGACCAAATTATGGCCGCTCAAAGTTTCAGCCTTTGGGAGTGGTTGAGTTTTAAAAAGTGGAAGAGTAAAAAAAATCGAAATTTTTGTAGAAGGCCAAAGACAGCCCGTCCCCGACCACGAACAAGACGATCATCGAGAGATTAGACTTTGTGTCGGAACTTAGAAACCAACTGAACTTCTGGGCCAACCAGGTTACTTGTTCCTAGAGGTGGTTCAGAACAGTCAGAGGTTCGAAAATCGGAAGAGCCGGAAATCGGAACTCGGAAGCCAATTTTTTTCCGGAAATCGGAAGGAAAAAACGACGGAAGTTGGAAATCTGACCCACCTCTGCTTGTCCCGACAGTGAGGTATTATCGAGAGAAAAAAATAAAAGCAAACCCGTGTCCTCAAATTCGGCCTTAAAGCGCTGTGATTAATTAGCCGTCCTTTATATTTTGTTTCCTGTGTAGCATCCACACAATAAAGATTTCCTTGATGTTTAAAATAATACATGTAAGAACCAATATTTTCATTTAAAGAGTATTCCTCTTCTCGAATCCGAGCAATTTTTGAATTGATAATTTCACCTTAAATTTATGGAGAAGATTAAAATTATTAAAAAATAAATTTAATAGGAGAAATGGCCATAGAGGTTTAGTGATAAATTAGGCGATTTGGAGGACTGGATTTAGAGGAATAGCCCGTCTAAGAAAACTGGGCTTACAAGGAAACATTTTGAACAGTAGCCAAAAATTTAACGTTTTTTGCATCATCGTGTAGAGCAGAGTCGATAACCCAGTACCAATGTTCAGCTTTTTTGACCCTGACCCCCCATTTCGAAAAGTTAAAAGGGTTCTCAGTTTTTGAAGTTTGGAGCAATTTAAGCAAGAGATTGGGATAAAGACTAGGGAAAAATACAAAATTCAAAAAATGCTTGCGCCTCAACCAAAGATGTTTCAAAACAAAAAAATGTCCAAAAATTGGGACTCGATCAACTTGAAAAATTTCGAAACAAAAAATCCGAAACAGAGTTCCTTGACGTTTAAAGGAACTAGAAATCTTCAAAGGTTCCTAATAAAAAATCCCAACACTTGACAAGTCCAAATCGATTTATGGACTCGAAAAATAAAAACATGTAACCTTGGGACCCCTAGAAAATTAATAAAACCCCTCAAAATTATTCGAACAGACCTTTATATTCCACAACAAATTCTCCTTTAGCAAACCACTTTTTAGACTTTATCCCCCTTCCTTTCTCCTCACAAACATAAATTTCCAAAAACTTTTCGTTTGAACAGGTTTGAATGATTTTGTGAAGATTTGCCATTTTTTCTTCCTAAATTGAAAAAAAATTGTGAGGGCTTTTGCGGACTCATAATGGTCAGATAGAAGGATAAAATCGTTTGAACTTCCGTTCCCTCAAATGTCCGCAAAAATTGTCCGCAAAATTGTCCGCAAAATTGTCCGCAAAAATAAGTCCGCAAAAAATGTCCGCAGAAAGTATCCCGCAAAAAGTATCCCACAAAACATCCGCAAAAAACTTCCTCGAATTCATTTAGTCGGGAAAAGAAAGTATGAATGTCCTGACCATTATGATTACGAGTCCGCTAAATAACCCACGATTACCACAAAAAATCTAATAAAAACCTGTATTTGTTTCCCCTGCCTTCGAGTACTTCGCCGAACAGAAAAATATTCGGTAATTTTCTTCTGGGCTTGCATTTAATTTTAGAAGTTGTGCATTAGTTGGAATAAATTAATCTAAAAATTTTAAAAAAATATTTAAATTAAAAAAAGGACATTTGATCCCTAATCAGTACAAAAACCCTCCAAATCTCTAAAAAAGATAAAAACAAAAACAAGCTTAAACAAAAATCAAATCCAAAACAAAGCCTAAAATTCTTATTTTTTGAGTAATCGACAAAATAACAACTAGTTGACACTTTGACATTTTCCAAATTAAATAAAGCCGGCCATTTCAAAGTTGCTCCTTTTCCTTTTCTATAAGATTACTGTATGTTTGATGTTTTTCTATTTTTCTCATGTTTTGATGTTTTTCTGGTTTTTTATATTTTTATCGTGTTTGTGTATATCATGTTTTGATTTTGTTCTGGTTTTTTCTTTGTTGTTTTATTCCTCATGTTTTGATTTTGTTCTGGTTTTTAACTGTTGTTTTATTCCTCATGTTTTGATTTTGTTCTGGTTTTTTCTTTGTTGTTTTATTCCTCATGTTTTGATTTTGTTCTGGTTTTTTCTTTGTTGTTTTATTCCTCATGTTTTGATTTTGTTCTGGTTTTTTCTTTGCTGTTTTATTCCTCATGTTTTGATTTTGTTCTGGTTTTTTCTTTGTTGTTTTATTCCTCATGTTTTGATTTTGTTCTGGTTTTTAACTGTTGTTTTATTCCTCATGTTTTGATTTTGTTCTGGTTTTTTCTTTGTTGTTTTATTCCTCATGTTTTGATTTTGTTCTGGTTTTTTCTTTGTTGTTTTATTCCTCATGTTTTGATTTTGTTCTGGTTTTTTCTTTGTTGTTTTATTCCTCATGTTTTGATTTTGTTCTGGTTTTTTCTTTGTTGTTTTATTCCTCATGTTTTGATTTTGTTCTGGTTTTTTCTTTGTTGTTTTATTCCTCATGTTTTGATTTTGTTCTGGTTTTTTCTTTGTTGTTTTATTCCTCATGTTTTGATTTTGTTCTGGTTTTTTCTTTGTTGTTTTATTCCTCATGTTTTGATTTTGTTCTGGTTTTTTCTTTGTTGTTTTATTCCTCATGTTTTGATTTTGTTCTGGTTTTTTCTTTGTTGTTTTATTCCTCATGTTTTGATTTTGTTCTGGTTTTTTCTTTGTTGTTTTATTCCTCATGTTTTGATTTTGTTCTGGTTTTTTCTTTGTTGTTTTATTCCTCATGTTTTGATTTTGTTCTGGTTTTTTCTTTGTTGTTTTATTCCTCATGTTTTGATTTTGTTCTGGTTTTTTCTTTGTTGTTTTATTCCTCATGTTTTGATTTTGTTCTGGTTTTTTCTTTGTTGTTTTATTCCTCATGTTTTGATTTTGTTCTGGTTTTTTCTTTGTTGTTTTATTCAACATGTTTTTAATTTGTTCTGGTTTTTTCTTTGTTGTTTTATTCCTCATGTTTTGATTTTGTTCTGGTTTTTTCTTTGTTGTTTTATTCCTCATGTTTTGATTTTGTTCTGGTTTTTTCTTTGTTGTTTTATTCCTCATGTTTTGATTTTGTTCTGGTTTTTTCTTTGTTGTTTTATTCAACATGTTTTTAATTTGTTCTGGTTTTTTCTTTGTTTGGTGTTTTCTTTTGTTTACTGTTTTTCTGAAGTTTCATGTTTTGATGTTTATTCTTTCTCATGTTTTGATGCTGTTCTGATTTTATCCTCTCATTTTCAATGTTCTGCTTACCTTAGAAACAATCCATTTTTAATTAATAATTTTTTAAATTATTATTTCATGGCTGAATTGTTTTGATGTCCTTTTTGGTCATTTTTTCTGTTTTTGTAATTTAAAAAACAAAAACAACAAATATATCTAGGATTAACCTAAAAAGAAGAAAATTCAAAAAGAGAAGAGGACATTTATTTATTGAAAAATGTTTTGTTTTGTTTTTAAAGCGTTGATGTTTTTCTGGTTTTGAGTATTTGTTTTGAGTTTTGTTTGTTTTGATATTTTATTTGTAATGTTTTTATGTGCTTGTTTGTTTTGATGTTTTGTTTGTTTTGATGTTTTTGTTCTGGTTTTTGTTTATTTGCTAAATTAATTGTTTTTCTGATTTTAAGGTGTTTTATTTTTCGTATGTTTTGATGTTTTTCTGGCTTGTATTTCCATGTTTTGATGTTTGCTCAATGTTTTTTTTTCGTATCTGATGTTTTTATGTTTTCTCATGTTTTTCTGATTTTGAATATTGTTTTTATGTTTTATTTGTTTTGATGTTTTTGTTGTTCTTTATTTACTAAATTAACGTGTTTTTCTGATTTTAATTGTATTATTTTCGTATGTTTTAATGTTTTTTAGTTGTGTTTTTCATGTTTTGATGTTTTTCTGGCTTGTTGCTCTATGTTTTATTTTTCGTATTCTGATGTTTTTCTGTTTTATTTCTCATGTTTTTCTCATTTTAAGCATACTATTTTTTAAACTTGATGTTTTCTGTTTTTGTTTTATCTTTTATGTTTTGATGTTTTTCTGGTTTTTTTTCAATGTTCTATTCCCCTTGTTTTTCATGTTTTTGTTTTTTTTATGTTTTGCTGTTTTTCTGATTTTATGTATTTATTACTTTATTTCTCAGTTATGTTGTTTTTCTGATCTTGTTTTATTTAATGTTTTCACAGTTATTTTTTATTTAAAAAATACTACATAAATTTATTAAGGATTTGTTTGGCGCCATCTCTTAATATATTTATTGCCCTCATTTCTTTCTCGCCATTTTGCGACGTTTTCTCCTTCCTTTTTTAGTTAAAATCGAAAATTGAGAAAAAGGCTTTAGAGGATTTATAAATGAACAAAATCAATTTGAGCTTCTTTGAGCTGTAAAAAGGAAGAAGAATCAAAACTAAAATCAAATAAAAACGGCCTTTTTTTATTAGTTTTTGTGGATTTTAGATTTTTCGAAATGTTTGTTTGAATAATGAGATGTTTGTGTGTTTTTCTGATTTTTATTGAAATGTTTTTATTAATTTCTGATTTGTTTTTATTCGTGTTTTTATTTACTTCAAGTTTTTATTCTGATTTTAATTAACAAAAAATTTCAGAATTAAATTCGAACATCCATTATTCTGATTTATATTCTGATTTATATTTAGATGTTTTTGTTTATGTTTTAATGTATTTCTGATCTGAATGTTTTTTCTCATGTTTTGCTTTTATTCAATGTTTTGATGTTTTTCTGATTTTATATTTTTTTATTTGATGTTTTGATGTTTTTCTGATTTTTTTTATTTATGTTTATTCAATGTTTCGATGTTTTTCTGATTTTTTTTATTTATGTTTATTCAATGTTTCGATGTTTTTCTGATTTTTTTTATTTATGTTTATTCAATGTTTCGATGTTTTTCTGATTTTCTGATTTTATGTTTATGGTTATTTAATGTTTTGATGTTTTTCTATTTCTATATTATTTTTATTTCTCATGTTTTGATGTTTTTCTGCTTCTATCCGGAAAACAACTATTTAGAAACATTTATTTAATTTTCCGGAAAACATGATTAAATTCTGATTTTTTCTTTTCTCATCATGTTTTACTAATTTGTTCAAATTTTGTTCTGATTCTTTTTTTAATTAAAAATTTCAGAATTAAATCCAAACATGCACTTTATTATAATTTATCTTCATAGTGTTTTGCTCTTTATATAGTAGTTAGTATTTGCTACCTGTTTTCTTCCCGCAAAACTTTCACCGCCGTCGCCCCAATTTTTTCTTTAATTTTTAAATATTTTTTTATATTTATCTTTTTTTTCGATTTTATCCTCTCATTTTGTTTAGTAAAAATATGCACGAATAAACAACAACTACTCTCTCAATTTTTTGTTAATTATGCTTCCGGAAATTGTACCTTTGTTTTTATCATTTTCAACTACAAGTGTTACTACTACTTTATTTTTGCTTCACTTTCTCTTGGAATTTTTTATTATTCCCATAAATGCTTCCTGTATGCCTGTATTTTTTGCTCAGGCAATTTCTTCAAGACAAGTCAGAACAATGGAATTGTATTTTACAAAGTTGGTAAAATATCAGAATTTATGAAAAACAAATGTTGAGGAAAACATTAATTTTTCCGGAAACATTTAAACACAAACATTTCAGTAATGTTTTAGACAAACTTAGACTTTCCTAAAAACATCTAAAAACATTTAATACCTATTAGTTTATATTTTCCGGAAAACATTGTAGAACTTTCCGGAAAACTTATCAGAATTTATAAAAACACAAACATTTTGGAAAACACTCTTTTTCCGGAAACTTATTTAAACATGAAACATTTTAGAAATGTTTCAGAAAAAACTTTCCGGAAAACATTTAAACAACAATCAGTGTATTTTTTTCCGGAAAACATTGTTTATTTGTTTTCTGGAAACAGAAACTTTTAGTTCAGAATATTTCAAAAACTTAAACTTTCCGGAAAACTTGTAACTTACCTTTTAATTATTTATCCTTCCGGAAAACATTGCCAATTTTCCGGAAAACATAACACACTAATATAAATGTTTCGTGATAATATTCTGAACACATAATCCTCCAAACTCAAACAAAATAAATTATAATCGTTTAGGGAAGGCGTTCCTTCAGCAGCAGACTGTGCCACCCTATGCGGCCAGAGGCATTTTTTCTGTCAATCAGCGGTTAGAAATATTTTTAAATTTTTTTAAAATTATTTTAAAAATAGATTTACAATCACGATGTTCGTAGTTGTGCTCTCTCTCCAAATAGGCCTATTCAATGTTCATTGGTCTTTTAATTTTTTAATTAAACTCAGGCTTTGTTTAATTATTCAATTAAATCTCTCAAATTTCAGTCCAAACAACGTTTTAATTATTTTCATCTCAAAACTGACGGTGCCGATGCCCTATCATTACTTGCATGTATTCAAATATGTCAACAACCAGCAACATCAACAACAATACCTACAGAAAATGTTTTGAATAAGGAAGAAATTAAAAGAACAACCATAAAACAACAACAATCTTTAGAATTTTCACCAATTCATGATGACGAAGAAAAATCGTCTTTAAGGAATAAAAAGGTGAGTGATAGGAGAAGAAAATGTTTTAATAGTGAAAAACATTTATAAAATGTTTTAAACTTTTTCCGGAAAGAAAGACATCCGGAAAAACATCCAACATTCATAAAAACATACAAACATGTTTTTATAGATGTTGGAATGTTTTATGAAATTTCCGGAAAACAAGAAAACATTACAAACTTAAAAACATTCAAACTTTACCGGAAACATTTATAAATTTCCGGAAAAACATCCAACATCTATAAAAACATAAACATTTTCGAAAGAATGTTTTATAAAATTTCCGGAAAACATGAAAAACATTACAAACTTAAAAACATTTAAACTTTTCCGGATAGCATTACAAGTTTCCGGAAAAACATCTAACATTTATAGGACTTTAAATCATACAAACATTTTCGAAAAAAACCAACAAAAACACAACATCAAACTTTACCGGAAACATTAACAAACATTCCGGAAAAACATCTAAACATTATAAAACATTTCCGGAAAACATTACAAACTTTCCGGAACAACATTTAAAAATTGATTTAAAAAATTTTAGAAGTTGTTTTTTCCTGGAGACGAGCACGCACTCGACGTCCTTCAAAGGCTTTTCCAAATGCGACAGAGACTAGAACAATTATTAGGTGAAGCTAACAGAAATGGGGGAGGAAGTGGTGATCAACCTTCACAAAATTCTACGGAGAGACAACTACAAAATATTCAAAAAATAGCAAAGGATTCAAAACCAACAAAAACAAATTTTTCTGCGTCAAAAATTAATAAAAATAATGATAAAGAAATACTTATTCAATCGGGTGGATTTGTAGCGAGAGTGAAGCCAGGTTAAGAAAACACGTGTTTGGATAAATTATAAATGTTCAAATTATATCAAAAAAACAAGAACATTGCGAAAACAAAAACATTTTGTAAAACATTCTGAAGAACATTAAAATATTTAGGAAACAAAACAAACTTTACGGAAAACATTTTAGATGTTTTTAAAAAATTCTGAACATTTAAAACATTAGAAACAAGCTTCCGGAAAACATTCTAAACATAACACAAACATCTAAATAAAACATTGCATAACAAACTTTTCCGGAAAACATTTACAAACACAACACAAACATTCTAAACAACTTTCCGAAAAACATTGTAAATGTTTGCAAAAGATTCTGAACATCTAAATTAAACATTTCGAACAATTTTCCGGAAAACATTCCCAAACATAACAGAAACATCTAAATAAAACATTACAAAACATAAACTTTCCGGAAAACGTTGTAAATGTTTTTAAAAAGTTCTGAACATTTAAAACATTAGAAAAAACATTCCGGAAAACATTCACAAACACACTAAACAACTTTCCGGAAGATATAGAAACATTACAAATGTTTTAAAAAATTCTGAACATTTAAAACATTACAAAACAAACTTTCCGGAAAACATTCACAAACACAACACAAACATTCTAATATGTTTAGATGAACAAATAAGAGTTATCTCAACACCGCTTGGAATAAAACAAAACAACAATAAAAACAAGCAACAAAAACATCAAAACATATCAGAATTAAATAAAAACAATGCTACAACATTTGATGAAAGAAGAAGAGAGGAAAGCGAATATTGGAAGGGAGGAGGTGGAGAATATGATGAAGGTGAGGACAAAAATTTTTTTTTAAATTTCTCTAAAATTTTTAAATTTTTTAAGAACCTATTCTAATTAATGGAAGATTGATAGAACCTCCTACAGGTTATTTACATTCTGTGTTAATTCATCACAATGGAGGGATCAGTTCTGAAGCAGAAAGTGAAGAAGAAGGCAGGGCAACGAAGAATAAAATCCTTCCCTCCTTGGATGTTGCTAAACTTGAAAAATCTAATAGTGGAACTATTGTGTGTTTCAAATTTATGCAGCATAGAAATTTGCAGAATTATGGAAATTATGAAATTAGCATTGGAATGAAAAGAGGATTAAGCTTGAATGAGTGTCGGTGAGTGGGAAAAAGGAAAATTTAATTTTGAAACTTGAAGCAACTATTTTCTGAAGGAAAAAAATTTTTGGGGCAAAAAACTTTAGAAGCAAAAAAATCTGTAGCAAAAAATATTTATTTTTAAAGTTGTGCATGTGCTAACACTTGGAAACTTGAAGAAAAAGCACAGTGTAAAAGTTTGCATTTTGGACGTGAAGAAGGTTTATGTGAATTATTAAGTTCTGATCATAGCGGAAAATCAGATTTAGTTTTCAACAAAAGCAGTGATTACCATTATGTTTCTTGTGAGAGAAAATGTTTGTTTGTATTTTTGTTTTATTAAGACATGTTTTAAATTAAACAGATTTATTAAAAACAGCAGAAAAAATGTGTAGCAACAAATCAAACGAACATCAAAAATTTAATAATGATGGTGTTTTTAATAATAACACCGCAACATCAACAGAAGCAACAAACATTTTATTAAAATCAGAATTAACAACAAACAAACCAGAAATTAATTTAAACAAAAATTCTAAAAATTCTGGTACACCAAACAAATCAGAATTTAATTTAAACAAATCAGAATTTAATTTAAACAAATCAGAATTTAATTCAAACAAGAATTCTGATACAGCAAACAAATCAGAATTTAATCTAAACAAAAATTCTGAAGCAACAAACAAATCAGAATTTAATTTAAACAAACCAGAAATTAATTTAAACAAAAACAACATTAATGTCCAACAAACTTCAACAACAACACAAACAACAACACAAACAACATCAATAAATGTTGTTATAGATGTTGATAAAAACAATCAACAATGTTTTGAACGAATTTCTGGTTTTTCAATGAATGGAACTACTACTGCAAGTTTGGAACATAATGTTTCTATAGAACAGTGCAAATGTTTATGTGCTAATTCTTTGTGAGAGAAACATTTCTTTAAAACAAAGTTTTTATTATTTTTAGACATTCACGTTATCCTTTTCAATGTGCTTCTGTCAGTTATTTTGGGGATGAACGCGATTGTGTTCTTAATTTACAAAATCGTCAATCAGCACCAGAGCAGTTTACACCAGAACCTGATCAACAGGTTATTTAGAAAACTATTTATTAAAACTCTCTAATTAATTAACTCTCTATATAAGCGACTTTTCTAAAAACCTCTATTTAATCAACTCTCTATATAAGCGACTTCTCCTATAAACCTCTATTTAATCAACTTTCAATATAAGCGACTTTCTACCCTCTATTTAATAAACTCCATAGATAAGTGACTTTCCTATAAAATTATTTTTTAAGGTGATCTACTTTGGATTTCTTTGCCATTCCAAAAAAGCAGCTGAGTTTGTTGAGAATGTTTGCAACAACAACATAGAGCCTTCAACAACAAAGGGAAGCATTAGCGAAAACTACTCCAAGGCGACAGCAATTTCTTCACTTAATCCAAAAGACAGTTCAACAACAAAAACATTCACCAATGCTTCAAAATCGTCCACAAACCTAGGTGGGAAACACTGCTTCTGATCTTTAAATGAATTTACGCGCTTCAAAAAGAAGCGCTTCCAAAAATTAGGGTAAACCCATAAGCGTCCCCCTGCACGGAAATCTTTAGTAAAAGGCGAAAGATTTCTTCGCCCGTATACAGAGGAACCAGGGATACTTAATCTTGAAATGTTGTTTTACATATGCTAACTCAAACAAATTTATTGGACGTGTTGTTCCGCTGCCTTAAAATAAATTAAATCTCACTTACTATTTCCTTCTTTCTCTTTTCTTTTCTTTCTTCTCTTTTTGCTGTTATTTTACTCTACCCTTTTTCTATTTTCTTTATTTTTCTTCTCTAATTACTTCTTCAAGCAGTGTTGGCATTTTGATTTTTCTAAGCCCCTTTTATTTCAGAATATCTATTTTAGCAGACACTCGTTTCGTCACATAGGGTAAATTTTCGCTTTTCGTCGAACGAATTTTTTTGCTTTTTTCTTATTTTCGTTACAACTCAATTCCGTTCCGAGCCCTCTAACTTATGAAGGGGAGGATGATTTTTATTGTTCTTGGTATCATTCGATAGAGAATTAAATAGGCTACAAAATACCAAAAAATCAAATTTTTCTATTGATTGAGAAAAAAGTTGTGATCGATTAAGTGCCGAAAGATCACATTCTTTAAAAAATGATAGTTTTTAGATCATAACTTTTTTATTATTCAGTCCAAAATTTTGATTTTTTGAAATTTTGTAGAGAATTTAATTCTCTATCCGTTGGTACCAAGAACATAAAAAAGTGACTACCATTTTTATGAGTTATAGGGTCACGACTGAACCGAGTCGGGCTTGAACTGCTTCTTTTTTTTAATTTTTTCCCTTCAATTTAGACAGACAACCGTCTTCCACTCAGTCTTCTTCTCCTTCTTACACCTCCTTATCCGATGCTTGTTTTGTGGAACAACCCGGCTATGTGCTCGAAGGCATGGCTTTGGCAGCCCGACAACAAGTTAGTCCCCAGCTGTGTAAATGTTTATGTGCTATAGCTGAATGGAAACAATTGTTGGAGGGGAATGAATCGAAGAATGAAGGAGGCTGCAAATCTTCCCAATTTTACAAAAATTCTGGAACGTGTCTAATTTCGGGAGAAAATAGAGTTTCGGCTCCAGAACGTTTCAGTTTTGATGAAAATAGTAGTAGGCAAACTGGAGAACAGCAAAGCAGCTATTTGGATTTTCGGTGTGGAGTTGATAGTAAGTTTGCTTTTGTTTTTTAATCGTTTCCTTGTCCAGTCACACAGACTTAAGTTAAGGGCGGGGAAGAAAGCTTCAACATTGGGACACGGTACTGGATATTAGAGATCGAGGTTTTTGAAAAGCCTGAGCCTGTTCCTGGGTTCCGGGTTTGATTTATCGACCTGACCGGATCACTGGCCTGTAGTCCAGGGAAAACCCAGGCCCAGGAATAACCCAAGAAGGTCAAAAAATGCCTAGGCCTGGACTCCGGGTACAGGAAAAACCCAGGGCTTGGAAATCAGACCCAGCTCGATCTCTTCTGGATATGACCTAGTAGTCACTTGTTGCAATCTTAACAGGTTTTCTCAGAAAATCTTGGAACGATGAACCTTGAGGTTGGTCGATTCGGAACCGATGAACTGTAGGTTATAGAGCTCGGGACTCGACTGAGCCGGGAATGAAACGAGGTGTGCCCATCCCATTTAGACTTTTTTCTCTCATTCCAATCAAGACGTATCGAGAACACGTCGGTCAATTAACTATAAAAAAACAAATTTGCTTTTTCAGAAAAGGCGCTTTTTGATTATATCCAAACTAATTGTCCAAAAGAATTGTCTAAAGGAAGAACGTCCACAATTACAACTCCAACAACAACAAATACAACAACGGAAGGAACAACAAAAAATGAACTAAAAGAAGACGAAAACGATCAATCCAAAACTTTAAAAAAGAAGAAAAATAAAAATAAAAAGAATAAAAAAATTGATTCTAAAAAGTCTTTAAAAAATATTGAGGATTGGGGTACTTCAACAACAACAGCAACAACTTTTACCACAACAAATTTGAATGAAGAAAAGGAAGAAGAAGATGACCAACAAGAACAACTTGAGACAAAGACAGCAATACCTAGTGAGTTTATATAAGTACCAGAGAGGTCGATCGGTAATGATCCCGTTTTACCTCACATTTAGGATTGCGGGATTTTCGAGTAGGGGTCATTTTTTAGAGTTTACTTTTTGTCGTCCAAACCGACCGAGTCTTTTTCGGGTCAAAATTCGATGCCCGACTTTATCTTCCGGACTGGGCCCAGGGACCTACTCTCATTATTTTTCCCCTCATCTTTTTGACTTCTGATTACACCTGTCTTTTTGCCTCCCCGACATCGCTGGTAACAAAAAACCCTATGCTGGACTTTGGCCTGAAAAAGATTTCTCATTTTTGGTGATTCCTTTAATCTCATTTTCGACCTTAAAAACAACTTTCTTTTTTAGGCATTGAAAAACCAACCGAACTAGAAGAAATTGGAGAAAATTGGAAGACAGTAAATGTTGAAGGCGAAGAAAAACGAAAAAACAGAGCTAATCAAGGGGGAGATGAAAAGGAAGAGGAGGAGGAAGAAGAAAAAAATGAAGAGAAAAGAAGAGGAACAACTTCTATAAAAGTTACAGCAGCACAAGCTGACCCTCCTAGAGAAGAGGATTTGCATAATAAAAATGAAAATAGTGGTGGCAGTACAACAATTGATAGTGTGACAGCAACAACAACAATAACTACACCAATAACGGTAATTCTTTGGATAGCCGTAACTGGAAAATCTTCGGATCTTTAGTTCGTAGAACCGAGGATTTCTTTACTCGCAAGTTTACTCACCAAGGCGAGGATAAACTGGCCCAAAATGGGTAGAGGGGCCAATGGGGTTGGGAATCGTAAATTTATCGTAATTAGCAATAGAGGGTATAGCGTTGGGCGTTAAACTCCTATAGAGTTGGAGTCTCTGGGACTGGAGTTGGTTTCCAGGAAGGAGAGACGGAGCAGGAGCCACTAAAAACTATTGTCGCCTACTCATATTTAAAATCAAGTTTTTTAAAGGAAACAATAACAGCTTCTACTACACCAACAACAACAGCCAATAATAATTCGTCTCTAATTAATTCAACTTTAACAACATTAAATAACATAACTACAGAAACAACAGAATTCAATGCTACCTTAAATTATACTGAAGGGGGAACAAGAGAAAGTTTATTAAACGGAAATTTATTTGAATATCCGGCAGTGGGGCAATGCCGTTTTTCTGCTTTGTATCAAACTGTGTTTAATGGTGCTAGGCTATTGAAACGATTGTTGGTTGATACGTGAGTCGTTTTTATATGTTTGTGGTTGTCGGACATTTGCGAACAGAAATATTGCGGACAGAAAAATATTTGCGGACAGTGGATTTGCGGACAGAATTATTTTGCGGACGAAATTTTGCGGAAAAAATTTTTTTTCGGACTTTGGATGACTCGACTTTTAAGGGCATTTTTACCATTATTTTTTCCAGTCCATCCCAATGCTTAGCTGCTTGTCATTATGAAAGTTGTCGCTCAGCAAATTTAATTCAAATGGAGGATAAGGTATAATAGAGAGTAATTTATTTTGCTCAATAAAAATTTATTTTTTCAGCAAAAAATATGTGAACTATTTCGAGATTCGGTCAGTTTTTTCTTCAAGGTTTTTTCTTTAGGTTCCCACTAGTCTAGAAAATCTAAGGTTAAAAAAAGTAAAAATTTTCAGACTCTAATGGGTAAGGGATTGAAAGAGGTTGATTCTTACGAGCAGAGGTCGGTCGGATTTCCGATTTCTGAAAATTTGGGCTCATCTCCGAATTCCGACAGTTTCTTTTTTTCCGAATTCCTGCTAGTAAAATTCTGCCAGTAAAAACCTTCCTCATTTCCGACCTCATCTTACGAGGGATTCGGTAGATTGAGGGTTTAAGACATATGTGGATATTGAGGGATATTGGGGAGTTGATAGGAGGGATATCAGTGGATTTAACAATTTTTATTAATTCAGATTGTTGAATTTCGTCGTAACGATGTTTTAAGGTAAAAAAATTGGAAATTCTGCCAGTAAGCTAAAAAAATTAAATTATAGTTTTGATCGTCTAGCAGTTCATTTCGATTCAATACAGTGCAAACCACCTCCCTCAACAATAGAATAAAATATAAATTTTTAATAAAGGCAGAGGAAAAATCTATCTTCATTCTCTTTGTTTACTAGTCGTTTTTTAAGTCGGGAATCTCGATACTACGTCTACCCACATTTTAGTGATGTTCGAGAGTCTCGACTCTCGGCTTTTTTTGACTCTCGAACATCACTACCCCATTTAAGCCTTTCCTCTCTCTATCTCTCTCTGTTCCGAGCGGGATGTGTTATCGAGATTCAGACTGTATTACAATAACAGTCGAAATTTTATTTAATCAAAACAAAAATCAGAATAAAAACCACAAATCCGAACAAAACTTGTAACTATTGGTACTCAACCGGCCCTTTGGGATATTTTCAAAATATCGACTTTTGGACCCTTTAGGCCTTGTCGATCTTTTAAAGACTTAGGCTTATTGTCACATTTTGGCTGAGTCGATGTTTTGTCGTCTTCTGCTTGTGTCGATGTTTTAAAATATACTACTGACTAATTCTTTCTTTAAACCCCCCCCCCCCATACAATGCTGCCAATAGAGGATAATGCCAACCCCTTATAATGCCAATTATAATGGACATAGTTTAAGGTTTGTAATATGTTCATTTTTTAAGTCTGATCATTTTAATAAAAAGAGAAGGGGTACAAATTTGAATTTTATCGATCCATCCATTAGAATGGACCATCTTTATGAGAAAAATAAAAGAAAAATCATTTTTTAAATTTATCAAACAAAAATCATTCCTTCTTCCAAAACTGCATCATTCTTCCGGACCTGCATCATTCTTAAACTTGTCAAAATAATCTAAAAAAGTAAAGATACAAATTGAGTATTTTTCTCTGTTGGACATTTACAATGGTGCGGCATTGTGAGACAGAGGTGGGGCGGAACAGTCAGAGGTGTCGAAAATCAGAAATCAAATTTTTTTCGGAAATCGGAATTTCGACCCACCTCTGGTTGGTGTGTACCATAACTCAGGCACTATAACTCTACCCCCTTCAATCATCCAACGATATCCACTTAATTCCTCCAAATCCCTCGATATTCCCTTTTAAAAGTTGGTCTTTTGGGTCAAAAGGTCTTTAGGGCATATGTCTTCTGGCACACCGAAATTGAAAAAATTTTAGTCAAAATCTCAAATTCCCCATACGATGTGACAGTGCTAGTAGTTGTCGAAAACATGGTGGCACAACTTGTTGGTTTGTCATTCCTTCACCCATATGTTGTTGTTGCATTTGTGAAGAACCTTGCATAAGAAAAAGTTGTAAAGGAGTTTGTACCCCCAATCCACCCTCCCCCAATTGATGTTCACCTCCTTGTGATGTTGATGTAATGCTTGAAGGGATAGATCCCTTACCAACTCCACTTCCATCTATTCCATCACCTTCTGAAATTTGTAATTCCATCATTCCTTGCACCATTCCTTCAGCTTGACGATTTTGAGATTGTTGCATTTTTTGTCGAATTTGTTGGCAAAATGGAACCTTAAAAATATTTTGATTAAATTTAATTTTAAAAAAATTAATTCAAATTTTACACGTACTAAGAATCTATGGTACTTATTGGTTCTCCCAAAGTAGCTTTGCGGACTCATTTTCGCACGGAATGGTCAAAGCTTCGGTAATAGTTCGGTTCGTACCCCCCCCCCCTTTTTTTCCTTCCTAAAAGTATAAAAAAATGGTCAGTGAGTCATAGTTTATAGAACTCGTCGAGCTGTGTCGAATGACACCAAAATCAATCACAGGCCTTATCTTTGGCCCGAGATATAGACCTCAGAAAATTGAAAAATAATAGCGTGAACCAAGCTCATTTTTTGGGCTAAAAATTCGATTTAACAAATAATAACTCATTCGAAAGAGCTTGTCGAGCTGATTTGAATGACATCAAAATCAACATAATTGAACAAGATTTGACAAAGTTATGGCATAAAGTAATCCTATTGTAGTCGTGAGACGCTTTTGCAAAACCTTTATCTTTGCGCAGGGTTTTTGTCTGTATCTCGACCCAAAGTTAAGACCTGGGTTTGATTTTGATGTCTTTCAGAACATCTCGACAAGTTCTATAAGCTAAGACATACTGACCATTTTTTAATAATTTTAGGACGGAAAAAGGAGGGGGGTACGAACCGAACTATTACCAAAGCTTCTTCCGCCCAACAAAGCAAGAAGGTTCTTCCTTCCTCGATTTCACTCAATTTTCCTTGTGGCTTCATTCAATAAGATCACAGGGAAAATTGAGAAAATCGAGGAAGAACCTTTGACCATTCTACGCAAAAATGAGTCCGCATAAAATGTCCGCAAAAACTACTTTGGGATAACCAATAAGTACCGAATCTATTTTATAATGAGGTGTATCCTTAAAAATAAGATGTACCCCCATAACCGTAGCAGGAAAACCGTACATGAGAAATCAACCCAAAATGTCAACACCACAAAAGATCAAGGTAATTCTTGCGTTTGTACCCCCCCCCCCCCTCCTTTTTCCTTCCCCAAAATATTAAAAAATGGTCAGTCAGTCCAAGGTTATGGAACTCATCGAGCTGTGTCGAATGACACCGAAATCAACCCCAGGTCTTAACTTTGGGCCGAGATACAGACCCCCGAAGTAGTTAACCCACAGTCACCGTCGTGGCTGGCACTAAGCTAATCCTCATCAAGTGGTGGAGGGGTCCGACAAAACCTAAAGGGAGAGGGCATGCCGCGGTAAAGATCAAAGGGAGTGGACACTGTCGTGGGGTGGAGGGTTCCGATAAAAGGGAGAGTGCGTCGGCAAAGATCAAAGGGAGTGGGCACTGTCGTGGGGAGGAATGAGAAAACCCAAAAGAGGGGTGGATAATTTTAAAATATCAACGTCGCGGGTGGCAATAACACATAATCATGCCGTGTCTGCTAATAATCCTATAATATTTTTAGGGTTAGATTTGACGTAATCATGTAGAACGAAATGGATGAGTGATTAATTAGTAGAGAATGAGTAATTTGCAAACCATCACTCTCGAGAATTCGTACATTACTAGATTACAACCATGAAACATGACCCATTAACCATTATCACTAATCAAAGGGATTAATTTTGACGTTACTGTAAGTGATTAACGATGCAGGTGATTATTCTAGATGTTACTATAAGTAATTACCTTAAGCGGTGATTATTATATTTTATATATTTAATGATGATTTGTTATCGGTTACTCAGGCTGTTAATTAAAGTGATAGATGATAATTTTTTACCAAATTAAAATTCTTTATTTTCAATCCCCAATTCCTTTTTTTTTGCTCCCCCAAAATTTTGCCTTTGTTTTTAATACATTTTCAGAAATATAATTGACCTTGACCTAATAAAAATTTGACCTTAATCCTTTATTTTTTATTAAATTTAAAAATTTTTTAAAATTTTCTCTTTGATGTTGCCGATATTTTAAATTTATGCAAATTAACCTTTTAAAAACTCTTTGAAGATGCCGCCTATATTTTAAAATTTTTTAAAACTTATTTTCTCTTAAATTTATACAAATTAATGTTTTAAAACCTCTTTGAAGTTGCCGCCTTTATTTCATAAGTAAAAGTTTTGTCAAAATATTTCATATAAAAACAAAGATTTTTTAAATTTATTTCTCATTTGTATTCATTTTACAGAAAGTTTAAATAATTTAAAATATTTATTAATTTCATTTGCTCCTCATTTTTATTTTAATAGGAGCTCTTTTTTGCTCCCCATAAATTTTTGCTCTTTATTCATAGGAGCTCTTTTTTCATAGGATTTTTTCAATAATGGACTATATTCCTCCAACAAAACGCGCAAGAGCGTTCTTTATTGATAACCTCCTCTCTATCAATCAATCAGGAGGAGATGCTTTACAATATATTGAACAACTAGAAAATACTACAAAATACATCAATAAATTCAAAATCACCAAAAATTACACAAAATTCCTTATTCAGAATATTCCGGCCGACCCTGAGGCCTTATTATCAGGAATATTCCAGCACTGTTTCAACGAAGCCATGAACAACGCAAGAAACAATGGACTTGAACCGGAGGAGCTGAGCTGCACAGTAACAAGTGAGTTATTAGATTCTGATATATGGATACCCCTTAGGCCCTCATCACAAAACACCTTCAATACCCTGCTTAATCAATTTAATAAGGTTTCTCAAAGTAAAAAGCAGGCTGGAGTTACACTTTGGGGAAAACCCTTTTTAGTTAATGTTATGGTTGTTGATAAGAAGAATTTGGTCAATGAGAGTAACATTATTGGCGGAGCTCCTCGAAAAATTGCTCCTATTCATCATCAGATCAAGGAGCAGAATTTAATCAAAATTAACAACAACAACGATGGTTATTGCTTATTTTATTCTTTATTAGCAACACTTGTGCGGCTTATTGGAAACATGTCTCGTTCTCAATTTTACGACTACATTCATAGTCGTTTCGGATCAAGAGGACGATTTGAGAGGGAAACTTTGGAGCTGATGGATCAAGTTGGAGCTCCTCTTGGTCAGAAGGAGTACAATGCTGAAGAGTGGGTCCCTCCCGTGGTTGACTTTTGGAATGGATTGTATTCAGGCCAGTTTTGTTTTAAAGTTTTCATTTTTGATTGTTTGGGGCACTACAAGCCCTGCTTTAAATATGGTCCCGACAATTATAATTCCCCATTGCTCCTCTATTTTGATGGCTCTCATTTTAATGGAGTTACGAGTACAGGAGGGCTTTTTGGACAACCTTATTGTTTGGAATGTGAAACTGTGTATCAACGTCCGCAACAACATTCTGCTTCATGCCGTGCACACTGTTTGAATTGCTCTCGTGTTGGTCCACTTTACCCCTGCCCTCCTAGGAATAATTTTTCCAAAAAATGCAATGGGTGCTCCAAGAGCTTTAACAACGAAAATTGCTTCGACCATCATCTGAGTTCACGATATTGTCAACAGTCCAAACGTTGTGAGAAGTGTGGAGTAATTTGGGATACAAAAGACAATACAAGAGGAGGCAGGAGCGGCCACATTTGCAATGAGAGGTATTGTTCAACTTGCTCAGGATACCACGACCCACAGCGCGGCTGCTTTATTAAGCCTTTGGAGCCCAAGGAGCAAAAACCCTATCGATTTGTAGCTTTTGATCTGGAGACTATGCAGCATGTCTCAGATGGAAACAACAAGAGAAATCACCAAGCAAATTTTATCGCAGCAAGAGTTACATGTCCCAAATGTATTGAAGAGGAGCAGGAGCAGTGTAAAGTTTGTGGGAGCAACAAACTTGTAACTTTTTCGGAGCGCCCATTTTCCAGAACTCCCGTAGATCTACAGAAAGTCACCGAGGATCCAATCATCTCCTTTGTCAAATGGATAATTGAATTAACAACAGACTACGACACCATCGCCTTTTCACATTTCGGAGGGAGGTTTGATATGGTAATAGTTTTCCGGGAGCTCTTTCTTATGGGTTTTACTCCTGAAATGCTGAAGAGAGGAAATAAAATGTATGAGATGAAAGTGAAAATTGGGAAGAAAAATATGCTCATCTTCAGGGACAGTTTCAACCTGATGCCAATGTCTTTGGCATCTCTTGTCCCAGCCTTTGCTCTTGAGGTTGAGGACAAGCCTTTCTTCCCCCACCTCATCAATCAGCCTAAGTATTATGGAAAAGAGGTGTTTCCCATCCCTTCTGACTACTTCGCAGATGGGATGATGCCAGAGAAGAGAAAAGAATTTGATCGATGGTATGATCAGCACAAGGAGCTCCCATTCTTCTTGGATGAGGAGTTGGCAGCATATTGCACCAATGATGTGGAAATACTCCTAGCAGCTCTTATTGCTTTTAGACGAGAATTTATGGATGTTACAAAGAGAGCTCCTTGTCAAAGAGCTGCATCAAATAAGGCGCACAATGGTATTGACGTTTTAAGGGAATCAATGACCATTGCATCCGCATGTATGAACCATTTTCGAACTAATCACTTGAAAGAAAACCATTTGGCTCTTGTCCCAGAGAAAGGCTACGATAATGTGGATAATCAGAGCCGTCTTGCTCTCAAATTCATGAAATGGTATGAGGAGGAGCATGGAGTAAATATTCAAACTGCTCATTCAGATGGAGGGGAGAAAAAAGTTGGGAATTACAAGTTGGATGGATGGATTGAGGAGGAGCAATTAGGAATAGAGGTGAATGGTTGTGTGTGGCATGGGTGTGAGAGATGCTACCAGGAGGACAACATAGTGCTCCCAAATGGAATTTCAGCAGGTAAACAAAGGGAGAAGGATGCAAGGAGGATGGAATTCATTAAAAGCCAAGGAGTAAATGTGCAAGTCTTTTGGGAGTGTCAAATTAGGAGTATGTTGGATAAAGATAGAGAAATGAGGAGCTCCTTCAAAAAGTATCTGGATGATGGTCCAATTGATCTGCGTGCGTGCTTTTTTGGTGGACGTACTGGCCCACTTCAACTCTTCTACTCACCAAAAGAAGGAGAGAAAATATCATATTATGACGTCACCTCCTTGTACCCATTTATTAATGTAACTACCAAATATCCAGTGGGGCACCCAAAGGTCCACATTCTCAACAAGGATGTTCACTGGAGCAAGCCGGAGGATAACAATTTTGGATTGGCTATTCTGAAAGTCTTTGTCATCCCTCCGAGGAGCATTGATATTCCTGTGCTCCCAATGAAAGTAGGAGAAGATGATGAGAGGTTGCTCTTTCCTCTCTGCTCCCAATGTGCAAGGGAGCACCCTGAAGGAGGAGTAAATGAAAATTACTCCTGCCCGCACTCAGACCAGCAACGTGGATGGGTAAGTACATGCACAACACTTGAATTAAACGCTGCTCTAGAGGAAGGCTACATCGTCACCAAGGTGTTCAGAGTTTTGGAATATGACAGTTCAGACGACAAATTGTTTGCTCCATACATTAGTGAATTTATGGCTGAGAAAATTCACTCTTCCGGATTTGATAGCTCTATGAAGGGCAATTATGAGGAGGAGGAGCGGTTCATCAAGGAGTGCAAGGAGAAGTTTGGAATTAATATAGAGAGGAGCAAGATGGGGCCAAATAAGGGGAAACGCACTCAAGCCAAATTAATGCTGAATAATTTGTGGGGGAGATTTTCTTTAAGGAACTTCGGGTTATCACAATGTGCAATTACAGACAATCCAGCAGAGCTACACAAATACTACAACGACAAATCAATTGAAATCACTGGCTTAGATGAGCTCACACCAGATATTCTACTCATCTCTTACATAAAAAAGAAAGATTGGATTGAGGAGCACAATTGCTCCAATGTTGTCATCTCCTTATGGACAACTTCAGCTGCGCGAATTCATTTGCTCCGAGCAATGCAAAAAGTTGCTCGTTCTCCTGGGTGCTCTTTGCTCTACACAGACACCGACTCCCTAATTTTTGCTCATCCTACCAACCTATGTCCTCTTCCTTTGGGCCCTCACCTGGGAGATTTAACCGATGAGTACCCCTCTCACAATATATTGGAATATTGTTGTGGAGGAGCAAAGCAATATGGTCTCAAACTTCAACGCAAAGGACAAAAAGAAGCTGAATATGTTCTGAAAGTTAGAGGAATGACTCTAAACTACGATGTGCTCAACAATCAAGGATTGCAATACAACACATTCAAGGAGCAGGTAATTAATTATGCCAGAACAGGAGAAATAGAACCGATAAATATTTTGTATCCCAATTTTTTGCGACCATCAATTAAAGATGGTCGTGTCACATCACAGCCCCAACATAAATTGTATAAACCTGTAGTCAGTAAAGGAATTATCCGCCCTTCTGACTTTTCTATTCTCAATTATGGATTTATAAATAATCGCCATCCACGTATTTCTCCCCCATAATTTATTTTTTTGTCAATTTTGTCACAATATTTCTTGGAACCGGAAAGTAGTCAGGGGTACTCCTTATCTTCTCTATACCAACCATTGTTCAATGAATATCAAGTGTGCCATTCACACGTTGTGAGGTCGTCCTCTCATTGTTTACGATGATTATCAACATGTGCCATTCACATGTTGTGAGGCATACCTCTCATTGAGATACAGTGGTAGTGGACTTAGTAAATTATTACATCCCTGGTCGAGTTAGATGAAGGAGTCGAATGGCGAAGCCGGTCTCCTCCCCTCCCTCAAATTTTTTTCAATTATAATTTTTATTGTTTTTATTTTGAAATAAATTTTTTTATAAAACATGTGCAATTTTAATGTTTAAAAGTTGTATATTTTAGGGGTAAAAGTGCACAATTAAGAAACTAATGAGCAAAGTTTAGAGTTTGAAATAGGTGATTTTAGGGAGAAAAGTGCATAATTTAAGTGAAAAAAGTTGCAAAAAAGCAAAGTTTGCAATTTTAAATAGCTGATTTTAGGGAGAAAAGTGCACAATTAAGAAATTAATGATCAAAGTTTAGTGTTTGAAATAGGTGATTTTAGGGAGAAAAGTGCATAATTTAAGTGAAAAAGTTGCAAAAAAGCAAAGTTTGCAATTTTAAATAGTTGATTTTAGGGGTAAAAGTGCATATTTTGTAAAAATAAAACGCAAGTTTTATATTTTATTAAAATTTATGAATTTTAGGTATGCGTGCGTGTTTTTGGCATGCGCGTGTATTTTTAAGCCCTATGTGTTTTTGATACAAATTTTAAAATGTTTTTAAAAAAGTTTTATCCAAAAATAAATTGAATACAAATAATTACCAAAGTTCAAAATTATTGTCTTCATCTTTTTTCAAAATAATTACTGGACTCTTCGGCTCTTCCGAAATTGATAGTTTGTTTGATAAATCGTTGGAAAGTTTATTCAGCCATTTGCTAGCAAGTCGATCCTCCTCTCCAGGAACAAACTCGAGCAACTCCATTGGATAATATCGGTCCTCTCCTCCAAATGGAAAGCGCTCAACAACACATTGCAAGTACGGATAACGTAAACGGATCCGGTGTCGAGCATAATAGTGAGCAGCAACGCTCACGTTGTATGGAAAAGGTAATCTCCCATAGGCAACGAGAGAATTTCCTCCATGTTGAGTAAGGCCATCTATACGAAAAGTTTTCTTAAAGCCATTTTGATCTTCATAGGTCGTTTGAACTTTTCGACCTAGTATTTCCTTAAAGATAAGCACACGGTTATCAGGATGGTTGAGGTGATCCCTTAAGGATTTTGCAGAGCACCCCAAAATTCTAGTGCACTCGTCAATTACTTTATTTGAAGAGGAATGATAATTCATTTTTTAAGAATGAATTTTTTCCAAAAATTTCCCTCTTTTTATACTCCCATTTTTGATATTTTGAAAGTTTACATTTTGATAAATAGGTCAAAATTTTTTGATTTCCAAACATTTTCTCTAATCATTTTTAAAATTTTACAAAAATGAGCTCCTCTCCAGAAGAAGAATTTATTAAGTTTATGCACGGAACTTGTGAATATAGAGAATTTCACAAGAGGAAATATATGAACGCTTTGAGTCAGGCTATCAAAGATGGCGCTCAACTTGACTTGGGAGCAAGATTAAGTGTACTCATAAACTACTTCAGAGCTGGAAAGTGGTGCCATGATTGTCTAAAGTTTGTTTTAAGTCGTATGCAGTGCGAAATGATAGTACCAAAAAATGACCATAATTTTAAATATGAATTTTATCTTTGTCCAGATTGTTTCAAAATTACAAAAAGTTATCTCGAAATACATAATAATTAATTGTTTATCATTTTATTTACAATATTATTTACAAATAAATCTGTATTATTTATGGACTCTAATAAATTTAAATATTTAGGAAAGGAGTAGCCTTGAGATAAAAAATATATTAGGGAAATACAGTGGTGAGCACATGTCTTTGAGAGGGGTGATTGGTATGGGTTGAAATTTCTTTTTAAATTTTTAAAATTTTTTAAAAATGAGTTAACAATACAAGAACTTATAGGGAGTGCAAGACTATCAAAATAAAATATTTGATCTTTTTCTAAATAAAGTGTAATCCAATGAGACCCTTGTTTCTCATGAGGATCCAAGTTGACAATAAGAGCTGTATGGCATTCCAAACTATCAGGAGAAGGGAGCAAGTCACAAGGGAAACACCCCTCGAAGATTTTGTTCGTCTTTGTGTTTGCTCTCAAAATTTGAATTATCTGGTTGCTGTACATTTCTTCGCAAAATATTTAATGGCTTTAAGAAAACTTTTCGTATAGATGGCCTTACTCAACATGGAGGAAATTCTCTCGTTGCCTATGGGAGATTACCTTTTCCATACAACGTGAGCGTTGCTGCTCACTATTATGCTCGACACCGGATCCGTTTACGTTATCCGTACTTGCAATGTGTTGTTGAGCGCTTTCCATTTGGAGGAGAGGACCGATATTATCCAATGGAGTTGCTCGAGTTTGTTCCTGGAGAGGAGGATCGACTTGCTAGCAAATGGCTGAATAAACTTTCCAACGATTTATCAAACAAACTATCAATTTCGGAAGAGCCGAAGAGTCCAGTAATTATTTTGAAAAAAGATGAAGACAATAATTTTGAACTTTGGTAATTATTTGTATTCAATTTATTTTTGGATAAAACTTTTTTAAAAACATTTTAAAATTTGTATCAAAAACACATAGGGCTTAAAAATACACGCGCATGCCAAAAACACGCACGCATACCTAAAATTCATAAATTTTAATAAAATATAAAACTTGCGTTTTATTTTTACAAAATATGCACTTTTACCCCTAAAATCAACTATTTAAAATTGCAAACTTTGCTTTTTTGCAACTTTTTCACTTAAATTATGCACTTTTCTCCCTAAAATCACCTATTTCAAACACTAAACTTTGATCATTAATTTCTTAATTGTGCACTTTTCTCCCTAAAATCAGCTATTTAAAATTGCAAACTTTGCTTTTTTGCAACTTTTTTCACTTAAATTATGCACTTTTCTCCCTAAAATCACCTATTTCAAACTCTAAACTTTGCTCATTAGTTTCTTAATTGTGCACTTTTACCCCTAAAATATACAACTTTTAAACATTAAAATTGCACATGTTTTATAAAAAAATTTATTTCAAAATAAAAACAATAAAAATTATAATTGAAAAAAATTTGAGGGAGGGGAGGAGACCGGCTTCGCCATTCGACTCCTTCATCTAACTCGACCAGGGATGTAATAATTTACTAAGTCCACTACCACTGTATCTCAATGAGAGGTATGCCTCACAACATGTGAATGGCACATGTTGATAATCATCGTAAACAATGAGAGGACGACCTCACAACGTGTGAATGGCACACTTGATATTCATTGAACAATGGTTGGTATAGAGAAGATAAGGAGTACCCCTGACTACTTTCCGGTTCCAAGAAATATTGTGACAAAATTGACAAAAAAATAAATTATGGGGGAGAAATACGTGGATGGCGATTATTTATAAATCCATAATTGAGAATAGAAAAGTCAGAAGGGCGGATAATTCCTTTACTGACTACAGGTTTATACAATTTATGTTGGGGCTGTGATGTGACACGACCATCTTTAATTGATGGTCGCAAAAAATTGGGATACAAAATATTTATCGGTTCTATTTCTCCTGTTCTGGCATAATTAATTACCTGCTCCTTGAATGTGTTGTATTGCAATCCTTGATTGTTGAGCACATCGTAGTTTAGAGTCATTCCTCTAACTTTCAGAACATATTCAGCTTCTTTTTGTCCTTTGCGTTGAAGTTTGAGACCATATTGCTTTGCTCCTCCACAACAATATTCCAATATATTGTGAGAGGGGTACTCATCGGTTAAATCTCCCAGGTGAGGGCCCAAAGGAAGAGGACATAGGTTGGTAGGATGAGCAAAAATTAGGGAGTCGGTGTCTGTGTAGAGCAAAGAGCACCCAGGAGAACGAGCAACTTTTTGCATTGCTCGGAGCAAATGAATTCGCGCAGCTGAAGTTGTCCATAAGGAGATGACAACATTGGAGCAATTGTGCTCCTCAATCCAATCTTTCTTTTTTATGTAAGAGATGAGTAGAATATCTGGTGTGAGCTCATCTAAGCCAGTGATTTCAATTGATTTGTCGTTGTAGTATTTGTGTAGCTCTGCTGGATTGTCTGTAATTGCACATTGTGATAACCCGAAGTTCCTTAAAGAAAATCTCCCCCACAAATTATTCAGCATTAATTTGGCTTGAGTGCGTTTCCCCTTATTTGGCCCCATCTTGCTCCTCTCTATATTAATTCCAAACTTCTCCTTGCACTCCTTGATGAACCGCTCCTCCTCCTCATAATTGCCCTTCATAGAGCTATCAAATCCGGAAGAGTGAATTTTCTCAGCCATAAATTCACTAATGTATGGAGCAAACAATTTGTCGTCTGAACTGTCATATTCCAAAACTCTGAACACCTTGGTGACGATGTAGCCTTCCTCTAGAGCAGCGTTTAATTCAAGTGTTGTGCATGTACTTACCCATCCACGTTGCTGGTCTGAGTGCGGGCAGGAGTAATTTTCATTTACTCCTCCTTCAGGGTGCTCCCTTGCACATTGGGAGCAGAGAGGAAAGAGCAACCTCTCATCATCTTCTCCTACTTTCATTGGGAGCACAGGAATATCAATGCTCCTCGGAGGGATGACAAAGACTTTCAGAATAGCCAATCCAAAATTGTTATCCTCCGGCTTGCTCCAGTGAACATCCTTGTTGAGAATGTGGACCTTTGGGTGCCCCACTGGATATTTGGTAGTTACATTAATAAATGGGTACAAGGAGGTGACGTCATAATATGATATTTTCTCTCCTTCTTTTGGTGAGTAGAAGAGTTGAAGTGGGCCAGTACGTCCACCAAAAAAGCACGCACGCAGATCAATTGGACCATCATCCAGATACTTTTTGAAGGAGCTCCTCATTTCTCTATCTTTATCCAACATACTCCTAATTTGACACTCCCAAAAGACTTGCACATTTACTCCTTGGCTTTTAATGAATTCCATCCTCCTTGCATCCTTCTCCCTTTGTTTACCTGCTGAAATTCCATTTGGGAGCACTATGTTGTCCTCCTGGTAGCATCTCTCACACCCATGCCACACACAACCATTCACCTCTATTCCTAATTGCTCCTCCTCAATCCATCCATCCAACTTGTAATTCCCAACTTTTTTCTCCCCTCCATCTGAATGAGCAGTTTGAATATTTACTCCATGCTCCTCCTCATACCATTTCATGAATTTGAGAGCAAGACGGCTCTGATTATCCACATTATCGTAGCCTTTCTCTGGGACAAGAGCCAAATGGTTTTCTTTCAAGTGATTAGTTCGAAAATGGTTCATACATGCGGATGCAATGGTCATTGATTCCCTTAAAACGTCAATACCATTGTGCGCCTTATTTGATGCAGCTCTTTGACAAGGAGCTCTCTTTGTAACATCCATAAATTCTCGTCTAAAAGCAATAAGAGCTGCTAGGAGTATTTCCACATCATTGGTGCAATATGCTGCCAACTCCTCATCCAAGAAGAATGGGAGCTCCTTGTGCTGATCATACCATCGATCAAATTCTTTTCTCTTCTCTGGCATCATCCCATCTGCGAAGTAGTCAGAAGGGATGGGAAACACCTCTTTTCCATAATACTTAGGCTGATTGATGAGGTGGGGGAAGAAAGGCTTGTCCTCAACCTCAAGAGCAAAGGCTGGGACAAGAGATGCCAAAGACATTGGCATCAGGTTGAAACTGTCCCTGAAGATGAGCATATTTTTCTTCCCAATTTTCACTTTCATCTCATACATTTTATTTCCTCTCTTCAGCATTTCAGGAGTAAAACCCATAAGAAAGAGCTCCCGGAAAACTATTACCATTCAAACCTCCCTCCGAAATGTGAAAAGGCGATGGTGTCGTAGTCTGTTGTTAATTCAATTATCCATTTGACAAAGGAGATGATTGGATCCTCGGTGACTTTCTGTAGATCTACGGGAGTTCTGGAAAATGGGCGCTCCGAAAAAGTTACAAGTTTGTTGCTCCCACAAACTTTACACTGCTCCTGCTCCTCTTCAATACATTTGGGACATGTAACTCTTGCTGCGATAAAATTTGCTTGGTGATTTCTCTTGTTGTTTCCATCTGAGACATGCTGCATAGTCTCCAGATCAAAAGCTACAAATCGATAGGGTTTTTGCTCCTTGGGCTCCAAAGGCTTAATAAAGCAGCCGCGCTGTGGGTCGTGGTATCCTGAGCAAGTTGAACAATACCTCTCATTGCAAATGTGGCCGCTCCTGCCTCCTCTTGTATTGTCTTTTGTATCCCAAATTACTCCACACTTCTCACAACGTTTGGACTGTTGACAATATCGTGAACTCAGATGATGGTCGAAGCAATTTTCGTTGTTAAAGCTCTTGGAGCACCCATTGCATTTTTTGGAAAAATTATTCCTAGGAGGGCAGGGGTAAAGTGGACCAACACGAGAGCAATTCAAACAGTGTGCACGGCATGAAGCAGAATGTTGTTGCGGACGTTGATACACAGTTTCACATTCCAAACAATAAGGTTGTCCAAAAAGCCCTCCTGTACTCGTAACTCCATTAAAATGAGAGCCATCAAAATAGAGGAGCAATGGGGAATTATAATTGTCGGGACCATATTTAAAGCAGGGCTTGTAGTGCCCCAAACAATCAAAAATGAAAACTTTAAAACAAAACTGGCCTGAATACAATCCATTCCAAAAGTCAACCACGGGAGGGACCCACTCTTCAGCATTGTACTCCTTCTGACCAAGAGGAGCTCCAACTTGATCCATCAGCTCCAAAGTTTCCCTCTCAAATCGTCCTCTTGATCCGAAACGACTATGAATGTAGTCGTAAAATTGAGAACGAGACATGTTTCCAATAAGCCGCACAAGTGTTGCTAATAAAGAATAAAATAAGCAATAACCATCGTTGTTGTTGTTAATTTTGATTAAATTCTGCTCCTTGATCTGATGATGAATAGGAGCAATTTTTCGAGGAGCTCCGCCAATAATGTTACTCTCATTGACCAAATTCTTCTTATCAACAACCATAACATTAACTAAAAAGGGTTTTCCCCAAAGTGTAACTCCAGCCTGCTTTTTACTTTGAGAAACCTTATTAAATTGATTAAGCAGGGTATTGAAGGTGTTTTGTGATGAGGGCCTAAGGGGTATCCATATATCAGAATCTAATAACTCACTTGTTACTGTGCAGCTCAGCTCCTCCGGTTCAAGTCCATTGTTTCTTGCGTTGTTCATGGCTTCGTTGAAACAGTGCTGGAATATTCCTGATAATAAGGCCTCAGGGTCGGCCGGAATATTCTGAATAAGGAATTTTGTGTAATTTTTGGTGATTTTGAATTTATTGATGTATTTTGTAGTATTTTCTAGTTGTTCAATATATTGTAAAGCATCTCCTCCTGATTGATTGATAGAGAGGAGGTTATCAATAAAGAACGCTCTTGCGCGTTTTGTTGGAGGAATATAGTCCATTATTGAAAAAATCCTATGAAAAAAGAGCTCCTATGAATAAAGAGCAAAAATTTATGGGGAGCAAAAAAGAGCTCCTATTAAAATAAAAATGAGGAGCAAATGAAATTAATAAATATTTTAAATTATTTAAACTTTCTGTAAAATGAATACAAATGAGAAATAAATTTAAAAAATCTTTGTTTTTATATGAAATATTTTGACAAAACTTTTACTTATGAAATAAAGGCGGCAACTTCAAAGAGGTTTTAAAACATTAATTTGTATAAATTTAAGAGAAAATAAGTTTTAAAAAATTTTAAAATATAGGCGGCATCTTCAAAGAGTTTTTAAAAGGTTAATTTGCATAAATTTAAAATATCGGCAACATCAAAGAGAAAATTTTAAAAAATTTTTAAATTTAATAAAAAATAAAGGATTAAGGTCAAATTTTTATTAGGTCAAGGTCAATTATATTTCTGAAAATGTATTAAAAACAAAGGCAAAATTTTGGGGGAGCAAAAAAAAAGGAATTGGGGATTGAAAATAAAGAATTTTAATTTGGTAAAAAATTATCATCTATCACTTTAATTAACAGCCTGAGTAACCGATAACAAATCATCATTAAATATATAAAATATAATAATCACCGCTTAAGGTAATTACTTATAGTAACATCTAGAATAATCACCTGCATCGTTAATCACTTACAGTAACGTCAAAATTAATCCCTTTGATTAGTGATAATGGTTAATGGGTCATGTTTCATGGTTGTAATCTAGTAATGTACGAATTCTCGAGAGTGATGGTTTGCAAATTACTCATTCTCTACTAATTAATCACTCATCCATTTCGTTCTACATGATTACGTCAAATCTAACCCTAAAAATATTATAGGATTATTAGCAGACACGGCATGATTATGTGTTATTGCCACCCGCGACGTTGATATTTTAAAATTATCCACCCCTCTTTTGGGTTTTCTCATTCCTCCCCACGACAGTGCCCACTCCCTTTGATCTTTGCCGACGCACTCTCCCTTTTATCGGACCCCTCCACCCCACGACAGTGTCCACTCCCTTTGATCTTTACCGCGGCATGCCCTCTCCCTTTAGGTTTTGTCGGACCCCTCCACCACTTGATGAGGATTAGCTTAGTGCCAGCCACGACGGTGACTGTGGGTTAACTACTCCCCGAAAATTGAAAAATAAAAGGGTGGACCAAGCTCATTTTTTGGGCTAAAAATTCGATTAAGCAAATAATAGCTCATTTGAAAGAGCTTGTCGAGCTGATTCGAATGACATCAAAATAAACGTAATTGAACAAGATTTGACAAAGTTATGACATAAAGTAATCCTATTGTTGTCGGTGAGCGCTTTGCAAAACCTTTCGCTTTGCGCAATTTTTGTATCTCGGCCCGAAGTTAAGACCTGGGGTTGATTTCGGTGTCATTCGACACAGCTCGATGAGTTCCATAACCTTGGACTGACTGACCATTTTTTAATACTTTGGGGAAGGAAAAAGGAGGGGGGGGGTACGAACGCAAGAATTACCAAGATCAACTCCCTGACGACTAGGATCAGGCGACCTTCTTTGAGGGTCTTAAAAACTTCAACTTGTGTAAAAGAGAGCACCTGGCATTTTGCCTGTACACAATGCTATGCATGACAACAACAAAGAGCAATCAATTGTTTACACACAGCACAATCTGCCCCAACAACTTGTCGTCTTTTGCACACCTTTGTGTGCGCAATAACCCTCTTCATTTTGAAACACATTCCAAAACGACAATCTACATCCTGACATGTACAGGCATGAACTAAGGAAGTAATACATCTCTTTATAGTTTCATCTCTTGAGTCGCCAGATGCATCAGAAGATGTTTTCTCTTCTTCAACAGATGATGATGATTCCATATTGTGAGGACGGTCAATTTTGAATTTTCTAAACGCAAAATAACTTTAACAAAATAAATGCTTAAATGAACTGAATGAGAGTTAAAAAGAGAGGAGAATAAAGAGCAAACAGCGGGCCATCCTGTTGATGCGAGCGTGTCCGCACCAAAGTTTTCAATCTTTTTTCTCTTCTTTTTCGGGAAATTGTGTCTCTTCAAGGCGTCTCATTGCCTGCTTTATTCCCAAAATGCCCACATTTTTCTGCGTCTTTTACAAACGAGAGAGTGGTCATTAACATAGGCGCCTTGAAGAGAGACATAATTTCCCCGATGAGTCACGGTCTTACCAAATCAAGGAACGACCAAAGGTCCAGGGAAATAATCTGCATTTTCACGTTTTTAAAAATTAGAGGGGTCGAACCATATCAGGAATATCGAATATAATAATCGAACCATATCGAACCATAACCATATCGAGGTATCAGAAGGAATTGTAATTTGGACACTAATTGAGGACTTGAAAATTTTGACAATTAAGGTAGACAATACTCTTGTTTGTACTTTCTTTGTTTTCCTAGTCTCCATATTTTGCCAATCCATATTTTGCCAATAAGGCTAAAAAGACACATTTTGCCAACACTGCCTCACACTCTTATTGGCAAAACGTGTTTTTTATACTTATTGGCAAAATGTGGATTTGGCAAATTATGACTGCTTACTTTTCTATTCCTTCTCCTATACTATTGCCATGGTAAAAGAGAGAAAGTTTCTTTTTCTTTAAGGTGAAGAAAAAAATTTTTCGAAGGCTGTTTTTGTTTTCTACCAAAATCACTACACATTAAAATTCTCTACCTTACCTTTACTCTTTGTTTCATATTCTGCCAACTCCACATTTTGCCAATACGGCTAAAACCCCGCATTTTGTCAATAAGGGTGTGTTGACAAAATGCAAATTTTTACCCTTATTGGCAAAATGTGTATTTGGCAAAATATGGCTAGCCATTTTATTTTTATTTTGTGCTTATTTTGTGTTGATTTTTGTATGTTTATTGATTGATTTTATCGGTAAATTAAAAAAATTTTTTCAATTTATTTTTAAAGTGTTCTTAATGTTAGTCATTTATTTTCTTTTTAGTTTTAGTTTAAAAAGGAAAAATAAATTTCAAATGAATGTGAATAGTAACACTTGCAGTAGCACAACAACAACAACAAAGTGTAATAAAAACTTGGGAATTGTGGTTGAATGTATTGAGAATAGTGGTGTTTCTAATACTGATGAAAGCCAAGCTTTGTTGTTAAATTCTGGTCAAAACAGTAAAAGAAAATTGTCTGATCGATTGGAAGGGAATACTAACAAGATGGCTAACACGAATATGGTGAGTAATTTTGAGGGAAGTAGGAGAGGTGAAAGAGGTTTATTTTTGAATTTTGGTCTTTTGGGTGAAATTTTGGGTGCTTCGGATAGAAAGATAGGGAATCTGGGGTTAATCTTAAGTTTATTTCGGGATCCAAAGTCACTTAACTTGGGTGTCTGTCCTTGACTCCTACTATTCGATGATGTCTACGTTATTCTCAGACCCTGAGCATTACCGTAAAGGCGAGGTAAAAAGTGTAGGGAGTGTGTGTGTGGCTTTGCTAAGGGATGACCTTAGCGAACCATTAACCTCTTCCCCTGCCAACGTGCCTCACTTCAACCTTTCCTGGAATGTTCCCAAGTTTTCCATCGACCGTCGGGAATCTCAGGGAATATCGAGGTTAGGGTATGACCTAAAATCGTCTCTGGACTTGGCCAGAGAAATTAGGGTGTCACGGACTGACCCTGGTTTAATTTATTAATTTCCAGGAATCTACACCAACTAAAAATGATATGGAAGAATATTTAAACAGTAGTAAACACAAAAAGAAAAGTTTAAATCAACAACCTTCACGTTTTGAACGAGGCCGTTTGGGTTTAATTACTTTTTTGAATAATATTACGGCTTCGCCAACAAGTTCTGATTTGGATAATACTTCTGAAGAATTATTTAGGTTTATTTAAATTTTGCTTAATGAGACCAGGTAAAGGGGACATGGACCATGGACTTTTTATTTTCATAAATCCCATTCATTGGTGGCATCAGGGATCTAGCCAAACCGAGTCATAAAATGAGAATTCTCATTGTTTATGGCTGTGAACAGTGTTGAAATCTCGCTGCGAGCTTTCAAACACTGGCCGTCAACTCTCGAACTTGCCAATTTATTTTTCATGTCGACTAGTTCCCTGGTGGGTATGTATGGTAGTTTCGTGCTGTCTGCGGAACTAGGATCTATTTTGGATTTTTTTTGACCTTGTTAGGGCTGTTTGGCTTTTCACGTTTCACATTTGGTCTTCCGCCTTTTAAATTTGTTTCGGCTCTCTCCAAGTCCTTGAGATTCTAAAATTTTTCCAATACCCAGTATTTTCTTCACTTAATTTTCAAAAAAAAAATTTAAGAAAAAATGTTCGTAGTCACAGCATAACCTCCTCAACAACAACACCAACCGCAACCTCCCACCACCACCCTCAAATAAAAATACCAGAATACAAAAATATCAATAAATCAACCAAAAGTTTGAGTGGAAAATTGACCGTCTCTGAAAAATTTGGAAATGAAAATCATCAAAAAGAGGAAAAAGCGTTGTCTGTTGGTGATGTCCCTTTAAACAGTGGTGGAAAAATGGAAAATTCAATCTCTAATGAATTCAATAAGGAAAATGGAAATGTGACAGAAAATCAAAATTCGGCTGCTCCGGCAGATAAACTTTCGATTAAAAGTGGTGTTAGTATGGCGGCTTCTTCAAATTCGGTTTTTTTAATTTTATTAAGGGGTTTGGTAAGGGTGTTAGACAAGAAATCCGCATTTTTTTGTCCGCAAAAAGTTTTTCTAACAGAACTAAAATTAATTTACTGTTTGAATTAGGGATGGGTAGGGTTGAGAAATAAAGTTTCGGGTCGGGGTTTCAAAATTTTGTTCGGATTGAGTTTCGGGTTGGGGAAGTCTGGGTTTCGGAACGGGTCAGTAAAAGGGAATTTGGAGTGATTAAGGACGATTTAAAGAGGTACCGGGGATAATAGGCTTATTTTACATTAATTATCTTACATTAATTGATATTTCTTGTCTACCTTTTGCCTTTCCCAACGTCTTGTATACCTTTCTCCCTTGAAAATTCCAACTTTAGGGTTATGTCAAAAAATTTATTTGTCCGCATTTTGTGTCCGCAAAATAATTTTTTTATTGAACCAACTTTTTTCTTTAACTTTTGATTTTTGTGAAAAGTGAAAGGCTTTTTGACTTTAAAAAAGACTTAACTCTTTTTTTTCAAATTTTTAGGGTCCGTCAGAATCATTATTTTCTGCCGGATCAGCTCAAAGCAATACATCAGGAATTAAATCATGCATGAAACAGGAATGCCCAATTTGTTGTATTAGACAATCTGCACAAAATTTTTATCGATTTAAAGCCTGTATGCATATTTTTTGTAAAGGATGCCTTGTTAAGGTTTTTTTTAAAAAATGTTTAGAAAAATTTTTAAAATTTTATTTTTCAGTTTATTAGTGTTGAAATTGCAGAAAGCAGAACAAACATATCGTAAATTATTTTTTTTATTACTAAGTAGTTTGTGGTGTATTTGGTTGTGTGGGTGGTATTGGAGGGATGGGTGTAGGGTTCGAATCCTTTTGAGGAATTTTTTTCTGTTGTGTCGTTTTAACAGATTGGGAACCTTGGTAAAAGTTTAATTTTTTGTAAAAGTTTAATTTTTTGTGTAAAAATTTAATTTTTTGTACCTTTTGGTGTAGTGGTTTACGTTTCCGATTTTTAGGTTGTAGGTTCGAACCCCGTCGAGGGCAATTTTTTGCTTGAGTCTTTTTCTTTCTTATTAGAGGTGTGGGAAGATTTTTTAAAGAATTTTTTTTTCATTTTCTCATTTTTTCTTCAAATAGATGCCCAGAATGCCCTGTCTCTCTTCAAATTAGCGATATTTACAATTTACTTTCTCATCAACCCGAAATGCTGGAACGCTTTGAATTATATTCGTTACGTCGTATTTTGAGTATAGATCCAGATACTCGTTGGTGTCCAGCTCCGGATTGCACGTATATTTTTTTGGAATTTTTTTTTAAAATTTCTGCTCGGGTCTAGTTTATGAATATAATGAATTTTTGTTTTTAGATTAGAGATTTGCAGAGTCGAATTCTCGGGCAGAGATTCGAGATCTCGACTTTTTGAGAATCGAGATTTTTTTGAGATATTGATCCCGTTTTTTCGTACGACCCTGTCAGCCCGTTCTGTAGTTTACAATCTGATTCATAATTTGTGTTACTTTATGGTTACCCCCTACCTCGAATTTGACTCTCATACAATGTCAGACCATTATGCACATTTTTAGGAAACTTTGAGACTCAAACTAGGGTGTAGGGGCGGGATATCAATAAAGTACCAACTAATTTTTCATTGAACTCATAAACTGGACAAGAGCCGGAAGTTATAATTAAAGAAAAATTTTTTCAAGATATGCAGTTATAGCAACTTCTTGTGCTGCCTGTCCCCAATTAAAATGTGAACGTTGTACTACAATGTTTTGCTAGTATTTTTTTGAATTTTTGAGGAGAAATTTTTTTAATTTTTTTTCTAGTCATTGTAAAAGTTATTGGCATCCAAACCAAACTTGTGATCAAGCTAGATCGAGATCGTTTTTCAATTCTCCGTTAGTTTCGTCTCTTCGTTCGTCTTTACCTACTACTAATAATAATCTTGTTGAGTCTACACGTGGTGGAAATTTTGTTATTTCTGGAGGTTTTTTGTTTATTTTTTGGGATAATTGAGGGATGTCATGGGCTGAGAAAAAAGTCTGGGTTTTACTTGACTTTTGTTCCAATCGAACTTTATGAGTCCAAACTCAGTTTATGAGTTCAATCATATATTTGTGTGCTACTAGGGTAGGTCGGAAGATCAAGACTGAAGATGGGAAAACGGATAGGTTTATGTCATTTTGTAGTTTGGACTCATAAAGTCAAGTATAACCAAAAAGTCTGGGTTTTGGAAATTTTCTCTATTTCTTTGGGTGGTCATGATGCCTCGAAACAGTTTTCCCCGGCCAGGCTCGGATGTCGCAGGACCCGGCCCAATTTTAGTTCGTGTGGTGTAGTGGGTTGTGTTTACAATTTTTTGGAATATAGGTCTAAGGTTCGAACCTCCGGGAAAAATTTTTTGTTATTCATAAAAATGTTTTAAAGCCTTGGAAACCTTTTGGGAAATAATTTTTTTTTTCCAAAAAATTTTTTTACAGATGAAATGAAAGCTTGTCCTCGTTGTGGAGCGTTAATAACAAAGGTTTTCTTTTAATTTTTTTACAAAAAAATTTTTTTTAAGATGAACGATGGTTCATGTAATCATGTATTTATATATTTAATTTTTAAAAAAAAATTTTATTTTTCGAATTTAGATGCAATGTGCTTTGTGCAATGCTGAATTTTGTTGGCTTTGTTTAAAGCAAATTAATGAGCTACATTATTTGAGGTTTTTATTTTTAATAAAATTTTGTTAGACCTCACGTTGAGAAACTCCCTGAGGCTGAAAAATTTGATCTTGTAGTTGGGTAAACGTTAGGGGTATTCACATTAATTTTTTATGTGACGGCTCAAATAGAGAGAGGTTAAAAACATTTGGGTCGTCACAAGGTAAAATTAACCGGTTGTGAACAACCCCATTAAAGGCCTGTCCATGTGTCGAAATTTTGGTAGAGAAAATAGAACTCCGTTTAGTAGACAACCAAATTTCAAAAAAATATCTTAAAATTGAGCTATTCTTGTAGTGGGGTTATATAGCAAAGGTTTATTTCCGACGTTTTTTTCCGAGTTCCGCTTTTAAGTCAGTTCCGATTTCCGGCTCTTCCGATTTCCAACACCTCTGACTGTTCCGACCCACCTCTGGTGATTTATGCTAGTCAGAATCGACTAAAATCCAAAAATTAATTTTGCTTAGTTTTATTCATTTTTAAGCCCAACAGGCTGTACATTTTGGGGAAAAAAGCCTTGGACTCGAAAAAAGAAGCTTTTATGGCAAATTGGTACTTTAATTGGAGCGCCATTAGGGATTGCTTTAATTGCTGGATTGGCTGTTCCAGGAATTATTTGTGGTGTTCCTATATTTATTGGAAGGTTTTTTTGAATTTTTCTGAGTTTAAAATTATTTTTTTTATTTATAGGAAGACATATCAACGATTTTCTAATTTATCTAGAACGAAAAGGCAATTGGTATTTTTTTTATTATTTTTCGATTTTTTGTGGGCAATTTTTGGTAAGATTTAAGACACCTCCATAGAGTTTGGCATTTTTGGATACACGAAAAATTCCATATCTGAAAATTTTGGTTGTTATATCGTATTTACATATCCAGTGGATTTCCCAGAAGCCTCCAACCTTTAACTAACGTTTTTATGTTTTTGTGGTGTAGTGGGTTGTGTTTCATATTTTTTTGTTAAAGGGTGAAGGTTCGAATCCGGTCGAGAAAAATCTTTTCCTTTTTTATCTATAAATGTTTTAAAGACTTGGAAACCTTTAGAAAGAAAATTTTTCCTTCAAAATAATTTTTTTATTTTTAAGGCAACTGCTTTAAGTGTTGTTGGTTCATTGGTAATTTCACCGGTTTTAGCTGTTATGACTGTTGGTATGGTTTTTAAAATATTTTTGAGTATTTTTATAGAAAATAAAATCCTAATAAATAAAATCCGCAAACTATTTGCGGATTTTTTATTCAAAAAAATTATACAAAAAAAAGTCCGCAAATATTTTGCGGACAAAACTTGCGGATTTTTTAAAATTTTTTTAATTTTAAGGTGTTGGTGTTCCGATAATGTTAGCTTATGTTTACGGAGTTGTTCCTTTATCTTTATGTCGTAATGGAGCTTGTGGAGGCGGGGGAGGTGGAGGAACTTCTCAAAATGAAGATAATGTTGGGGGTAATTCTACCTTTAGAGATGAAGAAGAAAAAATTGTTTTGACTTCTGAAGGAAATAAAAATGTGAATAATAATAATAGAGAAAATAGTAGTACAACAAAAACAACAAGTAAATCATCTTTTCATCAACGTCGACAAAGTATTGCTTCTTTTGGTAAATTATATTTTTTTGGACTTGCTTGATGGGTTTGGGTTCTAGGAATTTTTTTAAAGGAGGGAGGACATTTGTGGGTTATTTTTAGTCTTTTCTTACAGAAAAATAAAATCCGAAAAATTTTAAATCCGCATTTTGCTAAAATTAAAATCCGCAAATATTTTGCGGACAAAACTTGCGGATTTTTAATACAGAAAAAATCCGTAAATTTTTTGCGGACTAAACTTGCGGATTTTTTACAATCCAGTCGGACTTCATTTTAAATACCCCATTATTAGCTAACCTCTATCTAATGTACATTTTTTAAGTCGGCTAGTCATGGGTTGGGGAATGTCAGAGCGATACCTTTTATTTAATATACCTCTCATTATAAGTGAAATGATTTTTTAGTTTCAAGGGAATACCTAAAAATGATTTTTTCTTATTTTTTAAAGGTTTGGTCAGTCTAACAGACAAGCCAAATACAGAGGATGCTTCAATTCAGGCAATTGCTGGTTCACAATATAATTATGATAATCGAGTATTTTTTAATTTTTAAAAATTTTTATTGAAAATGTTTTTCCAACAGAGTGTTCACACAATTTGGTCAAGTGGATGTCATGTGGGTGTTATAGAATCGGTGCATGGAGTTAATATTAATGGGGAAGATGCTGAGAATGCTTCAACAATGGTTTTTGATTTTGTTATTTTTAATTTTAAAAAAGTCCGCAAATATATATGCGGACTTTTTTTTCATTTAAAAAAACCGCAAAATTTTTCCGCAAAATATTTGCGGACAATTTTTTAGGTTCAAATAGGTCCACAAATTTTGTCCGTAAGAATATTTGCGGACTTTTTCTTTTTAAAATAATCAGCAAAATTGTCCGCAAAAATATTTGCGGACGTCCGCAATTTTTTTACGGACAAACTTTTGTGGATTTTTTACATATTTGCGGATTTTTTTATTAAATTTTTAGGCCTGTTGTAGTGCCTCAATCGCTGCTCAAGCAAGTGAAAGACGTTCTTTAACAGGAAGTAATAGTTCTTTCAAAACCCGTCCACGTTCATCAATTTCGAATAGTCGAGGAGTTTCAGAAGAGCCAGGTTTTTTGTTTAAATTTTTGAATTTTTTCAAAAAAATTTTTTTTCAAGGCAAAATCCCTGCAAAATTTACAAGAAAAGTTTCGGTTAAACACGTTGAGGGAATTAATGGAGTTAGAGAAATTGGAGGTGGAGGAAGCTCTGTTGATGAAAGAATTCGTCAAGAAATATTTCTACCGCCTTCGTCTTCAAGTCAACCTGGTGGTGGTGGTGGTTCTGCAAATATTACTTTTTCTAATAATAATGATTTGGAGCAAAAGAAAAAGTCACGGTTTTCTTTACGGTTTGAATTTTTTAATTTTTTTTGTTCGGGGAAGGAGGAGAGTGGAATACAGGGATTGGGACCGTCTTTAAGCCATCTTCTGTTTTTTTTTGAATGATTTTTTTTTTAATTTTGAATGAAAGTTAATTTATAGTTATAGATTCTTTAGGGCTACGGAATATCACCCGGAATTTTATCTTTACCTTATATTTATGACGCTTATATTAGTCATACCTTGACGGGAATTATTTAGAGACAAATTTTTGGTTAGTTGGTCGAAGTTCAAAAATTTCCAAATTTCCGAGAATTTTTGGGTTCCGACTTTTGAGCCATTTCCAAATTCCGACAATTCTTACTGGCCCCTGTTTTGTTATTGGAAAAAAGCTCTCCCTTACTTCCCTTCCCCAATAAAATTTTTTTTGAAAAATTTTTTTTCAAGTTCATTTGTACGTCATCCAATAAACACAATTAGGGGTAAGAGAAAGAATTTTAATGCTGTTGATGCCAAGGAATAGTTTAAAAATATTTAAGGACCTGTTGAAGGTTTATTTGACAATCTTATGGTCTTTTATGGTTAAATGAAGCGGTTTTGAACAGAAAAATATATATTTTTATGAAAAAAATTTTTTTTTAGACTAGCATCAATAATTGGGCTCTGGTAAGCAGTTTGTGGGTTTTATAAAGAGTTTATGAGTCCAATGGGGGGTTTTGGTAGTCCTATAAAGATTTATTAGTCCAACGGGGGTTTATGAGTAGGGTTGCTGTTTTCGAACCGAACCGGGCCAGACATTCGAGTATTTTTTCGAGTCTTATTTTTATCGAACCAGGCCGTTCGAGCCATTTTTCGAGCCAAAATTTGAGGTCCGATTCGATCTTTCGAACCTGACCGGTCCAATAAAGGTTTATGAGTCCAATGGAGGTTTTGGTAGTCCTATAGAGGTTTATGAGTAGTGTTGCTGCTTTAGAACCAGGCCTGATGTTCAAGTCTTTTTAGGGCCTCCTTTTTACTGAACGGGTCGACGTTTGCGTCTTTTCCGGCCCAAAAATCGAAGTTCGATCCTATCTTTCATACCGGGCCGATAACCCTATTTATGAGTTCTATGAAGGTTTATGTGTCCTATAAAATTTTTTTTCGGTAACTGTTAAAAACTATATACCAGAGCCCAATAAAATTTTTTGGACTAACTTAAGGGGGAACCATCTATTTTTCTTTTGTTTTTTTTTTTGGGTTTTGTAAAAAAATTTTCCTGGTTTGACCCTATGGGGAAAAACCTATGGAATTCTTTCAAATTTTTGTAAAATATTTTATTTTTTTCCTCAATCTGTAGTTTAAAGGCTTGATTTTTAAAAATTAGTTTTCCTTTTTCTAACTTTTGCAGATAATTTTGGTTTTTGCTGATAATTTTTTGCGGAATCTGCAAAAATTTTTTTTGTTAAATCAAGCCTTGTATTATTAGTTTAAAAATGAAATGTAGTTGTAGAGTCGGGCAATATATCTGAATAAGGTTCAAGTTTTTTGCGGGTAAACATGCGCGGACTCCACTGAATAGCAAAAAAAATTTTGCCTAATCCGCAAATGTTGTCCGCAAAATAATTGCGGACTCCACTGAAAAATTTTTTTCGGAGTCCACAAATTTTTGTCCGCAAAAGTTTTGAACCTTGTGAATTTTATAAAAAAATTATTCTTTCTGGGATCAACCCAGAAGGTCGACTCCTTAATGGACAACTGACCCTAGAATTTACTTTTAGGGAATTTTGACTTTTTGTGTTGTATCCGTTTTTTCTTCTTTATACAAATATTAACAAATTCTGTTTTTTTTTTAATTTTTAAAAATAAAAATTTATTCTGATTTGAAAAAAAACTTTTTATTTGTTGCATTTTTCAAAAAACAAATTTTTTTCTATATTTATTTTTAATTATGTATTTTTTGAAAGGAAATTGTTGGTGAATTTTGCGGACAAACTTTGTGGAGTCCGCAAAAATTTTTGCGGACGAAGATTTTGTGTCTGCAAATTTCTGCTGACAAATGTTTTAATGCGCATATTTTTTTTGCGGATATTATTTTTTGTCCGCAAAAAATATTTGCGGACTCCGCAAAGTTTGTCCGCAAATAAAGTTGTTTTTTAGGCAAAAAATTTTTTTAATGGTTGTACCAGTAAACATTGGTTTATTAATAATTCGAGGAAATACAAACAATGTTAAACGCAAATTACAACGTTTATTGGAATTAGCAGCCTCAAAAGTTGTCCAAAAACTTTATGTTCATTTGGAAGAATCTGAATCATTTGAAGAATTGTTGCCTGCAATTTACTTGAGTGCTGCTTGTATTAAATCTGAAGTTGATTTTCGTGTTTTAATGGATAGAAAAACGGTGCAAGTTGACAAGGTTTTTTATGATAAGGTTTGGAATTTTTTAATTTTAAGGGGGTTTTTTGGATGGGGGTGGAATTAGGGGGGAATTTTCTATTTTGATATATAGGTCTAATAGTGTGGTTGACCTTTCATCAAGTTTTTGCCATTGGAGTTTTTTTTAGCCTTGATCCAATACGAATGAATCATATATCATTCGAAAGCCCTCGATGAGTTCAATCTTTATCCCAACTGGATGGATCAAGTCTGATCCCGGTTAAAAGGTTATAAGTCGATAAATGCAGAAAATCGTTGTTTTTCACACTTATCGACTTGTAACTTTTTAAATAGCGATTAATCATGATCCATCCAATTGAAACAAATATAGCGCTTAACGAGGGCTTTCGAATGATATATGATTCATTAGTATTGAATCAAGCGGAAAAAAGTTATAGCCGATCAAAGTTGGCTGACGCTCAACCGGCCACGCTCAACTGGCCCGTTCCGGTTTCGGCATACCCCTGGTTTACTGAATAAATTTTAGGGTGAATTACCATTGTAGTTACTAAGTTGATGAATTCTTGATTTTAAGTAAGAGGTTGTGAGTTCGTTTTTCTGTGTACAATTTATTTACTTTATGTTAGGTTATGGTTAAGTTGGATACTGCTTGAATTTAGTGGATACCGGGTCGCAGGTTCGAATCCTGCCATGGAAAATTTTTTTATTTTCCAACAAAATTGAGTCTTTTGCGATTCTTGGTGGAACCCTTAGCTATAAAAAATTTTTTTTTAATTTTCAGATTAAAGATCCAGACCAGCCACCATTTCCAATTTTCAACGAAGTTAAATTAAACTTTTCAACCAAGTTTAATTTAATCAAAGCTCCATTTGATTTTATAGAAAAGCCTTTTAGACATGTAGTTTTGGGTGGTGCTTTTGATAAATTACATAATGGTTTTTTTAATTTTTAATTACTAAAAAATATTTTTTGGTTAAGTGGGATACTTTCGGTTTTATTAGGTTGGGGACGTGGGTTCGAATCCTGTGGGTGCAAAAATTATTTTTTGTGGAAAGTTGATTTGATTCCTTTGCAAAATAATCTAATGAAATGAGCTTTTTGGTTAAGTGGGATACTGTTGGATTTTGCTGGCCATGTGTTCGTTTTTCGAACGCTGCTAATGCACATAATTTTTTTTCTTATATGGTTTTAACTGGGTTTGTGATGGGTTTAAGTGAGTCATGGGTTCGAACTATTCTGATGGAAGCTATTTTTGATTTTTTTAATTTTTAAAATTAATTTTTAATAGGTCATAAACTATTACTTTCCGAGGCTGTTTATCGTTCAAAAAAGATTACTTGTGGAGTTACTGATGGAGATATGATTAAAAGTTTGTTTGTTATGTTTTTTGGAAGAAATTCCACCCCTGTTACGGGCATAAGTGGAACGTAGTATACTCTTTGAATCTTCAGAATCGAACCGAAAAATTATCCCCTAATCTATTTTCCATTTATGGCCCGTAACAGGTGCCATAAAATGGAATTTTTCACCACCCGTACGTGGTGAAAAAAAAATTTTTTTTCTCAATACGTAGCATTCCTGCCATCTATTAAGCGTTTTATACAGGGCTTCGATCTCGAATTTTTAAAAATCCGCAATTTTGATCGAAAAACTCCGCATTTGATATGAAAAATCCGCAAAAAATTATCAAACACAAAGATTGACTTAAAATCGCTTTATGCGTTATATTTTTTGACTCCAACAATCGAATTATGCAATTTTTGATTAAAAAAGCAGTGTTACCGTTTTTTTGGATGATTTTTTATTTTATGAGGATTTTTTATATTTTCTTGTAGTTTTTAGGATAAAATGACATTATTTTTCTGCTAAGACCTTGTAAAATCCTCAAGATTTTTGAAGGCCAGAAGACAGATTTCTTCCATTTTCAGACCGAACAATTATCTGGACAATTACACTTGAATTTTTGTCGTCGAAGACGCCAAAAATTTTTATTTCTTTCTTTATCAGCGCCGCAGGCGAAAATTTTTTGAATTTTGGAAGATCCTTAAGCCAAAAATATTACATTTTAAGCGCCGCAGGCAAAAATTTTGAAGATTTTGGAAGGCCAGAAGACAGATTTCTTCCATTTTCAGCGCCGCAGGCGAAAATTTTTTGAATTTTGGAAGATCCTTAAGCCAAAAATATTACATTTTAAGCGCCGCAGGCAAAAATTTTGAAGATTTTGGAAGGCCAGAAGACAGATTTCTTCCATTTTCAGCGCCGCAGGCGAAAATTTTGAGGATTTTACAAGGTCTTAGCAGAAAAATAATGACATTTTATCCTAAAAACCACAATAAAATATAAAAAATCCTCATAATCTTCAAAAGACCACAAAAATCCGCAAATCCGCATTTTTTAAAATAATCCTCATCGCCCTATCAAAAAACCACAAAATGAGGAAAAATCCGCAGAAATCGAAGCCCTGGTTTTATAGGTTAAATTTACCTTCCTTACTCAATAAAAAAAATTTTTTTCAGAAAAAGTTTTGTACGAATTAATGGAACCAATTCAAACACGCTGTGCTAATGTAGAAAATTTTGTAAAGGACATATCAGAAAATGTAAATTGCATTACTGTTCCAATTTATGATGCTTTTGGACCGTCGATTGAAGATAATGGGTATGATGCTATTGTTGTTAGTGATGAAACGATAAAAGGGGGAGAAGCTGTTAATGATAAAAGAAAGGTTTTTTTAATTTTTGGGGATCTAGAATTTTTTTGGAATTTTTTGAAAAATTTTTTATTTAAAAAAGGTTTAGCTAACTCAATTTATGAGTCCCTTAAAGGTTGTAAGTTAAGCTTTTTTGTTGGTGTTTAGAGTTGGGGTAATGCTAAAACGTCGAAATGTCAAACACCAGGTCATACCTGGGTTTGGGTTCCTTAACGTTTTTTCTTGTTTTTGGAAAAGGGGATTAAAAATTTTCTTTAGAGGGTTTCCCTATTGACTTTTTGTGTCCTATCAGCTTAAATTTAATTTTGACTATTTTTAGACAATTAAGGATATTTTCAAATTAATTTTAAGAATAGTTTAGACGGTCCAGAGAGGGTTGAGTCGGTTTTAGAAAATTTCTCGGGCTAGATTTTATACCGTAAAAATATTTATTTATT